TGTCTTTTTTGTGAACTCCTGTTCACCCTCGTTCTCCCTAGCTACCTTCATGCTGGTGTTTCTATTCATTCATATAGACCACTGTAAATATGTTGGGAAAAAAAAGAGTGAACTTGGTCTTAAAATGAAAAGGTTTAATGTTTGGTTAATTTACTTTAATCAAAAAAATCTAAAAATGTGCAACCAATTTAAGCTAATAGCCTAATTTTTATTTCTGCTTTTTATCCTGTGGAGTGTTGGGATGCCCGCACCAGAATAGACACAAACACTAGCTGGATAATCACATCTCAGCCTCCTGAGCTGCAGATCAGATGTGTTCTCGTCTTTGTTGTTTTTCAGATATTTGGAAACTTTCCCCAATCTGATTATTTGGTTTTTATTCTGTAGGAAGTGTTCCAGTTATGTGAGTTTACAAAGACACAATATGTTCCTAAATAATTACATTCAGTTCATTTAATTAGGTTTAGTTGTTTTTTTGCCACTGAAGATAAAAAAAAAATCTCGGGTGTTGGATTAGAAGTTTTATAATAAACTGACTAGGTTTTTACATAAATAAAGTATTCATATAATGTTTTTTAAGCTTCTGCCACATTTAAACTAAACTTATATCCTGAATACTTTGGTTTGAACTCCAACAAATATTAGAACTTCCATCTTCTTAATCTGTGTCCATGAGTGTGACATGATGTGTAGATGCTGTTATCTGCCAATCTGCAGTATTTTTCTGGAGAATTCTTTAAGTGGGAGTTCTGCAGGCTACTAGCACTCAGAGTGTGATTACATCTCTTAGAAGTTGCCTCTGGAGCTTTAGCAGATAGTCAGACTGTGATAGAGAGATGCTAGAGACGGCATGAAGCCATTCAGAGAGATAAGGACCACATGTAGCAAAGACGGGCCATCAGGCATGTTCTCTAGCTGGATTAGTCGCATTTGTCTTTTTTTTAACTTTATTTAACAAGAAAAAGAAGAAAGATGTTTTAAAACTGAATTGCAGTTTTATGTTATTGTTATTTTGTGTCACTTCAATAAAGTCAAGGAGGAGAATGCAACTCAACAGTTTCGGAACGCTTCGTTTAGCTGCTGTCAGACAAAATCTTACAGCATCATCTGTCTACATAACTATTCTCATATCTATGTATGCACGGGGCCATATCTCTGTCACAACTTTAAGTTTATTTAAACTGTTTTAAACTGTTTAGTATTTTAAGACTATCGTATATATATATATATATATATATATATATATATATATATATATATATATATAATGTATATAGATATATGCAGTGATTTTTCTAAGTTGGAGATTCACACACACGTGTGCCACTCACTTAAGCATTAGGATGTTGAAAACTGGACTCATTTGTGTTAAAAATTTCTGTGTTTTTAACATATTTAATAATATAAACTTATCAAACAACTAAAAAATCAAGTTTTAGTGGACTAATCACATTCCCAAATGCCCTGCAGCTCAGACAGAACGAGAGATGAACCACTTTGAAAATATAGAATATAGATTACATTTGTTTATATGTTTTAAGTAAATCTAAAAATCTGAATAATGAGTGAAATTATCCTGCTGTTGACTCCGTTTGCAATGCATTGTGGTCTTTTGTGTTTGGAGCAGCAGCCATCTACTTTTAGGTTGCACATGATGAGTTTATAGAACATTTTATTGTAGGGAATAAAATAATTACAGTTAAGATATTCAACTCTACAAGCTCTGATATCATCTGTCATTTGTGTGTCACACCTATTAACACACGCACGCACGCACGCACACACACACACACACACACACACACACACATGCACACACGCACACATGCACACACGCACACACACACGCGCACACACACACACACACACACACACACACACACACACACACACACGCGCACACACACACATGCACACATGCACGCACGCACACATACACAGTGTTGGTTTCATTGTGACCACACCCTAAGCACACAAGCCCATCACTGTAGGAAGACAAATTCAACAAGATGTTTGTCATCTCAAACACGCTGTCCTACAAAGCTCAACTAAATTCAGCTGAAACCTTTAGCTGATGTGTCAGCTGTAGACATCCATAAGTGGATTAAAGTATATGAATAAAGGCCTTTTACTGGTTAAAGGTAGAAGATCAACCAAGCTGCTAATTGGCCTGAGTGAATCACTTATCCCATTAAAGCAGACTGGCCCAAAGGCCACCACAGCTACAGTAAAGGTTTGATGGAGGACTTTGCAGATGAATTCAAACCAGGTCCTTCATAGCAGGACTTTGTGGCCTAATGAGATCAAAGTTAAAACATCCCCAGACTTGAAATTAGCGGATCTCCACATCAAAAGACCCCTGATGCGTATTCATTCCAGCAGTAAGTTCTCACATCCCGAGTGGGAATGGAGCAAAAACAGACATTTGAATCTTGGTTTGGTTTCTAGATCTGCTGCAGTCCCCGGTGGGAGAGGCTGTCGCCTTTTCTCAGAAACAGGGATTTTTTAATGTATTTTTGTCTTCTTCTGACGTCTCAATCAATAATCAGTCCACTCGTACAAAAACAAACTTTTTTTTGAATAAGTGAACTCAACATCCCTTTGTAATTTGCGCATGAAAAACATCTTGTTCTTCTTAATAATGTGTGTGTGTGTGTGTGTGCGTGCGTGCGTGCGTGTGTGTGTGTGACAGTAATAGTAACTTGAACCTAAAGCCCCAGAATGGGACTTGTGTGTTTTTCTTTCTGTCTGTCATCAAAGGCACTCTCTTTAAGCACACACATAATTGTCCATATGTTTGCACACACACACACACACACACACACACACACACACACACGTTTCCACTGCCACTCTTTTAGTCTGCACATTCCAACACCCATGAATATCGCAAACAGCCGTCCTAAGCTCAGATTTCATTGCTTCACATTTGTGACTCTACTGGTGGGACTAGTTGGACTTTGTGTGAATAGTGTGGATCAAGAGGAGCTGTTAGTGCAGACGGCTCAGCAAAGCTCAGCTTTCTTTGTGTTTGTGTCAACAGGATGAAGAACCTGATCTGGAGTAGAAGTGATGTGACTCAGTGCTCAGCTAGTGCCTGCAGAAGAAGCAGAGAGGGCAGGTTTTAAAGTTGCACAGAGCTGCAGTTTGCCAGGATAGAAGAGTAGAAGTGGACCTGGGTTTAGCTTAAACCATCTTTTCCCTCTTCTTTTCGTTCTCTCTTTGGATTTCTTCCCTCAAAGCAGCAACAGGGGGCAGGGTGCTGTGAGGCAGGGAGGCTAATTGTCTCAAGGTGTGGAGAGAGCTCAGCAAGCTGATGTTGTGTTGTTCTGCTCCTTGCAGTGCCGTGTGTGTGTGTGTGTGTGTGTGTGTGCGTGCGTGCGTGCGTGCGTGCGTGCGTGCCTGCGTGCGTGTGTGTGTGTGATAATCAGGTATGAGGACATGCCAGCATCAGTAACCGTAAAAACACAAAGGAGTCTCCTGTTTTCCTCCTAATATGAAGGGAAAATATTTAATAATAGATATGCTTGAAGAAAAACAAACAAAAACAGAGAAAAACAACGAAAAAAGCGTGTTGAAAGGGTACGAAGCCACAGGCAGGACAAGTTGAGTGTGTGTCTGTGTGAAGGGGGGGTGTTAAGGCCCCAGTGGGGGTTTCTTCCAGAGTTCATCTCTCTCGAACGAGGGAAGGAAAAGGGAGGAGGTGAGGAGGGAGTTTGTCTCGTATACAAACTGTCCAGACTCTGGGGCCGGTGTGGTCCCCCTGCGGCTGAGTTCCACTTCGGTGTGACTGAAGTTTCCAATGAGCTCCGGGAGGGAACCAAACTGAATCCATTCCAAAGCTAAAGGGAAAAACTGAGCTTGATAGGATGTAAGAAGAGAAATGTGGACGAGGCGAACCAAACTTTTTGCAGCAGGAGTAAATGATCTGCAAAGAGAATTATTGACGTGCAAACTGGAGCCAGAAGCAAAAAAAGTGACATTTTCTCACAAATTCAGTCAGCAGGAGCTCAGCGGGTCACGGAATTTAAAATTCAGCTCAGATACACGTGTGCACGCTAGCAGTAAACGAGAAAAAAGTCAGTTTAGTAAGGATGGCTTTCTCTTTAGCAATCACTGCGTTTTTACAAGTTGGTTCATCAGAATGTGTACAAACGATGGAGCACGTTTTAGCGCCAGCCCCATCGGTGATGTTTTATATGATGTCAGTTCTCATCACCTGATGTTTATTCTGGAGAATCCTGCAGGACCTAACTTCTGTAAATGCTCCCAGTTCCAGTGAAATGTGTGTAAATTTGCACGTGAAACCCTCTGCACCTTTCGTTCTGCTCCACATACACACACCGTGCACTGGGAGTTGTGATTTTCTCGTCTTGTTCAAAGCCGCCCAGCTGTACTCTTTATGATGGAGGGCTTTTTTCCAGCTCTGGTGCAACAAAAGGGGGAAGGGAGTAAGAGGGCCGATGAGTGTTTGTTTTCTGAATATGAAATATGAAGAGGTGAGTTTGAGAACTCTTGGAGGAAAGAGAAGGAAGGGAGAGGGTGTTTGGTGTGTGTCCAATCAGAAAGCACAGACACACCTCCTCTGGCTGGATTTCTCCTCCCTGCTTCTTCTCCATGAACCCACACCCCCTCCTCTTTTTATTTTTTTGTCAGTGCTGGGAGATAGTTGGCTGCGAGTGTGTTGGAGTGTGAGAGGCCCACAGATCCAACAAGAGGGGAGTTGAGATCAGTTACAGCAGGCAGGCAAAGTGATCCAGGAGCAGACGGACACTTGGATAAAGGCAGGAGAAAGAAAGGATTTAGTCCATGTAGTTCAGGAGAAACCAGACGGACGATCAGGAGGTAGTGACACGCACAGGCAGACAGATCAGACAGGGAACACCTGGACCAAGCAGGGCATTCAGTTACCTCACAGGAAGCTGCTTTTCTGGGGGGGTTCTCTCGGCTCGGCTGCAGAACAATAAGCAGAAGTTGTTGGTTTAGCTGCTGTGGCTTGAGGGGAGCATGTTCGACTGTATGGAGGCTCTGGGCCTGGGTCCCCGGCCCCTCTTCGATGTGTCCAGGCAGGGCGCCTGCATGCTCAGCAAGCCCACGCCTTACTTCTCCAGGCTGGACCCTTTTGCCTGGGCTGGGACGGGCAGTGTTCAGTGTGAGTACTTGACCCCATCCGTATGTGTGTGTGTGTGTGTGTGGTGATGTTGTTGTTGGAGGTGAGGTTTCTGTTATCACGGAGCGCCCTCTCCACAGGAAGAGTCAGATTCCTTTCGATTACATGTGCCCATTCTCACCCCGCCGTTTGTTTGTTTATGCGCTCTGTGAGCGAGTGAGTGAGCCAGGGAGTGTATTTATACATCACGGGTTTGTTTTCTTTATGAATGACTCCACGTGATTGACAACTCCTTCAAACAATGCCGGGACTTAACCTGTCGATGTGTCCAGAAAACAGAACACTGCCCGAGTCCACACATGGAGCGACGCTGACTGACCGGAGGCAAATGGGCCTTGAAATCACACGCTGGCTAACGCACTCAGTCACGTCGTTTACAAAAAGATAAATGGAGTTGCGAGCGGGCCGAGTCATCTCACCACATGAGCAATCACTCGGTTTTCTCCCAGAGAAAGTTGCACGAATCTCCGTTTAATTTTAGCTCTGAACCTTAGAGGAAAGTAAAGGAATGACTGCAGGAATAAGGAGTCATCTGTTAAAAAAGATAAAATAAGAGTCACATGGCACACAAGCACTCCTTGTGTCTTGGCTGTGGACATTCTTCTGATAGCTCCTGAGCGGGGAGGCCCAGATTGCATCAGGGCTCTGAATACAGTGTTGTAACCAATCTAATCAGCACAAACAGTGGAGATAAATGACAAAACCGCACTCTGTCTGCTGGAATAATACGCTTTTTTTGTTATTGTCGTGCATTCATGTCTCACTGAAAGACTTTTTTAAACCAAACAGCTGCTCTGTTGTCTCTGCATAGCTAATAAAAGACGTGATATTCTCATGTGTCACCAGGCTGGAGGATCAAACTTCCTACTTCTCTGCAGCTGAACGGAGATTTTCCCAAAGAGCACCTTGAGTCTATTTGTCTTCAGTAATTATTTGGATACCAGTGCATTAAACACTGTCAGGCTGGCGGTGCTCACTAATGATGATGGATGAGCAGTCAGGATGACAAACACCACAGCAGGGCCTGTTTCAACTCGCTGTGGAGCTTTGCCAGATGCCAGCCTGAAAGACAAATGTCCACAAATGCTCATTAATCATGAGATTTTTTTTCTTTTTCTGTTCTGTGGATGAAATTGAGTTCAGGTTCTCTTTTAGCTGGGAAGGTTGGGAGTCAGTCACATCATTAAAAAAGATGATGAGCAAATAGAAACACTTAAAAGTGGGAGAAGGGTTTTAAGGAGGGTTGTGTCCCTGAATAACCCGGTGTCCTCCATCATGAGTTTGTTTGGTGTCTAAAAATTAAATTAGTGAAAATGGGTTAATGCTGATGAAATAATTATCTCTGCGCTGTAATATCCTGAGTTTTTTTTTGTTTGTTTCATGAAGGAAATATAAGACATTATTAACACATAATTAGTGTTGTTTTCTGGTTTGTTGTCAGAGATCTTGATAGACGTGCTCTGTTCAGGCGGCTTCATGAACACTAATGCTTTTAAATCCCAGTAGTTTAAAGTGACAGTGTGTATTTTCCCTGGCGATGGGATGCAGTACATACTTAAAGCGTTTCAAGCAAGCTGTATTTTGGTATTCGTGTAAGACCTTACCAACGGATGGCCATTAGGGTCAAAAATCCCTGGAAGCACAAATACCAGCAAAATGACTACAGATCAGACTCCCTTTCATCACTGGCAACGAGTGAAGAGGTAAACGTGTAAAACAACGTTTATAAATGGAGAACGTTTTTTAACAGCTTGTTACAAATCAGTAAATGCTTTTTGTCGGCCAGAGATTAAGGGCTGGAATATATTTGCTGTTTACCCCATGGTGGCGCAGGCTGCATCTTTGTTCACATACTTGCTGCTACACGGCACAGCACTGCATGCAGTACTGGAGTGTTCCACTAGGCTGCGCACTAGAGAACTCAGACCGGATAGAGAGCCGGGTTTGGGGGTACAACCAAAACAAACATGGCGTCGGTAAAAGGGCTCACTAACTGGTTGATTTTGAGATCACAACAGAATTAAAGACAGCAGTGGTTTCCTTAGATGGTGTGAAAGTCCTTTAAACCAGAGACGGAGTCACCGTCGTTTGTGTGTCTCGCTCGTTTTGCCAGCTCCACCTACAGGGTACTCGTATATTGCAGCATTCGGACGCGCACAAACAACAATTCAAATGAATGCAAATAACGCGTGGCAGCCATTTTAAACATGTGTCCTTGTCGTTAAACAGCAACTGTATCACGGCCCTTAGACCCACTCCCATGTATTTTGGATAGGGATGCACCGATTTGAAGTTGTTGGGCCAATATTAATGTCACTGTTAAACAGACAGTGTGTAATTTTAACCATTAATCTCTGGAAATATTCATCGAAATGTTGTAGTAATTAAATTAAAATGTGCCCAGTTATTGAAAAATGTATAAGACATAACCATAAAAATCTGGTCTAAAGTACATGGAGCTGGTCTAAGTCTCTGGGCGACGCCATATTGGGTGCCATGTTTCTTTCTACGGAAGTCTGTGAGGACAAAACACCTTTACTGATTTGTAACACATGGTTACAAAACTTTCACAATTAATAAACATTGTAGTTTTGCACGTTTACCTCTTCACTCGTTGCCGGTGATGAAAGACAATCTGATGTTCTTGTTATTTTGATGGAGGTTGCTCTCCCAGGGATGTTTGACCCTAATGGCCATGTGTTGGTAAGGTCTTATTTGAACACAAAAATAATGCTTGCTTGCCGTGATTTAGGTGTACTCCCCCAATCTCCAAGGAAACTACACGCTGTCACTTTAAGGCCAATAACCGATGTTTGCCGATACCGATTTATGCTTCTGAAATTAGCAAACTTTGGATAGACTAAAATTATGCAAACAGAATTTTTGAATGTTTTGCTATTTTTCTATAAAGTGGAATTTGCAATATGTTATTTACACACACACACACACACACACACATTTTCGCTTCTGAGATGATTACCATCACTGTCACAGGACTAAACAATTACACATCATCACCCCCTTACCCTATGAAAGAGATACACAAACAGAAACAAGATGGAAAAATTATCGGTTGTTAATATCGGCTCAGTTTTACTTTTCGGACCGATGCAGATATGTTCAAAAATGACTAACATACCAATATTGATGCCGATATATCGTTCATTCCTAATTTCTGACCCGATTTGTATTGTTATGTGTTACAAAACTGCCAGTATTTTTCAACAACTGGGAATCATTTAATTGATTTTCAACAACATTCCGACGGATGTTTCCAGAGATTAACAGTAAAAACGAAACATCGTCTCTTTAAAGTAAAACGTTTGTGAGTTTTTGCTCCTTAAATTAAAAAGTAAATCTCCACTGGTTTGTTTCTGTTACTTTGTGGGTCCTGATAAATGTCAACATCACTCTGGAGGTCTTGTGACCTTTTTTGTTAATTATATAAAAGATTTCCAGCGCTGCGTCGGTTCCCATTCGCTCTCAGAAGGTCGGGGTTTAATTAGAGCGACGTGCCGGCGGGATGTGGTATCTCTGGATTCTTCAGCCTTCTCTTTTTTATCTCCCGTCTTTCCGACATGCAATGTCTCTCCTGGGTGTTTGTGTTGACGGGGTCATCTTAGTCATCTTTTCCTGCATTTTTCTAACGGCGGGTCAGTTCATCACCTCTCTGCCTTCCTTTGTTTTGGAGGCAGGAGGAATTAAAGGAAGCAGCCCGCTCTCGTGTGCACCTTCCAGCAGAAGTGTTTGTTTTTTACTCGCGTGTGGATCGCCTCGCACGCCTCGTGTTGGATAACAGAGCACGTTTAATGATTTCATTACAACCGGAAAGGCTCAATTAGGAGATTTAGTCGGTGTGGGCGGGTGGAAGGGGAAGAATGGCAGGATGAAGCTGGAATTTGGGATTCAAGGTGTTTTAGGCCTGGAGGGGAAACACTTCTCCCCTCTTCACTGATAATCTCCTTTTTCCCCTGGCATCCTCTTTAAGGGTGTCTCTTCAAAGCGTGTCAAACAATGGGCCTTTATATCATCTGATAGGAGGAGCTCCGTTAGTTACAACACAATAGGGAGAAGCTGATGAAGACAAGGTGTGATTTATTAACGAGCTTTTAGTGAAACTGTTGTGATTTCTCTTAACGGGTCTCCACTGAACGTGAGCTTTTTATGACACCTTGAAATTCTTCTCTGCTGACTTTGTGCCTCAAATAAACAAATAAACAAACAAACAAACAGTAATAAGACCAGATTCAGGTTGCAGCTGTTCCTGGTGGTTAAGAGCAACCTAAACTTTCTGTTTCAGTCTAATCAGAGTTGGACTGTTTTAGCTTCAACAGACATTTCTGGAGCTGGAGACGTGGTGGAGACACTGGGATTGGACCAGCAACTCTCATCTTTCTTGCTCCAAAGCCAGCAAAGACGCTGCATTCAGTGTTCTATGAAATAGTAAGCTTTAAAGCCACAGTGTGTAATATTTTTACCTGTTTACTATCAAATTCTGTGCATCCCGTTCACTAACTTGTCCTTTTCCAGGTATGGCGGACGATGTTTCTGGATTTTAGGGAATAACCGCTCTCTCCACGTTTAAAAAAAAAAAAAAAGCACATGAGAGAGAACGCCCAGTTACCCTCGTGCACGCTCTGTTTCACAAGTAGCTGCCGGTGTTCTGAGAAAACGTCCTACTTTGGCAAAACTTCCTACCCGTAGGATAATTTTACGGTGTTTTACATGACACAAACCCTAACCAAAACTCTAACCCTAACCAAAAAAATTAAGTATCAACGTCAATAAAAAGTACTAATACTTACTACTTATCTATTTTCCTGCAAATATGACAGCGGAGTAGCATTCCCCTTTTGTGTTGTGTTGTGCGCATGCGCGCACATGCTCAGTAACAACGGGTAGGACGGTTTACGGTTTAATTCCCAGAACACCGGCCTTGTCTAACTTCTTCTTGCAGTAATCCGAAATGGGTTTCTCCAAATAGCGTGCCAAACTTTAGCTGACCTGTCGAGCAGAAAACCGCCGTCAGAGTGGGGGAGCCCAACCTTCGCTTTTTGCAGGAAGTGAAAACTACCCAGCAACGAGCACGTACGACGACGTCCTCGTGTGAATGGTTCATCGGAATAATAGACTTTCAGTATTTCTCACCAACATCAAAACTAAATATTCTTCTCAGCTTGAAATTTTTCAAACATATAAACTGTGGTCGACGCTCCATGGCCATGCGTCATCTTGAAATGCAGTAACCATTTAAGGACATACAAGCTCCGCTTTTCGCATTTGTGCTTTGACATGATGGTGTAACTTGAAAGAAATGGCGGAGGGCAGCTGTACGTTCTGGAAACATGGAGGCTATCAAACCAATAAAGATGAGACTACATACACCATTGTTGTTCTCTTTTAGTTTAAATAACAAACAATGAAATCGAAAGACACGTCAAATATAGGTCATCATCATGTCCTGGTCTCGGTAGCCGCATATGATGAGATCCCCGCCCGCCATTAGCTGACACCAGCCTCCAAGCGGTCTCCCAGCAAGCTCCAGCGCTCCTCCGCTAGCCAGTGGCTAAGCTAACGTTGTCTGTTCCATATCAACCTCGTCTCCCCAGCTCTAGCCACTCCTGCTTCACTAGCCGATGGTTAACAATCAGCCATGCATGTCCATCTCCACCGCGGCTCAAGCCAGCGTTCATCCGTTAGCTGGTGGCTAAGCGGTGGCCAGTGTTTACTGCAACTCTGCTCCCAGATCCATGCGACACTAGACTCCCCAGCTGACACCACCCCTCCGCTATGTGGGAATTGGTGATAGCTTCAAGGCCTGACAGAACTTGTTTTCTTCCTTCAGTACTGGTTGGTTAATATAACAGTCGTACTTAAATTTGTTTTATATTGATTAATCGTAGTAGCTATATGCTTTGTGTGGGTTAGGCTGTTGGAAATTGGTTATAGTATCAAGCTTGTGCTGTTTTTAAAGCACGGACCTGATGGCTGGAGTGAAAGCCGGAGGTCGTTGACATATTGCCTTTTTGATGCGCGGGCTACCGTAGCTGCAACACTTACCCTGAGGTGCATGGCGCTAAAGAGTCGCATTTTATTTACCGTGATGTCTATGGCTTTCACACATAGGGCCTTTAAATGTGTTTTAGATCCGGTTTTGCAACAAACGTTTTTTCACATCAGGCTCCAGGTTGCATTGAGGCTCCTGTTAGAGTCACATGGCGAAGAGGTTAAAGTCAATGAAACAGCAGTCACTGTTTGTTTTTGTGTTTATTTGTTCTGCTGATTCGCTCTTGAGTAACAATGCTAGAAACCAACATCCTGCTGGGTCCTGTTTGAACTTGTTCCTCATTCTAAAATTCTTCACGTGTACTCATTCATGATGCTTTAGATATAAGCAAAGGAACCCCCGAAGGTCAGGTGTGGTCAGATTTTAGTGCTTTTGCATGCAGAAATAAAAAACAACTTTGGACATGAAGCGGTGGCGGACTCTGATCTTGAGCTTTTATGCAGGAGAGGACGCGTGAGTGGAGCTAGAGGAGCTAACACCACAAAGAGGGGGGAAACGTACACATCTGTGTTTATTGAGAGTAGTAAAATAAAGAAAGGAACAAAAGGGACAGGAGGGACAAACCTGCATTTAACAACCTGTCATATAAATGCACCCCCCCTCACACACACACATACAGTAAACACACACATAAACAGTGCAGACAAACTCTTCAACCTTATTCCACAAAATGTTCTATGCATGAAACCCTAAATCCAAACCAGATGTTTTGTCCCATGTCTCCTATGTGCTTCACACATTCTGTTTATGTGTCCATGTCCACTGCTGCTGCTGTTTGTGTGTCCATGTCCACTGCTGCTGCTGTTTATGTGTCCATGTCCACTGCTGCTGCTGCTGTTTGTGTGTTTTTGTGTCCCTTTTCAAGTGTTTGCTGCTGTCTTTTATGGAGCCATCTCCTGGACAGTAGCCTGGTTTTCACAGGCTTCCCTTTAAAAGGCGCTGCCAATGACAGGAAGGGCTCCTCCTCCTGCCAGGCAGGAAGGCTGGAGAGGAGGGGGGGGGGGGGGTATTAGTGAAGGTCGAGGGGAGGGAAAGTGGATGGGGGGGTGCTAGTAGTGAACTTACAGCTGATGAAAGGAATTGTCCCTCAGATGGGCTCCATCTCCCCCCTGCTGCCTCTTGCTCAGCACTTCCGAGTTTATCTGCTTATGATTGTGCGGGCCAGTGGATGACACGTCCGTCTTATACTGGAGACGCATCGCACATCCTGTCAGAGTCGGGCATTATTTTACTTGGATCTGCTCTGTTTTTGCAGAGAAGCTCAGCTTTGGTTGTTCTGTGACTGTTTAACGGGGCATTTATATCAGCGTTTCCGCCCCGTATCTCATCTCCGTGTTTGTGAATGTTGTTGCACTTGCAGTCACACGGAAAGCCGTCACACACAGTCCAGCTGACCCCTGGAGACACACACACACACACACACACCATGTGCATTCCTCTGCACGCTACTAAACAGTTTGTGAGTCGAGATGTTAGTCACTGACTGAAATTAAGTCTTTTTTAAGAAAGAGGAAGAGGCACGGGTTTAGTTTATCATTGCAAATAATGTGCTTTATTGCAAACATCTGGATAATTTATTATGTTAAAGTCATCGTGCATACACCTCTAAATCCAGAAAGTAAAAGTGAATTTAATGTTTTATCAAAAAGCTTCTATAGGAAGTAAATGCATCTTTTAAATCTGCAGGACTTGTGATCTAATGGGAGGAAGCATAAAAGTTTAGAAACAGAAACTCTTTCAGAAACTCTTGAAATTCTATGCTTGCAAATATGTTTAAATTGCAATTTTGCAGGTAAATTTGCATTCCATCAGAACTTTAGTCACTATAGGTTTTGTTTGAGAATCCTGAATAAAATCAAATTTTTACTCCCGTATGCATGCTAGTCCTGCACATGATGCACTCAGGGGTAAAAGTGCATGAGTCTTAACAGTTCTCCTCTTTGATGGTGTTATCCCTGCACATGCACAACTCTGATAAATCCTCCCAGTTGCAGCATTAAACAGCCCAGCGAGGGCAGCTGTGATACGGTTGTATTTAAGAGTTATTCTAGTCAGAAACAGCTTTCACCCTGCAGGCTTTCTAAAGTCCTGAGTCTGACTCTGGAGCTGCAGAGCTGATAAGGAAGGTGTCTGCTTTCCGAGAGGCCCCTGTTGTCTAAACAGGGATGTGCTGATCCGACAACAAACACGGGGGAAAGAGGAGATGGAACAAACACGTGGAATTGTGATGGAGTGATACAGTAAACCTCTGTGAGGTTTTAAAGCGTGGACCCGCTGTGGTTCTGGTTGCATCAGACCAGCTGATTCACACCAGTCATGTTCTCTGTGCTGACTGATGGAGTGTCACACGCCGGGGTGAGCTGCAGGTTAAGAGGAGAGAGGTGTGTTTTTTTGTTAACCAGGGCTCTGAGGGTGAGTTCAGTTCAGGGTGATGACAGCTGCTGACAGTTACTGGCTCCTCGCCCTCTCTCTCTCCTAGCCAGGTAAAAATCCCCCTCCTCCTCCTCCTCTGTTTCTCCCTCCGTCATGTTTCTGAGTCACGTCCCTCCTCACACGCTCTGCTCTCAGCGCCCTCAGACGGTGTCAGTCACTACCTCTCCCCTGGCGCCAAATGCAGCCTCTCCGTTTCAATGGCAGCTATTTTCCACTCGTTCTCTCAGGAGCACTTTTACATTGTCGCTGTTACTATATAAACACGGAGCAGCGGTCGAGTTACCGCTCGCTCTGCTGCTTCACCTGCTCATCCCCAACCAGATGCACCAAATCCATTCAGCATCTATTTATAAAGTAAATAATCACTCTCCTGTTCCTGGAGATCAAACCTTTTCATGTTGCAGCACTGAAGACGTTTGAAACTTGAAGCCGTCTTGGATTATAGAACGAGAATAATGAAATGAACCTGTCAAGAGTTAACCGAGGCCTAAGGGGCTCTGCTCTAATTACACGTTGGATCTAACTCATTCTGACGTATTAAATTTGATGCTAAATGTGCCAAAACTGCAGAAGAACCACACAGATGAGAAGCTGTCAATAAAAAATGAAAGCTGCGCTCGCTCATCCCCAGCAGGAATTAAGCTTTTATTTGATCTTTTCCACGTTTTGACAAATTTATTTTTTATCTGCCTTCTTCTAAAATCTTAAAACGTGCCCATCTCAAACTTTTATTGCTTTTCATGCAAATGCATCAAAACGTTATTTAATTGTTAGTTTTGCTTTGCAGGGATTTCCCCAGCAACGTATTATGATACTCCTGCAGGAGTGGCCCCAGGGTGCACAGGAAGTGCTATAGCTAGCTGTTGCTGCCAACTTTGGCTGCAAAACGCTACAAAGCTAAATGTAAAATAAAAACTGTTTTCAACAACAAGGTAAATAATTAATACTCAATATTCATTGGGACTTCTTTTAAGGTTACGGCTGTCCACTTTGGTCTTTAGGAGCTGCCCGTTAGCTTGTCAATCCCATCCGAAACTTTCTTTAGTTTTAGGTAATTCACAGGTTTTCAGCTTTTTAATACTTTGTGGATTAAGGTTAGGGTTCATGAGAAAGCATGACTAGAAACAGTTTTATTTAAAGATGACAAACAGGATAAATTATTTAGCTTTGTGTCCTCTCAACAGATCTGATCTAAATGCAGAGTTTCAGATGGATTTAATTGTGACACATTTAAAGAGACAGTAGCATTCTTCAGGTCTGTTACACGTTTGCTGATTAGCAGCTGGTCTGTTGTGTGTTTCCCTTTCAGCAAACGTTTTATGTGAGAAACTCTCATCCTGCCGAGTCGGCATGTTTGTTTCTGTCAAAATCACCAAATATCTCAAGTCAAAAAGCACCGTCTAATATCACAATGTGCAGGCAGCTGCTTTGCTCTAAGAAGTCCCGTAATAGTTTTTCCAGCCTGAGTCCCACATCTCGGGCGAGGTCGTTATCCAGCAAAGTTCAGAAGAAACAAACAAAAACACCCACGCAGAAGAAGTGTGTGTCCTTAAAAATGTTTTCAGTCGTTTCCAGAAAAGCCGTTTTTTATTGGGGTTTCTACAGTTTGAGTCTGCTGGGTTTTTTTTATGATGGTGGTCATTTTCTCTCACATTTCTGAAGTTTACAGCAGGCTGCTGGTCATTAGCATTGGCCTCCTTCAGTCAAGGTCAAAGTGAAATCGTTGGGGTTTCATTTAACCTCTCGGCCACTGAGAAGTTTCTGTCCTCGGGCTCACCTCCTTTCTCTTTTCATTCTCCCCTCTCTGTTTTTACTAGATAATTCCTTTGTGTGGTTCTGAAACCTCGCCAGTCCTGTTAATGACGGGTTCAGGTTGGGGTTGCTGTGGAGGGTTGGAGGCCACATTTGGTGCAGTCCTGTGCTGTCCATTCAAGGTGACAGGAGGGGCTGTGGCTTCGGGGGTTTTGACCCCCAGATTCTTTATTTTTACAAGGAAGGGATCCAAGGATTGAGCTGTTGATGTGAATAGCGGCCCAAGGTGACTGGATCCCGATAAAGGAGCCGTCACCCTGGCCGGGGCCCCCTTCCCATCTGAGACACAACCTTTATGGGGCTGGTTATGAGCCTGGGCAACTATTAAACCCCGTCCAGCCTGCACTGAGGAATTTAGGGCCAGGAAACAAGGGAGAGGGGGTGGGGGCGGACTCGGGGAGGTGAAGTTGGGGTGACTGAAGGTGAAAGTTGAAAGGCACATTTGATGGAATCTGGTTGCTCTTCAGTCATCACCTTCAAATGTGGACCAGGCGTCTTCCGGGTGATCTTTACTCCAACCTTCCCTCTTTTTTTTTTTTTTTTTTTGGGACATTGTTTGTCTTCACTAGAGCCAGTCAGCAGCCTTTTGCCAAGAATATGTTGTTGTACAGTGTGAAATCTTCCCTAGCGAGACGGTGAGAGGGACTCGGGGGAGACAGCGGCGTCTCGTAAACATCCCACCTCTGTTTGTTCACATGGGGCTGCAGGGATACGGCCAGGTCTGCTTGGACAGCAGCCTCTCAAATAAAACCCTGTGAACACACACACACACACCTCAAAAAAGAAAAAACATTTTCGATGAGAGTCAGTGAGTCAGTGCAGGCATCCTGCTCCGTCCCCCTCCTCTCCAATGATGAAGAAGCCAATCAAATCTCAGCTGCCAATCAGCTTTTTATCAGCAGGGCAATCTGGCCATCAGCTAATTGTGTCCCTTTTAAGTCCCTGTCAGTCAGCAGTGTCCCCACCCCTCCCCTTTTCTCTTAAAAATGCCCTTCTTTGGAGCTTGTTGCCTCCTGGCTCCACGGGGTGGCCTGTATGGGGCTGGAGGTGGGGTGGGGTTGTTTGTTGACCACTCTCTCTTAATCAGCTGCTGCAATAGCTTTCATCATTGTTTCAAAGGCTCGAAGAATTCATGCAAACAAGATGCTCTGATATAATAAAGTTTTTTTTTTTTGGTCTCTCTGCAGCGGTGGAGACCCAGAGCACCAGTTCAGAGGAGATGGTGCCCAGCTCTCCCTCTCCTCCTCCCCCTCCGCGGGTCTACAAGCCATGCTTCGTGTGCCAGGACAAGTCATCTGGTTATCACTACGGAGTGAGCTCCTGTGAGGGCTGCAAGGTAAATGAAGCCAGAGGAGTTTACAGGATGGGTGGAAAGTCAAACGCCTGAGGCTGACTGGGGTGATGTTGTAGAGCTGCCCCCTGGTGTAGACCCTGGTACTGCACCGTGAACCTGGGTTCAACCCACAAAGACTTTGTTCCTGAATGAAATCAGGTTCAGGCTTTCACAACTTCATCCAGAAACCAGCAAATTGGTGTCAATGTACAGGTGCTGGCCAGTAAATTAGAATATCATCAAAAGGTTGGAAATATTTCAGTAATTCCATTCAAAACGTGAAACTTGTACATTATATTCATGCAATGCACACAGACCAATGTATTTCCAATGTTCATTACATTTAAATTTGATATTCATAAGTGACAACTAATGAAAACTCCAAATTTGGTATCTCAAAAAATTAGAATATTCTGAAAAGGCTGAATATAGAAGACACCTGCTGCCACTCTAATCAGCTGATTTACTCAAAACACCTGCAAAGGCCTTTAAAAGGTCCCTCAGTCTTGTTTTGAAGGCACCACAATCATGGGGAAGACTTCTGACTTAACAGCTGTCCAAAAGACAATCATTGACACCTTGCACAAGGAGGGCAAGACACAAAAGGTGATTGCTAAAGAAGCTGGCTGTTCGCAGAGCTCTGTGTCCAAGCACATTAACAGACAGGCGAAGGGACGGAAAAAATGTGGTAGAAAAAAGTGTACAAGCTCTAGGGATAACCGCACCCTGCAGAGAATTGTGACGACAAACCCATTCAAAAATGTGGGGGAGATCCACAAAGAGTGGACTGCAGCTGGAGTCAGCGCTTCAAGAACCACCACGAGGAGACTCATGAAAGACATGGGATTCAGGTGTCGCATTCCGTGTGTCAAGCCACTCTTGAACATGAAACAGCGCAAGAAGCGTCTCGCCTGGGCCAAGGACAAAAAGGACTGGACTGATGCTGAGTGGTTCAAAGTTATGTTTTCTGATGAAAGCAAGTTCTGCATTTCCTTTGGAAATCAAGGACCCAGAGTCTGGAGGAAGAGCGGAGAAGCACAGAATCCACGTTGCATGAGGTCCAGTGTAAAGTTTCCACCGTCAGTGATGGTGTGGAGTGCCATGTCATCTGCCGGTGTTGGCCCACTCTGTTTCCTGAGGTCCAGGGTCAATGCAGCCGTCTACCAGGAAGTTTTAGAGCACTTCATGCTTCCTGCTGCTGACCAACTTTATGGGGATGCAGACTTCACCTTTCAACAGGACTTGGCACCTGCACACAGTGCCAAAACCACCAGCACCTGGTTCAAGGACCATGGTATCCCTGTCCTTGATTGGCCAGCAAACTCGCCTGACCTTAACCCCATAGAAAATCTATGGGGTATTGTGAAGCGGAGGATGCAATACGCTAGACCCAACAATGCAGAGGAGCTGAAGACGACTATCAGAGCAACCTGGGCTCTCATAACACCTGAGCAGTGCCACAGACTGATCGAGTCCATGCCACGCCGCATTACTGCAGTTATTGAGGCAAAAGGAGCCCCGACTAAGTATTGAGTGCTATACATGCACATTCTTTTCATGTTCATTCTTTTCAGTTGGCCAACATTAGAGAAACAAACATTTTTTCATTGGCCTTTAGAATATTCTAATTTTCTGAGATACCAGATTTGATGTTTTCATTGGTTGTCACCTATAAATATCAAAATTAAACGTAATAAACATCGGAAATACATTGGTCTGTGTGCATTGCATGAATATAATGTACAAGTTTCACGTTTTGAATGGAATTACTGAAATATTTTCAACCTTTTGATGATATTCTAATTTACTGGCCAGCACCTGTATATTTTAGGAATCTCGTGCTCTGCACGGATTCACCACCACCTTTTAAATAAAATCAGGAAGAACCTGTTTGCACGCTGCCTGGATGAGTTTTTGGGAAACGTTCCTCCTCCTGTTATTTGGCATGAAGACCGAAAACACGGGCAAACAGCCAAACACCGTTTGTGTGTTTCCAGTTGGAGACAAACTAAAAGTAAAAGGAACAAAACATGATCTGAGCTTTTAGAGGGGTTATGTCTCCTGCTCTAAAGCCGTGTGTGTGTGTTTCAGGGGTTTTTCCGACGCAGCATCCAGAAGAACATGGTGTACACCTGCCACAGAGACAAGAACTGTCAGATTAACAAAGTGACGCGGAACCGCTGCCAGTACTGCCGGCTGCAGAAGTGCTTTGAGGTTGGCATGTCCAAAGAAGGTTAGTTGGCCATGAAGTTTGAAAAGGTAGAGGAGGTTTCTGTCCTAAAAGCGTCTCACGTTGCCTTCATTTTGTCTTCAGCGGTGCGTAACGACAGGAACAAGAAGAAGAAGGATGTTAAGGAGGAGGTGGTTCTCCCGGAGAACTACGAGCTCAGCGGAGAGCTGGAGGAACTGGTGAACAAAGTCAGCAAAGCTCACCAGGAGACCTTCCCGTCTCTGTGCCAGCTAGGAAAATACACCACGGTGAGTGCTTTTAACCAGAACCCCTTAGCTCACATCTCTTCAGGAAGCAACCAACACAACCGTGTCCCGTCTCTCTGTTTCTCCCAGAACTCCAGCGCTGACCACCGGGTGCAGCTGGACTTGGGCCTGTGGGACAAGTTCAGTGAGCTTTCCACTAAGTGCATTATAAAGATTGTGGAGTTTGCCAAGCGGCTACCAGGCTTCACCACGCTCACCATCGCTGACCAGATCACCCTCCTCAAATCTGCATGTCTGGACATTCTGGTATTAGCCACCACCCCCCCACCCCCCATGCTTCTTCATCCCTCACGCTGCTTCACCAGTTATTACAGAAGTCCACATGAGCATGTTTACGTCTGTTTTTATAACCAGATAGTGGAGTTGTCATTTTTCTTCATCTTTATGACTTGGCCCAGATGCTGAGGATATGCACCCGCTACACTCCGGAACAGGACACCATGACGTTCTCCGATGGGCTGACCCTCAACAGGACCCAGATGCACAACGCTGGCTTCGGCCCTCTCACGGATCTGGTGTTCGCCTTCGCCGGTCAGCTCCTGCCTCTGGAGATGGATGACACAGAGACGGGGCTCCTCAGTGCCATCTGTCTGATCTGTGGAGGTAGCTGTCTACATGCCGTGTCTAGATGATTAATAGGAACCTTGAGACGGATGGGGGTTGGAGAGCAGCCTGCATTGTTCAGTGGCTATTTATCTCATCCTGTTTGCTGATTGTCCGAGCGTTAACGTTTCCTCCTCCTTCCTCCATCCAGACCGAATGGACTTAGAGGAACCAGAGAAGGTGGACAAGCTCCAGGAGCCGCTGCTGGAGGCTCTGAAGATCTACACCCGCCGCAGACGCCCAAACAAGCCTCACATGTTCCCACGCATGCTGATGAAGGTCACCGACCTCCGAGGAATCAGCACCAAGGGTACAGAAAAATAAAGAAAAATAAAACTGAGTTAAAAGAAAAACTAACACTTGACCTTGCGTTTGCTCGTTGGCGGCCCCTGCAGGTGCAGAAAGAGCCATCACCCTGAAGATGGAGATCCCCGGCCCCATGCCTCCTCTGATCAGGGAGATGCTGGAGAACCCGGACGTGTTTGAGGACAGCAGCGACTCCAGCGACAGCGCCACGGCGGCTCCGCCCGCCGTTCAGGACATCAAGCAGGAGGACAAGTCCACGTACGAGTCGGCCTTCGAGGAGGAGGAGGAGGAAGAGGAAGACGACTACTGGGAAGAGGAGAAGGAGTGGGGAGCGGACAGTGATGGCGAGCCGTGGGGGGAGGCGTCAGCAGCGACCACACAAAAGAAAGCAGGGAAAACGCAGTGAGTTGCGTCTCTCTGAGCCTCAGCGTCTGGTGGCAGAATCGTCCCTGCAGATGTGTCTAATCCCTAATCTGTATGCTGACGATGGCGGGTTGAATTCAGAATAGGAAACTGAAGAAGATGAAGCACTACATCCAGTGGCTCCACGAGGGCCCCGATAACAAAGTCAGTGTGTGTGTCTGACCATTAAAGGGCTATGCTTTGTATAAAATTGATGGTAAAAATATGACTGAACTCTACGTGGCGTTCACGTGCTGCCCCAAAAAAAAGTCTTCTCAGAACGACCTGTATTACTTCTCAGAGACGTGCAACTATTTTTTCAGTGTTTTTTCTAAACGTGTAACACTTTTCTCTTTCTGCCTCCGTGGACCTTCTCGTTTCGTTTATCTTCCACCTGGTTTCTGACTTTTCTGCTTCATCGAACAAGTTCATCAACAACAGCGGGACAAACAGACGGGAGGTCATGAGCAGGACTCCACAAAGTCAGTCTGTCAGTCTTCAGCTGCTGCTCGAGAGCCAAAGAAAACCCAACAAATCTGCACCTCTTGGCCAAAATACTCATGCAGAGCAACACCTACCTGCTAAAAACCTGCAAGAGTGGATTTATGATCATCGCTCGTACTCTCACGTATCTGTTCGACATTTTCTCCCAGAATAAAAACTCTGAGCTTCTCTCACAACAGAGAAGAAATTATTTAAGGCTGCAGCTCCAAACCTGGCAGAAAATCAGAATAATAATAAATAAAGGATCCTAAAAAGAGTGCATGAATATTTGAACCTTTTCAATAAAAACTCAGGTGTGTGTGTGTGTGCAAAGCATGCCGCAGCATCTGTTAAACAGTGTTTTTTTAAATAAAGAAAACAGAGTTTTAGCACATTTCTCCTCTTGATGAACTCAGAACGTGGAGCTTCAGAAAAACAGATGTTTGTAACATTTCTCTACTTCTGGTATTAATGCTATGGACATTTTTATAAATCTCATTTGGTTTCCATGATGGACTTGAATGAATGTGCTTCGTTACATCACCTGTTCACAACTACAGTTTAAAACTAAAGATGTGGAACATTTGAACATTAGGAAGTCATTTGAAGGGACATAAAACAGAGGTTTTCGTTTTATTTAAAAAAATGATTACAGGAGATAAACTGATAAATATCAATCCATGTTGTCATCACTCTTAATTAAAAGGCCTGTCAGTTTGGTTGTGGGTCCGCAGATCCCAGCGTGTGAGCTCAGTGAGCGGTGCTGTAACAAAACTAGAGATTATATCGTTTTTATAGAAAGATTACACAAAAACAAGCTTGAACACGTAAAATATGTCTAGTTTAAAATCATTTTTGGGTCAAGTCTGCGTTTTACTTTCATCCAACCCAAAAAGTTTTAGTTTTTGTGGAACTTAAAAGTCTCAGCCTTCGTCTGTCTCACTTGTAATTTTCAGCTCTTTTCTGCTCTTAATGTCAAATATTTAGCGAAGTTTCGACATCACACAATAATCAGGATATTTGTAATGAATCTGTTTGTTTTTCTGAACTTGACTTGGTGCAATAAATGAATCAGCCATTAAAAGAGGTCGCCGAGGCCTCTGCTCTTTACACGTGAACATAAAAAATACATAATTAAAAGACCAAAGACAGAGTCTGACGCTGAGGAGCTCCTGATTTATGATCCATTTTTCTTTATATTTTGCTGGATTATTTTTTTTGTGTGTGTTAAAATGATGAAGCAGAACTTTATTTTTTTTTCTCCACTTTTTACTGCAAACACTTTGTCTCCATGTTCAGGGATGTCTTCATAGATCCTCTAATAAAACACCTTTGATGCTCTCGGCTGCACAAAGAAGCTGGGTCCACGTGTTCTGGTTACATTTTTATAAGAAGCTAAAAGGACGTTTGCTTTTTTACCGTTTGCTTTTATGTTTTGTTGTTGGTTCTTGTATTTTGATAAAAGCTCTTTTTGTTCTCAGACCTTTTGGTGTCTCTTTTGTTTTGCACGTCGTTTCTCTTTAGGATGAACTCTGCTCCTAACAAAGGGCTCTAATAGAAGGAGAAGTATTCCTGACAAACATCCGTGTTCTCCCAGTCCCACATGCAGCTCTGAGAGCTGAAACAGATCAGTTCACACTTGACCGTGATCACACACACCCACACATTTGACACGGTTACAGGAGTCACGCGCTCATGCAAAAAACTCTGGAGCCAAAATTGCACCGAAACGGCACGAAGCATGTCAACATTGGGCCAAACGAACATTTCTCACGTTACTGTATGATCTACAGGGATTAAGACAACAGCGACTGAAAATAAAACCATAGATGCTTCTAGAAACTGTCAGCTACAGTTTAAAAAAAATGTAAAGTGCATTTTTCACCAAACAAAGGAATTTTCATTCCTGCAAACCAAAGAAACTATGGAGGTCTGACAGCACCCTGCAGCAGGTCTGTTCCAGTGTCACCACATCGGAGAGTCGGCCAGCTCGCTGCAAAGGGGGGAAGATCAAAGTGTCACAAACACGTGTAGAACACTAAATCTTATGTGGACCTTGTGGTGAAGTTTGCATGCCATCCACAGATTGTTGCACATCTACAGCAAAGTATAGTGCAAACGTCCTAACCAACACTGATTGTTTTCAGATTTTGTTTCCAAACAGCAGGTTTTCTTAAAATCTACATGGGCCTAACCCTTTGCAGAAGATATTTGGGTTTTCCGTAAGATTTTTCTTTGACTTGAGCTTTTGATTCAAATTGTGTCCATAGCAGCTCAGTGTGCAGTCAGATGGGGGCAACACAATGGGCCTATAGTGTCCTATGGCAGCATGACTCATGATAACATGTCTGGATCTGATTAAAATCATCACATGATCATTTTTAAGAGAGGGCGCTCTGTGTGTGTGTGTGTGTGTGTGTGTGTGTGTGTGTGTGTGTGTGTGTGTGTGTGTGTGTGTGTGTGTGTGTGTGTGTGTGTGTGTGTGTGTGTGTGTGTGTGTGTGTGTGTGTGTTACCTCAGAACAGGATTGACAAGTTCAGGCAGGATCAGCTGTTTCCCGTCCCCAGCAGGATTTTTACTGATCTGCGTCGTCTCGTCCTGATTTCATACAAAAAAAATGTTTGAGTGACACTGAGCCCCTTTTCCAAATAACTTAAATATACATAATATTGCGTGTCAGTTTTGCTTAATTGTGTGTTCCTACATGTAATCTGAATCATTTACACATTGTTTTCACCAGCTGTCGCTCATTAAACAGAGACTTCTCCCAACAGATATCACTCCTGGGGCGCTGGGGAAAACGCTCGTGAACTGCAGCTAATCACAATTGGTTGCTAGGGGGTACTGGATCATTTTGAGGCAATCAGCATCACTGAATGGGCGACAGCGCCCCTGCTACGGCTAAATAGCTGGCTAGAAGGTGCTGGATCTCCTATCCATTCCCTCATTCACACAAACACACTGGTGGGTTACATAGACGGAGCTTAAATCAGCTGCAACAAAATGTGCTTATTTGTTCTCATTTTATGTTGCATGTTGTGCCACCTACAGGTAAAACTGAGTTTTGTGTTTTCAGGTGCGCATGCTTAGCCTAGTGAACTAGATCAAATTCTTGCTTTGCAAAGTAAATACTACATTTATTTAGTCTGGCTTGCCAGGCTAGTGCATGCTGGCACACAGGCTGGAAAACAAACTGCTGTCAAAATAAAAAGTGAATGAAAACAAAACTGAACATTATGGACTGCAGTTGCTCTTGAACAATTGGAAGAAAAGCGTACACAGTAGGCTTGTGTATGTATATGAGTAAAATTCAGGTCTAATTTCACTTTAAATCTGATAGTTGGCTTTATCCGTCAAACCGCTGATTTGGAGATGGGAAATAAATGATTGTTGTAGAATTGTAGTCATTTTCCAACTGTAGGTTTGAATATTTAAAATGCACTAAGAGGGAGAGTTCTTCTGCAAATGACCCCGACAAGATTTGTTTTTGCCAGCCAGCCAGCCACTACTGCTCTGCCCGGACCTGTTCCTGCAGCAGCACCGTCCCAGGTGTTCAACAATAGAACCGGGACAGCAAAGTGATGAATCTGAAATTGGTCAAATATTTAGCTTCTTGGATTGTTTTGGAACCAAGTGCAGGTGCGCCTGAATACCTGCGAGTCCAAGGCCGGCTCGTCGCCTCTGCTCAGGCTCTGAGTCTCAGATCTGTCCTCCAGGTGAGCGGGCAGGAAGAGTGGTGAGGAAACTGATCTGGAGGAAGCTGCTGGAGCATCCTCGTCTTTCTCAGAGGAAGGGTGGGCAGCTGTTCAAGGAGACGAGTCAATTTGATGCTTATTAACAGAAGAAACAAATGACTGGGAGATTTTCTCTGTTCTTACAGATGCTGTTGGATTTAGTTTCAGCCTTCAACTTCTGCTCCAACAGATGAATGTAGTTCAGCAGATCCTGGAGGTTTAAAGAAGAGAGAACAAAAATCTTTTCTTGTAAAATTCTAATAAAATAACTAAAAAACTCATTTTAGAATCAGACTAAAATAGTCTGAGTAAATACAAAGTACATTTACAAATGATGATGATGATGATGATGATGCAGTCATGCATTTATGCTAATGAGTCTCTCATCACTGTGGAGGAGTTTTGTACAACTCGTCTTCACAGATTGTTATATTTCAGACACACCAGAGGGTTTTCCCGCAAAAATGTCCTGTTCAAGGTCAAAGGTCAGATATTCTCCTACAAAGCAGAATTCATGATACCATCAAAGTCCTCAGATTCCTTTTAGAAATGACCACACAACAAGTTGGAGGAATTTGTTATCAGTACAGCATGGCATGCTCACGTCTCTCACATCAGTTACAGCAGCCAAGCGGTCCAAGACCATCACACTGCCACCACCATGTCTGACTGTCAGGATGATATTCCAATTCTTAAGCGTGTGTGTGTGTTATTTTTTCACCAGATGCAACAGGACACACACCCTCCACTATTGTCTTGACAGTCCAGAGAATATCCTCCCAAAGATCTTGAGGATCATCAAGATGCTTGTTTTGTTTTTTGATAAATGCAAGATAATCCTCGTTATTTTTGTTAGTTGTAATGGAAGTTTTATACCTTTAAAATGCATTTGCCTTCAAATAAATGATGCAAAAGACAGAATGTTCTCTCTTTATTGTGTTTCCAATCAGTTCAGGTGAATATTTTCTACAACATAGGTCAGAGGAGTTCATGAGCTCTGACCTTAAAGGGGAAGTAGGCAGTTTTGGCTTGCTTTTAGCACCCCTAGTGTCCATTCAGTAGAATCGAATGCAAAACGTATCTCTTTGCTGTGTGTTTGTCTTTTTAACACCTTAATCTAACAGCTGAAAAGTCTCCCCAGCCTTCATTAGTGTCTACAGGAGTGATTCATCACTAAATTAAACCAATCAGTTGTGTTCATGATCTAAAATAAGCAACAAACATGCTGGAAGAAGGCTGCAGCACCAGGTATGTCAGCTCCATTTTTTTCTTCTGGACCGATGTAGGTCCAGGATCTGCTCGGCCTCCCAGATTGCCTCGAGGTCCTGCGCCTGCCGATGAAGTCACACTACGGCAAATCCACTCGGCTTTCACACAGAAGTTTTGGAAAGAGTTTTGTGAAATTCTTGTTTCTTACCGCCTAAACGTTTTCTTTATAACTGTAGCTTTGTAATAAAACACCATATTGTCTTTGTAGAGAATGTGAAACTACATAAAACCAACATCAGACTGCCGAAAGAGCACGGCAGTTCTTATATGTGAGCAATTTTAAATGTAATGTGCAGAATTAGCAGCCATTTCCATTTGTATAAATGTGGAATTCTTCAGTATGTTTCCTTAGTCCTTATGTAAATGAATCCATTCATTCATCCAAAATGTTGCTTGCTATTTGTTCAATAAAGTTATTTTATTTTGTTTTGCCCCATTTCATCAAAATCGAGAGCTGCTGAGAGTCAGTTGATATTTTTACTTTTATTTTACGTTTCCTTTGGCAATGCAAACATTTTCCCCAGAAAAGTGTGTTTTGGACTACAACCGCAAATTTATTCGGACCTATCAAAATCTTCAGTGTCAACATGCTAACATTACTTTTACGAACGCGGTATCATAACTTGCGTGAGTTCTACGTTCAACCAATCATCTACCACTGGCAGGCGCAGGACCCCGAGCCGATCCGGTGCCTACACCGGCACTCTGAAGTTGCAAATGCCGTACTCTGGCCAAAGAGGGCGGTGGGGGTCTGAGTGACATTTCATTAACAACATAAAAGGGTCATTTTAGCACATATTGGCTCACGAAAATGATTTGAAAATATGAAAAAGTTGCAAAGTATACCTTTAACCTTAGCTAAGACAGAGGTTTAGTGCTTAACGGGGTGTTTTTGAGCTTGAGATTCTTAAGACAGGGCCAGATCTTTGAGATCTTTTTCGCTGCTTAGGTCATTTCTTGCTTCTACAGGTTTGAACTCATAATTTATTACTTAATAAAGCGGGATTACTTGCTGCTGCAGCTACAGATTTCTTTTTGTTTTTGTACCAGAGGAATGGAAATGAGGACTCTTATGAACATTTTGAAGGACTTACTTGTTAAAAGGGAGTTGTCCTCTCCACTGTCGCTTTTTGCTTGCTTAGTGTGAGGATTGCTGTATAGTCACTGACACTAGTCAGTGACTTGATGCAATTTGCTGGGTTCCTTATATAGGAAACATTATGTCTGATTGGCTTAATGAACTGACCTGAATTGGAATGTTTATTATGTGAAGTGCCTTGAGACGACTCTTGTCGTGATTTGGCGCTATATAAATAAACTTGAATTGAATTGAACTTGTTGTTTACCTGCTCTAATGCCAACAACTTGCCTGTGTGTGCAGTTGTTCCTCCTCTCTCTCCTTCTGGAGCTTTCTGAGTGCAGCCATCAGATCCTGCAGCTCTCGCTTGGCGTCACTCAGCAGCACCTGCAGGAGGCCGTAACTTTACACTTTCCTACATCGTGACCTCCTCCTCCTCCTCCTCCTCCCTGCTGGTCACATGCTGATGTGAGGAAATGTTTACTCACTGTTCATGGAAGCGTGTCTATTTGTGCCAGCGTGTGAGTAAAAACAGCGCTGGGCTGGACTTCTCCAGTTTCCAAAAACATATCCTGAAGCTAAATAGAGTCTGGAGCTGAAGGTGTTTGCGCGTTAAATAGATGATGATAACCTACCTTCTCCTTCCCGAGCTCTGCCTCCAGGGCGTCTCTCTCTGTCTTCTCCTCCTGCAGCCACTCCTCCTTCTTTTTTAGCTCACAGCTCAAATCTTGTATTTTCTTTTTATCCGTCTGCACAGAAACACGGTGAAAGAGGATTAGGATGAGTTTGCATCAACATCCCAGGTTCTTGTCAGATCCTCACTTCTGCTGCCTGTCTGCACGCCTCTCTCTCCAGAGCTGAGTTGGCCCGCTCCTCTCTGAGGAGCAGGTCCTGGTCGGACAGCTGCAGAGTGAGCTGGGCTACCTGCAGCCTGGCTTGGTGCAGCTCGGCGTGGGTCTGGCTCTGCCTGGTGCCCAGCTCTCTCAGCTCTCGACGCAGACTTTCAGTTATATGGTTGCTGGTCTCCAGACGCTCCTGCAGCCCTCTCACCTCTGCTGCTGAGGCCTCCACCTCCACCTGCAGGTTTAAAGGTTTGGTTGAATGACTCGATGGACCCTGAGACGTGCGTTTTGTGACATCATCTACCCGCAGAGACTTCCTCTTCTCCTCGTCATGCTGCATCTGACTGGACATCTTCTTCACTCTGTCTTTCAGCCTGTCACAACAAAGATCAGCTCAGTTTCAGGCCCAAGAAGCGACACAAAGTAAAGTCGTTGTTCAGTCCTTGCCACCTCTCCAGGTCCTTGTTTGCTTCCATCTCTCTGTCCACCAGGACCTGGATGTCCTCCTCCAGCTCTTTGACCTGCTGCTGCTTCTCATCCTTTTCAGCCATGAGTTTGCTCAGCTCAGAGTTCAGATTCTCCTGACTGTATTTCACATCCTGTCATTGTTCCAAACAAAAACAAGATGGTGTTTTCTGCATTTTGAGGTGGCCAGTCCTGGGTTACTCAGGTCCACCTGATCACTAACCTTGTGTTTTCCCTCCAGCTTCTTCAGACCCTCGCAGCTTTGTCTCAGGTTGTCTCTGAGCTCCGCGATCTCCTCATTCATTGCATTTCGTTCACTCTCCCACTCCATCCTAGCTCTCCTGCAGCCCTCCTTTTCAGCCTCTGCCTCCTTCTTTGCTGCCTCTAAAGCTTGCTTTAGGTCTGCTTGTTTGTTGAAGCTCTCCTCCAGTCGGCTCTGCTTGAGAAGCAAAAATATTAGCAGGAGGTTTTTTTTTTCAGGACAGCTTTAATGATGTGTGTGTGTACTGATGTTGCTTCCCTGACCTGGAGCAGCTGAGCCCTGGGGATGACCAGGAGGAGCTCCTCTCCTCCATCCTCCTCATCTTCTACTTCCTTCAGCGTCTCCAGCTCCTCCAGAGGTTTGGGAGTGCAGAAAGTAAAAGAGCGACTGCGGGCGCACACGTCTCCTGTCTTATCCACGTAAACAAACTGGTACTCTGCAGCACTGGGCCGAGGCAAGTAGGACGCTGTGGAGGAACACTTACCAAGTTTGATTTCTGCAGCTATTAGAAGTCTTTCACTTTAGGTTTAAAGAGCAACTTTTTTGCTGATAAACTTTATAAATAAGTGTCTAATTGTGCTGTGTAATTAATAATTTGGCACTTTGGTGCATCTTAGTTAATATTTAAATATTCTGCCTAAAACTGTCAGTGTAGTGCCCTCTTCAGGTAAAAACACTGCACTGCATTTGAATTTAAATCTGCCATTGCTATTGGCTAAGAGGTACCCTTTGATGTTAGCTGGGACCATATGATGTCACAATGCCACTGTGAGCCTCTGTGTGTGTGTGTGTGTGTGTGTGTGTGTGTGTGTGTGTGTGTGTGTGTGTGTGTGTGTGTGTGTGTGTGTGTGTGTGTGTGTGTGTGTGTGTGTGTGTTACATTTAGTTTTTTTGCTCAGTCATGGTTATCTCGCCCATAATACAGCAAAACTGGTTCATCGTTATCATTACACAACCACCACCGTGTTTCACAGAGACAAAAGAATATTTATAGACTGAGCATCAACGACCCTCTTCCCTGAGGTTTTATTGTAATTTGTTCACAACTTGACGCACTTTCATAAAAATGTGATAAGACTTTGTAGACTTTGTAGACTTTGTAGCTTATGTATAGCCGATTGTCTGATTTAATGCAATCTTTAAATTTCACCTTAAAAAGTAACAATTACATTTACAGAAATCTAACAAAATTAGCTTGTTTTTGCAGAAAGAATGTGACTCTGTAGATAAATGATCATAAATCATAACAATGAGGAAGAAAAGAGTTATTCATTGTTTATTTTTATGATTTTTTTATAAATCTGATGACAAAGTCTGAGATAAAGCAGAAATCTCGAAAAGTGTGTAGTACATTTGTAATTAAGCTGTAATTAGATGTTATCATGACAGCTTACAAAAGAATTGTAATATTGAATTAAAAGAATTGGATTAAAGCAGCTTTTGGGATCCTTCATGCTGTTTGTGTTATTTAGACTTTACAGGGAAAACATTAAAAAATAAACAACAGAAAACACCAGGAGTTACTTACAGGAGGACTCCAGAGTCTAGAGCAGTGCTTCTCCATCCTGGTCCCGGAGGGTCGGTATCCAGCATGTTTCCATTGTTTCTCTGCTCCAGCACACTTGATTCAGTGGTTGAATCACTTGTGCAGCAGCTCTTGCAGAAGCCTGGAAATCACCTGCTGATTGACATCAGGTGTGTTGAAGCAGGGTTGAAGCTTAAACATGCTGGATACCGGCCCTCCAGGACAAGGATCAAGAACCACGTAGAGTGTTCCAGCGTGTTTCTGGTCTGGTTGGGTGGTATCAGACTGAGTTCTTACCCTGAAAACCTGCACAACCATCCACACTGGTCCCCTCAGTGTAACCCTCAGGAACGAGAGCCCATGTGTACGTGTGGTACTGTTTGAGTGAAGACCAGCCTATCTGTGGCAGAGAACAAAAACATTGTCTGGGTTTCTCTCAGATCCCTCCAGAATGCAGACAATACACACCCACACTCTGATCCACACATTAGACACGTGTCTACTAAACAGTGAGCTGTTTTTGAACTTGTCACAATTTTCCCAGAGCTTTTGCACGCAGACTGTTTGATGCTTAACTTGGAGATTAAAATAAAAGGCAATAAAAGACAAATCTGGGATTATGGGACCATAACGGTTCACTGGTGGTTACTATGGCGACCATAATGAGCCACTGGTTGATACTATGGTGACCATAACGGGCCACTAGTGGTTACTATGGTGACCACAACAGGCCACTAGTGGTTACTATGGTGACCACAACGGGCCATTGGTGGTTACTATGGTGACTGTGATGAGCCACTGGTGGTTACTATGGTGACCACAACGGGCCATTGGTGGTTACTGTGGTGACTGTAATGAGCCACTGGTGGTTACTATGGTGACTGTGATGAGCCACTGGTGGTTACTATGGTGACCATAATGGGCCACTGGTGGTTACTATGGTGACTGTAATGAGCCACTGGTGGTTACTATGGTGACCATAACGGGCCACTGGTGGTTACTATGGTGACCATAATGGCCCACTGGTAGTAGTTACTACGGTGACCATAATGAGCCACTGGTGGTTACTATGGTGACCATACCAGGCCACTGGTGGTCACAATGACCATAACGACCCACTGACGGTTACTATGGTGACCATAACGAGCCACTGATGGTAACTGTAGTGATCATAATAAGACAATGGTGATCATGACAAAAAAAACTGGTGGTTACCGCGATGACCTTGATGACTACTTGGTGACTGTAACAACCCACTGATGGCTACTATAGTGACTGTAATGAGCCACTGGTGGCTACTATAGTGACTGTAATGAGCCACTGGTGGTTACTATGGTGACCACAACGGGCCATTGGTGGTTACTGTGGTGACTGTGATGAGCCACTGGTGGTTACTATGGTGACTGTAATGAGCCACTGGTGGTTACTATGGTGACCATAACGGGCCACTGGTGGTTACTATGGTGACCATAATGGCCCACTGGTAGTAGTTACTATGGTGACCATAATGAGCCACTGGTGGTTACTATGGTGACCATACCAGGCCACTGGTGGTCACAATGACCATAACGACCCACTGACGGTTACTATGGTGACCATAACGAGCCACTGATGGTAACTGTAGTGATCATAATAAGACAATGGTGATCATGACAAAAAAAACTGGTGGTTACCGCGATGACCTTGATGACTACTTGGTGACTGTAACAACCCACTGATGGCTACTATAGTGACTGTAATGAGCCACTGGTGGTTACTATAGTGACTGTAATGAGCCACTGGTGGTTACTATAGTGACTGTAATGAGCCACTGGTGGTTACTATAGTGACTGTAATGAGCCACTGGTGGTAACTATAGTGACTGTAATGAGCCACTGGTGGTAACTATAGTGACTGTAATGAGCCACTGGTAGTTACTATGGTGAACATAATGAGCCACTGGTGGTTACTATGTGACCATATTGGGTCACTGGTGGTCACTATGACCATAACAACCCACTGATGGTTACTATGGTGACCATAACGAGCCACTAATGGTAACTGTAGTGATCACAATAAGACAATGGTGATCATGACAAAAAAACTGGTGGTTACCGCAATGACCATAGTGACTACTTGGTGACTGTAACAAGCCACTGGTGGTTACTATAGTGACTGTAATGAGCCACTGTTGGTAACTATAGTGATCATAACGAGACACTGGTTACTATGGTGACCCTAGTGTTGCACTGGTGATTATTAAAGTGGCCATCAGAAACCAATGAGGATCACTATGGTGACCTTAATTAGCAAGTGGCAACAGCATTAACATTTCTGTTTGTATGTATGTCGATGGTTTATACTTACATGTCGTACAGTTAATGCATCACTCTATAAATTATTAAAACTTGTTCCAAATTATTGTTGGGGCTTATTGAAGAAAGTAGACAAATGTACGTAGTCGCTTCATTAACATCCCTCAATATTTCCACATATATGAAGTCATCTTTGTTTAGTAGGGTACTAACGTGGTTTATTCTACCTCAAAAATCCCAATCCAGTCACTGCTGCTCCACTGATGCTCTGACGTCAGACTGTAATGACACTCCACCCGAGTTTGGGGGAAGTACAGTTGCCCCACATTTCGAAACATGACCGTGGACTGTTTATCCATCGTAATAGGAAGCTTTGCTGTTGAAGAGGAAAACACACAGATCTAGTTGGCATGTGCCTGTTCCTTTCTGGATGAGAACAGCTGGTGAAAGGTGACAGCAGGGCTGCAGGCTTATGACATACAGCTCAGTAGTGGGATTAAAAACAAGGCACTCACTGACCGCTGAAACACAGATGGAAATATGAAAAAGAGAAGCTTTGATTGTGAAGATGAACCCAACTAAAATGGCAATGCAATTAATGCAAAAATGAAGACGTTATTTGTATTTAAAATGTGCCTCGGATGGAAAAATCCCTTTGAGGAAGAAGAACATGGCAATAATCAGATTAAGATTAATTTTAATTTTTAAACCAATATTATTAATGCTCATATATAAATAATCTAGATCTAGATCTAAAGTCAGCTTCAAATCAACCTGTGCAGTTAAGTAACCTCATCTTGAATCTTCTGTTGGGTGAATCATACCTTAATCCGATGAGGGATAAATCTTTCCAGCTACCCCGAGAAAGCTGTGGGTGTTTCTGCTGAAAGCGATGAGAACCCCTGTCAGGTGCAAAAGTTTCAAAACATCTCCTGGACCATGTGGACTCCTAGAAACATGGAGATGCACAAAGGCTCATGGGAAATGTAGTTCATGAACTCAAAGCTCATCACCCTGAAAACAAGACCTCAAGACTTCAACTCCCAAGGAAAGCACAACCTGTGTGTGTGTGTGTGTGTGTGTGTGTGTGTGTGTGTGTGTGTGTGTGTGTGTGTGTGTGTGTGTGTGTGTGTGTGTGTTGGGGGGGGGCTACCTTTAGTTACCGAATGTTGCAACTCACAGCTGGGCTGCCAACATTTACAAAAGTCTTGGAGTGGGATTTTCTTTACAGTGATTTTTATTTCTTTGTGTGTGTGTGTGTGTGTGTGTGTGTGTGTGTGTGTGTGTGTGTGTGTGTGTGTGTGTGTGTGTGTGTGTGTGTGTGTTGGGGGGGGGGCTACCTTTAGTTACCGAATGTTGCAACTCACAGCTGGGCTGCCAACATTTACAAAAGTCTTGGAGTGGGATTTTCTTTACAGTGATTTTTATTTCTTTGTGTGTGTGTGTGTGTGTGTGTGTGTGTGTGTGTGTGTGTGTGTGTGTGTGTGTGTGTGTGTGTGTGTGTGTGTGTGTGTGTGTGTGTGTGTGTGTGTGTTTGGCAAAAACAAAACATTATTCTGGCAGAGACAAAAAGGGATGTTTAGGCTGAGCCAAAACGAATGCTGTAATCATTGTTTGCTATGTAAGAACAAGGGTAATTGATTATGAGCAAAACACATCACATACATTGAAAAACTGTGGAAAAAAACAGTGAGTGCAGAACAGTTATGTCACATTTGTACTTTAAATCAGTAGGCTTATAGCACACAGGTGGCCAATTCCTGCAGAAAATATATTTAGCTACATTCAGGATTAAATACTGTCTGTATTTATGTCAGCGAGCTAGCTAAATACATCATCTATTGGAAGATTACTAAAGATTTGCAGACAATATAAGTGATTTGGATAAGTGTTTCCTCTACCTTCAGTTGTGATTTAAAAATCTAGTTAATTCTTACTTGTTTTAAATTTTGCTCTTTAAACCATATGATCATAATATATTGAAAATACTTAAAATGTTTATTTTATCTGATTAAACAGGTTTATCAAATTAAAGAGCAAGTTAGCCACAAACAATCTTTTTTTTTTACTGATAAACTGTATAAATGAGGGTCTAACTGTGCTGTAGACACATGTAATAATTTGGCACTAAAGTTCGTCTTCGTTAAAATGTAAATATTCTGCCTAAAACTGTCAGTGTTGCACCGTCGTCAGGTAAAAACTCTGCACTACCATCGCTATTGGCTAAGAGGTACACAATGACATTAACTGGTACATTATGATGTCACAATATCGTTGTGAGCCTGTGTTCGTGAAAGTGTTAGCGGCTCTGCCCTCTTGGTTTGCCAGGCAACAGCATTTGTTGCCTTTATCAATCAGGAAGTGGGAGTGAAGTAAGACTCTGGTGACTTGCTCTTTAAATAAGATGTGACGAAATATACTGTAGGATGTTTATTTGATGCAGTCAGGTATTACAGGCCCAGACTTTAGTTCTAGCATTTCTCCACTAGAGGGCATCATTTCCCCACTTCTTGTTCATTTTAAGGTAAATTTAAAACAGAACTTATAGCGCTGTCACTCCGGGTGTTTGTGCGTGTGTTTATGTTTATGTTTATTCATTTTGCAGACGCTTTTATCCAAAGCGACGTACAATTTTGTGTGTGTGTGTGTGTGTGTGTGTGTGTGTGTACAGTAGCGCAACGCGGTGTGTAGTCCAGATAGATTACCTATTTTTCAGCACAAGAATTTGGGGGTGTGGCGTGCGTGAGAGCGCGTGAAGACGGCCGTGTCTCACGCTCATTGCTGATCACAGTTGGGGAGGGGTCATTGTGGGGGTGGCACCACCGATGATTCAAAGAATAACAAATGATATAAAACTGCTAAATCTGATTAGTTTAATCTGAATGCTGAAAAGTCTCCATGTGAGAGAAAATATATGAAGTTTAATGTTCAGAATTAAAAAAAAGCACATCTCATCTCAGGCTCAAGCGACCTATCCCATCTTTAGACACTAGATGGCAGTGTAGCACCAGCCCTCAAATGATCAGAATGTTCGGTTCTTGTTTCTGATGTAATCTTATAAACCAAAGTCATGACTGATTTCTTTTGAAAAAATGACTCAGGTTGAAACATTTATTTAAACAGGAGTTTTTTTTATTTCAAAAGTATAAACCCTGAGCAACAAAAGAGCTGGCAAGACATTGTGTACAAAAAATTATAATAATAATAAAATGTATGCAAAAGGGAGAGTTGTATATTAAGCTGTACATTCATGTTGTTGTTGGATTATTTACAAGTTGAGAAGTTTCTAAACTTCAGTATAATCTGAGTTGAAGGTGAGAGGTAGAGAATATAATTTTACCAACATGTGAAACATGATAAAAAGCTGGAAAAGACTAGATGTTAATAATGTTTAGCATTCAGTTAAGGGTCAGTATAAATGCAGCATGTTTTTTGAGCGTCTCAGCTAACTGACTCAGACTTCAGACACTCAGCTGATAAATGACGAGACTGGTTGGAAAAATCAGGTTTAACTGTTGAATAAATAAGAAATCATCGTTACACACAGGTTCATTAGCTGCTACTCAGCAGAGAGAGAACACCCAGTTCCCCCAGTTTGGCTCTAGCTACTCCTTCCCAGCCCTTATTGGCCAGCGGGTTTCTGGGTGATGGATGCATGATGCCTTCCACTCGCACATCCACACCTGCAGCAGACAGAGCTCGTCGCGCCCGCTGCTCAGCCACCCTCCCCACACCGATCACCATGGAAACGTTCAGGGCCTGCACAACCTGACACAGAGCGGAGTCACACAAGGACAGCAGGGCTTCTCGCTCAGCTGCAGGCAGCTCGGGCGGGGTCAGGTTCTTCCCAGTGGCGCTCATGAAAATCAGCGGGCACAGATTGTGAACGAAGCAGTGCTGGAAGAATCGTGTGGGTTCACCGCAGAGTTTTCTAAAGAACCCCCAAAAACGTGCCCCGCTCACTTCACTCTGAGTGCAGCTGAGGCCCGTGATCCGCCGCTTTGGGTGCTCTTCATCAGGACGACCCACCTCTCCCAAGATCTTCAGCCAGTCGACCACAGACCTGACCTCACCAAACGGGACCTTGTGGAGCAGAAAAGGGATGTTTAACACAGATTTAATCTAAACTGAAATCATAGTAACACAGGAAAAAAATTACATTAAAATGATTATTCTGCTTTACAATATGACTACCTTTATAATCAAATAATAAAAGTTATTAGTACACGTATTAATAAAGCTGTAAACGTGTTATAAATATCTCGGTGACTTGTTCGTGAGTGAGGGAAAGCTAGATCGGGAGACTGATTTGAGATTGACTCTCGATTTACCGGCCGATCTACGTTCCTATATCCTCACCTATGGCCACGAGCTTTGGGTAGTGACTGAACGAATGAGATTGCGGAAACATCGGCCAAAATTAGTTTTCTCCGCAAGGTGTCTGGGCTCTCCCTTAGAGATAGGGTGAGAAGCTCGGTCATCTAGGAGGAGCTCGGAGTAGATCCGCTGCTCCTCCACATGGAGAGGAGCCAGTTCAGGTGGCTCTGGCATCTGATTAGGATGTCTCCTTGGTGAAGTTTACTGAGTACGTCCAACCGGGAGGAGACCTAAAGGGAGATCCAGGCCACGTTGGAGAGCCTGTGTCTCGCGGCTGGCCAGGGAACACCTTAGGATCCTCCCAGAGGAGCTGGAGCTGGGGAGAGGAGGAGGAGGAGGAGGAGGAGGAGGAGGAGGAGAAGAAGAAGAAGAAGAAGAAGAAGAAGAAGAAGAAGAAGAAGAAGAAGAAGAAGAAGAAGAAGAAGACATCATTTCTATAGCGCCTCTCAAGATAAAAAATCACGAGGCGCTTCACAAAAACAAAAACAAAAGTAAAAATATAAAAAAGCATTTAGAAAATGTTTAAAAATATATTTAAAATGAGCAAAAATAGGCAATTGGGATTTTTAAAAAATGTTAAGAAAGAGAGAGAGTGAATAGGAAAGAGGGAAATCAGTGGATCCTGAGGAAGGTGGAATAGGTGGGGAGAGCAGAATAAAGAGAGAGTGGTGAAGAAAGTCATACAAAAGCCAGCTTGAACAAGTGAGTCTTCAGCTGCTTTTTAAAGGAGACCACTGAGTCCACTGATCTCAGGCTCAGGGGGAGAGAGTTCCAGAGTCTGGGGGCCACAGCAGCAAATGATCTGTCACCTTTGGTCTTTAGCCTGGTGCTGCACAATCAGTAGGCTTTGATCACTGGACCTCAGGGACCTGCTGGGGGTGTAGGGACTAAGAAGATCACCAATGTAAGATGGTGCTTGTCCATGTAAGGCCCTATAGACCAGAACCAGGATCTTGAAATGAACCCTGAAGTTGACTGGCAGCCAGTGAAGCTGGAGGAGAAGCGGGGTGATGTGGGTGTGTTTGGAGGACTTGGTCAGAAGCCGAGCACAGGCATTCTGAACCACCTGTAGACGGTTCAGGGAGGTTCTGCTCAGACACGTGAAAAGAGAGTTGCAGTAGTCTAAGCGTGAGGAGATGAAGGTGTGGAGAACTGTCTCAAGTTCAGAGCGAGACAGAATGGGACTCAGCTTAGCAATGTTCCTGAGATGGAAGAAGGAAGAGCGAACAAGAGAACTGACATGAGAATCCAGGGTGAGAGATGGGTCAAAGGTCACGCCAAGATTCCTGACAGAAGGTTTGGTGTGGGAAGCAAGCTGACCAAGAGAGTCTCTGACTTTGGGAACCAGCTTGTCTGGGGCACAGATGAGGATCTCAGTCTTATCTTCATTCAGCTGAAGAAAGCTCCCAGCCATCCAGGTTTTGATAGAGTCTAAGCAGGTGTGTAACAGCTGCAGTTTAGACATCTTATGGGGCTTAAAGGAGATGTACAGTTGGATGTAATCTGCATAAAGATGGTAGGAGATTCCTTTGAAGGAGCTCAGGATGTGCTGAAGAGGAAGCAGGTAGAGGAGGAAGAGCAGATGCCCCAGCACAGAACCTTGTGGGACACCACAGGTAAGAGAGAGAAGTCTGGGCCTCCCTGCTTAGGCTGCTGCCTACGCAACCTGACTCTGGATAAGTGGAAGAGAATGGATAGATGGATGTTATCATGGATGTAATTTTTTGGGGGGACAGGGGGGTCATGTCCCCTCCACTTTTTACAAAGTCAAGTTTGGACCCCTGCACTCTTTACCATCCAAAAACAATATTATGATATATTAACTAGATACTGGTTGAGCACTAGGATCAAGCGGGAAACAACCGTTTGTGTTGAGCCTGTTTCCCATTAGAATGCACTGTAAATACACCTTCTGACAGCAGAGGATTGTGATGCATTAGGTATCCGATGCATCATTTATTTTAAATGTTTTATGAGTTTGTTTGAGAAGAGTAATCCCACTGCGGCTCACCCCGGTCTGCGCCATGCCGAACGGTCCAGGATTCATCCCCAAAAACAGGACCCTCTGTCCGGGCAGACAGTACTTCTCCACGTAGCAACGGTGGGTGTCCCAGGCGTAGTCCAGCGGGTTGTAAACGTAGCGGACCGGTTCGCTGAATGAGAGCCGGCGGAGGTGGGCGTTTAGCTCCAGCTCAGCCTGCAGGAACCGGGAGGCGGGGGTCCCGTTTGCAGTGTTGGAGACCAGACCCGGTTCTGGTTCTCCTCCAGCGAGTCCCTCCGTAAACGCAGCGGGGTTAGCTAACATAGCGAACATTTTCCAGAGTAAATAAGCTTTTCTTTGTTCAATTAACCCGCAACATTAAGTTACGTTTTAACAGCGTTTCTTTCTTTCATCGGATGTGTTCTTTATTTTGTTTTTTTAACCGAACCCAAACGGAGTAATTTCTTCTTCTATCCTGCATTCTGACGCTTGGAGGCCTCTGCTGCCCCCTGCTGCAACATCAGTATAATTACAGCCAGTGACAAGAGTCAGGGCTGCCTCAAAGCAATGAGCGTGAGACACACGCATTTGACTGTCTTCACCACAGCGATCTGTGTTTAACAGGATCAGGGGACTCTTTAACCTACCATGCCCAGAAAAATAAAGGGAACATTTAAACGACACAATGTATCTCCCAAGTCAATCACACTTAAATCAACTGTCCACTTAAGAAAATTGATTGACAATCAATTAAGTAGCAAGGCATCCTTAATAAAGGAGTAGTTCTGCAGGTGGAGCCCACAGACCACTTCTCAGTTCCTGTGTTTTCTGACTGATTTTTTATTCACTTTTGAATGCTGCCGGTGCTTTGGCGTTAGTGGTAGCATGAGATGGAGTCTACAATACACACAAGTGGCTCAAGTGCAGCTCAGGATGGCACAACAGTGTGAGCTGCGGTAAGGTTTGCTGTGTCAGTGTAGTGTCCAGGTCCGCCATGTTGCACTACAGACCGACCAGGTCCAGATTACCATCCACCACCTCATCACGACACGTCCAGGCGTTGTAGGGAGGTCATACAGGCATGTGGAGACCACACAGTACTGAGCCTCCTTCTAACTTGATTCAAGGACATTACATCAACATAAGATCAGCCTGTACTGTTATTCCAGTTTAACTTTGAGCATGACTCCAAATCCAGCCCTGCACAGGTTGATAAATTTGATTTCCATTTTGTGGTTTTGTTGTCAGCATTCAACTATGTCGTGAACAAAGGTATTTAAAAATATTTCTTTCACTCAGATCTAGGATGACCTTTTTCGTGTTCCCTTTATATTTTTTGTGCGTTGTAATTTAAAATACAATTTCATGAAATGTAACTTTTTAATATTCTATCCACAAGTACATTAAAGCCTGAATACACTCCACTAGGGACACTGGTATCGGTAAAAGGTTAACCGATACCAATGCAGCTGCCTGAAAGTGGCTTCACTGTAACTTGTCATTTCTGTTCACCTAATATTTTAGTTTTGTGATCATTTCTATTATATTTTTTATCCACCTCAGACTTTTCCTGATGAAAGCAGAGAAGAAAATTAAACCTGGATTCCAATTCATTGCTTTTTGTGTGTGTGTGTGTGGTAGAAGCATCGGTATCGGCGAGTACACAGATCCAAGTAATAGTATTGGGTCGGAAAAAAGTGGTATAGGTGCATGTCTACACTCCACAATTACATGAGTAACACACGACTATAAATATTTGAAAATGATTTGAAATATTTGAAAATATCAGATATATGTCCCACTACATTCTCAAAGACCATCGTTTGACAAATTACTGAATTGTCTAAAAGATGTTAAAAACGGGCCACAATTGAACCTTCTCACTTTAAATGACAAAAAGACGGAAATTGTCCTTTTTGGGGACCCTGGGCTGTTGCACGTGGTAAACAGTGTATTTGGCCCTTTAGGATCCTTTTGCGTGTCTCAGGCAAGAAATCTGGGTTTTCATTGATGGCCATTTTAAACTTGATAAACAGATAAGTTCTGTGGTCCAGAGTGTGTTCTTTCATTTGCGTGTTCTTAGTAAAGTCAAGCCCTATTTACCACTCAAAGACTTTGAAAAGGTTATACACCTGCTAATCGTGTCGAGATTAGACTACTGCAACTCTCTATATCATGGACTGGAGCAGTCGTCGATTCATCGCTTGCAGGTGGCTCAGAATGCGGCAGCCCGCTTGCTGACAGGTAGGAGGCGCAGGGATCACATAACACCAGTCTTACAGGCTCTTCGCTGGCTCCCGATCACTTACAGGATTCAATTTAAAATGCTACTGTAGCATCATCAAGGTTCTCTAATTTGTGGCAAAGGTCACATTTACCCAGCTGGGTCAAGCTGGGTCAAGCAGTACTTTTAAATCCAAAGATTAACCAAGGAGCGATGATGTCTGGAAGAACATATCACCTATCTGCTGCTGTTCCGTCCCAGGAGGAGGACACTTCAAGTTCAGGATGATAATAATTAAATGATAATATTAATAAAATATATTTGATTTTAGTACTGTTTATGAAAATCATCATAAATGATCACTTGGTTCAGTATAAATGTATTTTAATTACATGAAATGAATTTATGCTTTGGGTATAATAATGATTAAGATGATTATGGTTGATGGCAGTAAAAGATGTGTTCAGCAAAGAAGGTCAGTTTCACCTTATCCATCTAACACAGAGTCCAGATAAACGATAACTGCATCACATGTTTTGGACGCATGACCAAGCTTTCTTGCTGAGAGAGCAGGAGTGTCCTGAGAGCTTTTGTAAACTAACCATCACAGCTTCACGTTCAGTTCTTGAACCAACATCACGGAGGAAGGGAACGCCGTCCCTAAACCTCTACCTGCTGTTTTGTCACGCCGTCAAGAATAGCTAAGAATAAACGAAACTTTAACCAGCTGACGAAAAAACTCCTGACAGAGTTATTGCTTTCTGAGTTAAGTTAAGACGAAAAACTCCTTCAGAGTTACGGACTTTGAGACGCCAATAGTTCATCAGTCGTGTGACCCACAGAGACAACCCAGGACTGATTTGGTCGCATAGAGGTCCTTCTACCATCCTCGTGCCCGGAGGAAATCATCTCCACTTGACATCTCGGATCCAAAAGGGGGTCTCCGGAAACTGGGTGAGGTAGACACTAATCGACAGATGACGTCCGATGCTGTTCTCTCTAAATAACTCAGTTAGCCGCAAAACATCATTTCCATCCAGAACGCTTCTTCTCTCTCTGAAAGAAATCTTCTGATAATTCCATTCACGCATCCAAACTCGTATTTCCAATTTAGCTTCCATCCAGCCGCAGGTTTGTTCTTTTAAAACAATTTAATATCAAAGCTGTTAAAAATTGTCATCCATGAATTGTCGTTTCAAATCGTAAAGTTTAAAATTGTTAGTAATAACATTTCTTCATTTTTAAACTTGCCTCATTATTGAAACGAAACACAGAAAAGGTATAATATTTCTGGTTATTGAAAAGCAAAGATTCCTAGCTTCTGATTCAAAAATAAACTTTTGCTATTAAATTTAATTATTTAAATTAAACATTGATCCTTGGATTAAAATTAGACCAAACAGGTTGGTGTTTGAACTTAGATCGACTATATAAGTATCTGGGATATTTATACACGATCTAAGCCTTATAGGTTAATCTGATTGGTCATTCTCAGAATCTAACAACTGATAGCAAACAGTGTTGATTCTAGTGTGTAGTAATCTCTACACTACTGATGTTTTAAGGCACAACACAATTTGGCCCCTCCTTATCTGTCAGAACTTTTAAACACTCGTGTCCCCAAACGAAACCTCCGATCATCCGCTCTACATCTACTATCTGTTCCCAAGTCTAGGCTGAAGTCTAGAGGCGACAGAGCCTTTTCTGTGGCCGCTCTGGAACAGCTTTCCCCTACAGATTAGGTCTGCTAACAGCCTTTCTGCTTTTAAGTCTCTTAAAACCCTACCTTTTTACCCTTGCTTTTAACTGATTTTATCGTTAAGTACTTTTTGGGTCTACTGGATGGTTCTCAGTGTTTTATCATTTTATTTTAACTGCTTGTCTGTGTACAGCAATTTGTGCAGTCTCTGATTGTTGGAAATGTGCTATATAAATAAACTTGACATTGACTATTATATGCTGTTAAAAACATCCAGAGGGTGTCAACAAGGCTACCTTAGGTTTGGAGAAGCTCCTTTGAAGTAATAACTAATGCAGGTTGATATACTCAGTTGTCTGAGCAGCTTTTGAACCTTTTATTTTCCAGGGACGGTGCTTTGGTCCATCATGTTGCCAGAGATGAAATCAGATGTCAGCAAACGTTAACACGAGTTTACCCGTTGACATGAATGATCTCTTTTCAAAATACATAACAAAAACAAGGACATCATTTGACCTGAAAATTGATTTTTTAATCAACATTTTAATTTTAAATCACATTTTTCTGTCACATTTTTGTTAGAAAAAAAAACATACAAGTCTTTTACAAATTCTTTATTTTAGCATAATAGTAAGAAGCCTCTCTCCAGATTTTCATACAGTTGAAACTAATTGGATCACAATGGTACATATTAGTAAGCCCATTTTACAATAATCAGTAACATCTTTAGGAAGTTATTCTTATGCACTCTTTTTCCTACACAAAATAATCAATATCAAGATCCCATCTTAACTGAGGACCATAACTCCGCATGCAAGACTAATAAAAGAAAACAACTAATCTGTGATAGCTACTGTTATGCTGCTGTTCATCTAATACCATTATCAATATAATTTACTACAAATACCAGGGACTGTATAAGATAACAGAACATTTTCCTGTGGTAATACATCCCATAATGTCAAAAATTACAGAACATACCGGGCTCCCAACTGTACTGATCCAAACTGTCCCATTCACCTTCTGGGTAAAGCTGAGCAGAACAAAGGCTTTGTCTAAAACTAAAATCTAGATTAAAGGGGGGAGGGAAAAAATCCTAATTTTCTCTCATCTTCTTCCTTTCACTCCAGTGTAGTTTAATCAGAATAACAAAAAAGGTCCTTGAAACAATCATTCATATGAGATTTGTCTGAAAACAAAACAATTTTTTTATAAACATGATTTCTATTGCATTTTAACAAAAGTGATACTAAAAATAATAAATGACAAACAGGTTTTACTAAGAGACAGTTACTATATACGGTATTGCCCTTTTGCCTTTTTCTCCCTGCATGTGCACACACTGGAGACGTCCCTTCCAGAGTGGGAATAGTGTTTCCTAAACTTCTCTGTTGGGACGTGAAACCCGTCACAAAACCCTCCCAGCACAGCTCTGGTCTGCTATCAAATCATCATGAGATGTAATGAAGAATGCAGATCCTCCCCCAGAGGCAGAAGACATGTGGACACTGCAGGTTTGTGATGAAAGTGCTCATCTTCATCAGCATTGGTTTGATGGGTTAGTGGATTGCTCCACATCTTTAACTCTGCAGCAGAACCCACCCTTACCTCCACCTGTGATAACGAGCTCATCAGAAACCAAAGGAGTCACGTTTGAAGCAGCTCTTGTGGGCTCTCTGACCGGAGAGGGATCTCCACTCAGGGTCATCGTTACAGCGATCGCTCCTTAAGGCCACCGTTAGTGTGCAGCAGACCCAAACTCAACGTGGGAGGCCTTTGGGACGACACGCTGCTGCTGTTAGCAGTGACATTAACTTTAAATATTCGCTTTCCCATCAAGTCCACCTCTCAACAGGAGAAAGCAGTTCAGCACCGCCGTAGCCGTCAACATTCACAAACCTCGACAGCTTTAAGGAAAACAAAAGCACGAGTAAAAAGGCTCGTTGACTCGTCTGATTCGCAGTAATAAAACAGCCAGAAAAAGGCAACTAAATAAAGAAGAAACTGGGAAAAAGGAACATACTAAGGCCACAAGATTTTGTACTGTTGCTAATCTCACAATGTGACAACCTGTACAAACGACAAAGTGGCCGACCTGCATCATATCCACCAGGAGTTCACCAGAAACACTGGAAGTGATGTTTTTTTTTTTTTCCTGCAACAGCAGAGGAGACCTCTGGTATTTACAGAATGGACAGCAGCGAGTAGAACTCCTAACACACTGAGGTCAGAGCAGGAACCTCCGGTTTACATATATGGAGTTTATTTTTTATGACAGAAACTCAGGTTCCCTCAGGTCTCAACAGCAACAGTGGTAACAAAATATATTTGAACCTTTGACCCATTTTGTGCACATAACTATCAGCCAAGTTATAGTTTAGCCATAGTTTTTTTTATATTTACACAAAAACATGATTACATCTGAACTCCCTCTGATCAGACACAGTCTCAGGTCAATTTCTGCCCTTCAGCCAGAGGAAAAGGTCAGTTTTAATCCATTTAACTTGACTGACAGATTTATGAGTCAAAATGGATCATTTAGGAAAAGAATGATGGAGCAGCTCAAATGATTTCTTCATCCAAATTTTCACAAAGACATTAGGACGAACAATAGCCAGTTCTTTTCCCGAGTACCACTAAATGACAATATTTTTATTCTTTACCAGTAAAAACTCTTACTTTGAAATAAGAAAACAAAGGATTTAGTAAAAAAAAAAAAAAAAAAGGGGGGACCACTGTTCATCACAGAAATGTTTCTTCTTTAAAAAGAAAAAAGGAAGAAAGGGGAACACAGTAAAAAGTTGACAAAAACACACAAATGTCCGACTGTCGTTACAAATCCCAAACCTGGAGCTGCGAGATCAGTTTGTGCTAGAATGCGGCGCCACTGTGCACAGAGGTGGGAGGAGAAAACCCTGCACGGCTTGTCCCGTCTCCGCTGGAGCTGTGGATGCAGAGAAGGCGGGATGTCAGACAGCCAGCCGCCCTGGGGGAGGGTGCAGGGGGCTCCAGGTGGGGGGTGCAGGTGGGGGCTCCTGGGGATACGGGCGTGGCTCGCAGCAGGGCTGATTCTCCACTTTGGCTACGCCGCGGCCCTGGCACAACCGCCGGTGTCTCAGCAGCCGGTCTGTGCGTGAAAAGTTCTTCAACAGACAAAAACCAGGAAGACAAATGAACACCAAATCATTTTAAAACACCAATAATCTTAATTCTGTGAACCAATCTGAGTCCACACCTGCTGGCACCTTTCGCACTGGTAAGGCTTCTCCCCACTGTGGACACGCTTGTGTCTCTCCAGGTGGTAGCGCTGAATAAACCTCATATCACACATGTCACATGCAAATGGCTTCTCTCCTAAAAGAGCACACAGATACAGTCAATGCATCAATTTTAGAGTCGCACGACAACAGCTTCCATCAAATTATCTTCCTTTCAATAAATACATGTCCAACAGTTACAAATCAGCTGGAAAAGCCACTGATCTATCAGGGTTCAAGCATCAGTGCGCTCAGAAGCCTCGTCATCAACTCAGTATGTGTAGATCAGAGTGGAATTCATTCATTTTCTCACGGGCCAGATCTATGCAACATAGCAGCCCAACAAAACGGGGCAAATTTGTAGTTTTTAGGCTGGTTCAACATCCCATCAACTGACTTGACAATCCAAACTCGAGTTTGTTGCAATCCTTCGAGCAGCGCTGCCTGTTCGGAGTAACACAAGGGTACGGTAGAGGAACGCATACCCGTATGAGTGAGGCTGTGTCTCTCCAGGTGGTTACGCTGAATAAACCTCATGTCACACATGGAACAAGCATACGGCTTCACCCCTACACACACAGAGCAACATATTAGCCCTAACACCCACAAGAGCAACACACACAAGTTTTAGGCTCAAGCTAGCCCTAGCGCACAGCTACCTGACAGAATAATTAGTTATGTGCATGTTCTCGTTTAGAAACAGTGCTGATGTGACCAAAGATGCAGATAAGTGTATTTATATCCAGTGCTGTGCTGCAGTCTTGGGTCACCCCGTATAATTATGATCCTCCTTAAAACAAAACACATGCTGGGTTTTTATTAAATATTATTTTAACTATTTAAGTCACAAATATGTTTTTTATTTGCAATTTCAACTTTTTCAAGGTTTGAGAGAGAAAAAGATGTCTTCCTCCATCTTTTGAGCCAATTTTCTCAGAGGCTTAAATGAACACTAATAACTGCATAAAAAATAAAGGATGACATTCCTGGATCACATAATACCCCCTTATGATGACATTTTTATCCCATCTTCTCGGACTTTTCCTAACGTGCACTAAAATTTTAGACTGAAGCACTTAGAAAACATGTTAAAAGTACATCATGCCCAAAATGATAAACTTTAAAAGCGATTCATTTCAGATGAGGGTTAAGCAGCCTAATAATAATAATAATAATACATTTTATTTACAATGCGCTTTACATTACAGAAGTAATCTCAAAGTGCTAATAAACAGAAGGACTTAAATAAAAATGAAATATATATTAAAATAGACAAAACCTAGGCAGCCTTTATTTGACTTTGCATAGACTAATTAGGGGGCTTGCGACTTTGGCACAGCACTGAGAATGAGCAGGAAACACAAAAAAAGATATATTTAAAGTCACACTAAGATGTGTTTTTTCTCATGTCTCTCAGGGGTAGAAGTCAGAATATGTACATGTATGATCAAAATTTAACCTTTTTGTTGTTTTTTCTTTTCCAGATTTGATATAAGGCCACAACACAAGCAGAGGCCAAAATAAATGGAAAGAAATAATAATAAAAAAAGACAGATCTGCAGAGTTTTTAGGCTGATTTATAAAATTCAATGTTAATTTTTACTCTTGATGCATTAAAAACAGGGGAATTTAATGATTTTTAATGATTTAGTAATGACTTATACCTGAAGTTTTAAGGATAAATGACAAGAAAAGGTAAACAGCTAAAAGGACTGGAATTGTCTCAATTGTTCTTTACTTGGTGAAGGTTGTAGAAATTACAAAAATTATACTAAACAAAATTAAAGCAGACCTTTTCAGTCCTATAGGATTAACAAACTAAGATGACGACGTGTGTTTGTAAACAAATGGTTGTTAAAAATATTTCTGTTGATAAAATTTGACTGTTCTTTCCATCATTTGTCAGAATCAGCTAATCTCCATGTAGAAAAATAAAGCACACAAAAGGATTTACAGTACTGTGAAAAAGCTTCAACGATCTGAATTATCACACGTCATTTGGCCCAACAGCTGGTAATACAAAAGGTTCTCCTTTCTGCATTATGAGACAGGCCAGGTTCAATCTAAAGTATTTGTTCCAAACTGACCTGAAAACAATCCTGACATTAAACAGGGAGCTATGCTCTGTCTAATAAATCTCAAGAGTTTGGTCAGTTTTCCTGAGACTGTGTTAATAGCTCCTCCACTTAATGAAATCAGTCTACTTTTACACATTTTAGTGAGTAAAACCTTTGCACAGTACTGTTTATGATGCAGGTGGGCGTACCCGTATGCGTGAGGCTGTGTCTCGCCAGGTGGTACCGCTGAATGAACCTCATGTCACACATGGTACAAGCAAACGGTTTCACACCTGAACGCAGAGCATCAATATGTTAATACCAGGAGCTGAACTTTTGACTCACAATCCATCAATCACTTGTGTCGTGAACTTCCATTAACAATTGATGGGTTGCTAACCTTTTTATTTATGTGATAAAATGTTTAAAACATAGCCATTAACAATCTGGTGCTCTCTAAAAGCAGTTAAATAGTCAAATCTCCCAAACTGTGACTCCACATCTAGACATCTCATGAGCTGATGATATTTCAATACCAGATTTACATTATATTTGTTTTACACACCATGCATGGTGGCTGGATATAAGTATGCATCTCAGTTTGTAAAAGCAAGAATGGCCTTTGAGAAATAAAGCAGCATCTGTAATGATGTGAGAACAGCTGATTTCGGTGACATGGGTAAGGTGGGCGGACGCATACCCATATGAATGAGGCTGTGTCTCGCCAGGTGGTAGCGCTGAAAAAACCTCTTGTCACACATGGTGCAAGCATAAGGTTTCACACCTAAATACAAAGTATTATTATTACACCACTTCAGCTCAATTTCTCCATTATTTAACAAAAACACCCTAAATAATTGGTTATTAACCACACATTGGCCACGTCATGCAAAAGAAGAGCAAATGCCAACTTAATATACGATGTGGTAGATCAAATGTGCTTTCGATGCACATTATTATACATCAGAATTAGCTTGATTTTTATCTGCTGTCCCTAAAACACTACAGAAATAACCAGGCTTAATTCACCAATCAAATCCTTCTCAGAGCTAATCTAGTACCACTGATCATGTATGTAGGTTGGGACACAGGTTTATTAACCAACACATTCTAAAGATCATGATAATGGATGCACGACATGTTTTATCTAGTATAATCAAGCAGCTACTTGGCACTAGCAGTAGCCCAATTTTATGAAGATTTTGATGGAAAAAACTTTAAGAGGTTTTAAAAGTGTTTTAAATAAAAAGGAAGCGCAACAGGAGCTACTCAAGGCACTACAAAGTTGTTAATGAGGCATGTCAGTTGCTAACTTAAAGAGGTCCAAGAACAATTATTTTCTTTTTGCATTTTGAAACTGTTCTAGAGTCTGTATATAACATATGAAACTTTGTTGAAGCCCAAAATAACCCAGGAGCCCCGATAAATGGCCAAGCACAAGCCCATAATAAAGGCCTACAATGGAAAGAAGGGTTGACTCCGCCCACTCAACCAGGACATGATTAAATGAGCTGTGTGCTGACTGGCTGGTTTACCACGATGGCTCCATCATGCTGCCTAAAGCTACACATGCTGTGTACAGCTGTATACAGTACAGGACAACGAATTGGACAAGCTATTGATCCATCTGGCATTCACTCAGTCTGGATATTCCCAGTTCATCCTGGAGATCCTGTTACATGTGTGCTTCGTCCTTCTCCTTAGTTGTTTTTCTCTCTAGCTGAACAAGAACTTTATCAGTATCTTGGGCTAGAATTAGCGGTAGCTCTGGCTAGCATTAGTAGTAGTTCAAGCTAGGACTGGCAGCAGCTCAGGCTATCATTGCAGTTAGCATTGCCATCAACAAAGAGGTGGGTTGGGACATGCTAATTGAAGGTGGTGTGTCTAAGCTTATGTAATAAACCAGCTTTACCCAGAATGAATTGCTTCTCTGTGGTCATTTCATCACTGCTAAAGCCGTTTTTTTAAAACAACGCCGTCAATTTGTCGCAAGGCCACGGCGACATGAGGGAGCCATAGGTCATTTTAAAGTGGTCAAACCACGGCGGTAATGTTGCACAATTGTGTCCTTTTTTATAAAAGATTAGGCGATGGCAGCATGAACAGGGTATGGGGGCTGCAATCGTTATTCATTTTCAATATAGTTGCTGGTTGGAGCTTGGCAGTAACTCCCAGGTCAAGGCGCAATCGCCGTTTATAAGACAGACAATTACAATTACAGCTATATTACTATCAAGTGAGGCAGAAGGAATGCCGCAAAATTTGTGCATCGCCATGCTGGCATGTCGCGATTAGAGACAGACCATTGTGCTAATATTACACTGATTTGCTGACAGTGTAATTTGTAAAATTGGATTAATGCAGATTAACGCATAAAAATGCAGGTTGGAGACATCAGACGTTTTGGTATGCTACATAAAGCACACCAATCTAACAACATTCAACAACAACAACAAAATAAATGTGGCTTTAAATTCTAGGACCCCTTTTTATATATTTTGTTTACAGAAAAGCTACCTCGAACAGAATAACATTCAAGCTAACTTTGCACGTACTGTCATATAAAAGTAGAAACGGAGTTATTTACCGTTTCCTTTAATACGCTGTAAGATGTCATCATTTAGCAAAAAACAGTTACGACGTCAATACATGATTTTTTTATTCATCCCAAACATTATATTACAGATTTATACCATTTTTATTTTAGACCCAGAGATTGTAGATAAGGGTTTTCCAGTTCCATTTATCATTTTAATGTATTTAAAAAGAAAAAAATATCTTGTTCAACAGTCTTAACCTGCATTTTTTTAAAGATTTTTCCAGACAGATTAAATGTTAAATAAGATATTATGAAAAAGTTTATTATAAACTTATTTTTAATTAACCCAGATTTTAGATAAATTATGAATATTAGATTAACATGCAATTCTACTTTTTAATAATTTAGAAACCTCCAAACAGGCAAATCAGAACAATGCAAAAATAAGACAGTGGAATTATCAACTAAAACTACAGTCAGTGCTAAAACTATGTCTTTCAGGATAAACAAAAAAGTGAAAATAATTTAGACACAATGAATTATACCAATAGTGAAAGTTACAGCAACGGGATAAAATATTTTTTATTGAACCCGTAGAATTTGTTTTATCAAGTTATATTTAGACTTCATGTTAGCTGGTCAGCTGCCGCTCCAGGTGCTGATTGAACAGAGATCTGTATATTGTGAGAGGGTGAGTGTACTGAGGCGTACCCGTATGAGTGAGGCTGTGTCTCGCCAGGTGGTAACGCTGAACAAACCTCATGTCACACATGGTACAAGCATAAGGTTTCACACCTAAACGCAGAGCATTAATCGTTACATTCAAACTTTTAGAGGAGGATGTGTTTACAATCCATCAATAGTCAACTAACTGCAGCTAAGTGAAATCGATGGGTTGTTAACCACAATAAAAATAATACAATTTTGGGTTTTGGGGTGAAAATAATCCAAATCCAAGTTTATGAACCAATTTAAATCCACACTTTTAACACATCACGTGAGCTGATGATGTAGTTTGCAAGGGTATCTGCAGGTTTAAGGGAGCCAAATTTAAGACTTTTAAGACCTTTTTTTAAGGCCACTTTGACCAAATTTAAGCTATTTTTTTAAATTTCATTTAAGCTATAATTTCCAGCTATTGCTTGAAACCGGTGCTAACCACGTCGCGAACGTGGGATTAACCATCCAGTTACCATTAAACTTGCACTTCCCTATGGCGCAAGCTCCCACTAGCTTAACCAGCTAACGTCCTCACTTAAAATAGCCCCCTTTCACAACCAACTGAATGAGTACAGTTCCGCTTATGAAAATATGATACACATAAAATGCTGAACACTAACTAGAAATTCACGAAAATTTTATAGAAATAAAAATTTCTTGTTTATTGGGTCTTTGGTCATTTAAGACCTTTGGAAACTGTATTTAAGGATTATTTGTCATTTTTAAGGATTTTTAAGGCCTTAAATTTGGAAAAGCAAATTTAAGACTTTTTAAGGACCCGCGGATACCCTGAGTTTGTTGTGTTAATTTAAGCGTAACATTTCTGCATGTAATGTATGTCGGATCAGTCCTGTAGCTAGTTTGAGACATTACTGACAGCTACCCCAGACTAATGTACCTTCTGTCTAATAGAAATGCATGAATACAGTTTGATTTTTGTGACATGGGTAAGGTGGGCGGACGCATACCCATATGAGTGAGGCTGTGTCTCGCCAGGTGGTAGCGCTGAAAAAACCTCTTGTCACACATGGTACAAGCATAAGGTTTCACACCTAAACGCAGAGCATTAATCATTACATTCAAACTTTTAGAGGAGGATGTGTTTACAATCCATCAAAAGTCAACTAACTGCAGCTAAGTGAAATTGATGGGTTGTTAACCACAATAAAAATAATACAATTTTGGGTTTTTGGGTGAAAAATAATCCAAATCCAAGTTTATGAACCAATTTAAATCCACACTTTAACACATCACGTGAGCTGATGATGTAGTTTGTTGTGTTAATTTAAGCGTAACATTTCTGCATGTAATGTATGTCGGATCAGTCCTGTAGCTAGTTTGAGACATTACTGACAGCTACCCCAGACTAATGCACCTTATATCTAATAGAAATGCATGAATACAGTTTGATTTTTGTGACATGGGTAAGGTGGGCGGACGCATACCCATATGAGTGAGGCTGTGTCTCGCCAGGTGGTAGCGCTGAAAAAACCTCTTGTCACACATGGTGCAAGCATAAGGTTTCACACCTAAATGCAAAGTAACAATATCATATTACTTTGCCTGAAATTTCACTGTTTACTATATTAAAAAAATATACAGTATTGGTTATTAACCACACACAATTGCCAATTCCTATTAAAAAAAGTTTTTTTTTTTAGAATGTTCTCCTAATAAAGCCTTTATTAACATCATGTTAAAGTTAGCCCAGTATCTAACTGGGCTGCCACTGCTGGAGACTAGTTAGAAACAAAAAGTTGGAAGAAAACATGCAAATCCAGAGTCCCGAGACTCGTTCGATTAAAGAAAGAACCCTCGGAAATGCTTGAAGATAATAAATCATAATAAGATCATAATTTGTGGCCCACCGCCACTACCCGATGAGTTAAGGACATAAACAATCAAAAAACTAATTCATTCATCTTATTTTGACTAACAATGCCTGACACGAACTAGATAAGTAAAGGAGGCCTAACAATGAATGTCATGGGTACGATGTGCGGACCCATACCCGTATGAGTGAGGCAGTGTCTCGCCAGGTGGTAACGATGAAAAAACTTCATGTCACACATGGTGCAAGCAAAAGGTTTCACACCTAAACGCAGATCATTTAAGAGAATTATTGTAGATAAAAATGATCTAGAATCCCATCAAAAAGCCAATATGAAACGGTTTTCTGTGGTTAATAACCAATGTCAAACTGTGCAATATGGGTTCAACGCTGATTTTAGATTACAAAATGAGGGCCACTGTACAACAAAATAAAATCTAATGGTAATTACACTATCTGATAGTCTATAAATACATATATATTATGACTAGGTCAAGCATACTGTAACATCCTAATCTCGTGACTGGTTTAAGATTGGCAGACGCATACCCATATGAGTGAGGCTGTGTCTCGCCAGGTGGTAGCGCTGAAAAAACCTCTTGTCACACATGGTGCAAGCGTACGGCTTCACCCCTATGCACACAAAGTACCAACTTTAGCATAAAAAATTAACTCAACTGCCAAAAATGATCGACATTAAACTTTACTAATTGCTTTAGTAAAGTTCGGCTGCACTCATCAGCGCTTTGTTTGAACTGGAAATTCCAGCATGCTTCCGCAATCTGCTATTCCAATTAGGATTTGGTTTTCCATCTCTGTTATATCTGTGACTGCTGATTGTCTTGGGCTAAAGTGTACACTGAATTATAAACTAAAATTCTCCCAGGTAGAAAGTAAAATTGTCTCATTACAAACCAAAAGCCACCAGTCAAGCAACTGAGGCCCAATGGGCCCATGCCAACTAGCACAACATGCCAATAAATGCTTATCCTGATTCCAACACTCACCAAGAAAATCTTTAATTGTTCTAAATTATTTTTGTCACGCTGATCGCAGTAGTAAAGACAATTTTAGGCAGTTGGCAAACAACCACGTTGAACACAGGTTTACATTTGCAAGCAATAGTCGGGCTTTCACAGGATATTACAAGTAAGACGGATTTGGGTTTTTGTTTGAGCAAAATTAAACCATGTCATTGTTAAATAAAAAATAAATTATTAAACATAAGAACCAACTGACAAAACATCAAACATCCTGTAAAGACTTAGATTAAAAACAGGAGAAGAGCCATTTCCGACCATACCTTTGAATGTGAAATGACACACGACAAAGTTGTGAGTATTGAGGGCAGATTTGAAATGTTAAAAAAAAAAAAAAAAAAAAGTTTATTTATTATTATTATTATTAACACAGATTTACATATGTTTAATCCCCATTTAGCAGATTAGGCACCACAATCTGATTCCATTGTCTGAATACTTTAAAATATACTTCTGAGCCCAATCATCAATCGTTACAAATTATTTTAAATAAAATTTAAAAAAAAAGCACAGCATCTAAGCACAAAGAGTCTTTTGCACTTTGCATCCGTGTACCGAGAGGGCAAATTCACCAATAAATGAATGCAGTTTAGGGAAGCTTCACGTCTACTACTGATTACTATAAAATCACATACAAATGTGTTTTGTATCAAACCAATTCTGTCAAAGTATGCTGTAATTTATTCCATTTAGGGGACGGGGAGCGCTATGTGACATAAAAAGGAGCATTCAATGACTATAAGAAAGGTCGTTTTTTATAGTGCTCTGTGGGGAAACCACAGTGGCATAAGTCACAATGTTTGAGTAAATACCCCAATGCAAGCTGGTCCCTGAAATGGGCTGGAAAGTTCTGTAAAACTGAGACATGCATGCTGTGAAATTCTGGTAGTACATACACTGGGATGCAAAAGTTTGGCCTGCCATGTTAATCTTCATGATTTTCCTATATAAACTGTTGGTTGTTATGATAAAAACTTTCAGTTAAATTAATCATAAAGGACACACGAACAGTGATATTCGAGAAGTGAAACAAAGTTTATAGGATTTACAGAACGTGTGCAATAATTGTTTAAACAAAATTAGGCAGGTGCATACATTTGGGCACAACACTTCGAAATTTACTCAATATTTTGTGGATCCTCCGTTTGCAGAAATAACAGCCTCTAAAAGCTATGAAACATCTCTAGTTCATTCAGGCTTGACGACTTCTGAGGATGGACAGCTCTCTTTAACGGACACAACAGATTTTCAATAATATTCAGGTCTGGGGACTGAGGTGGCCATTCCAGAATGTTCTACTTGCTCCTCTGCATGAACGCCTTAACAGACTCTGAGCGGTGTTTAGGGTCGTTGTCCCGGTGCAGCTTCAGCTTTGTCACAGATTCCTGGACATTGGTCTCCAGAATCTGCTGATATTGAGTGGAGCGCATCCCTCAAGCTTAACAAGATTCCCAGTCCCTGCACTGGCCACACAGCATGATGGAACCACCACCATGTTTTACTGTAGCAGGTATTTTTCTTGGAATGCTGTGTTCTTTTTCCTCCATGCATGATGATCTTTGTTATGCCCAAATTTTAGTTTCATCAGTCCACAGGACCTTTTTCCAAAATGAAGCTGGCTTGTCCAAATGTGCTCTAGCAAACCTCAAGTGGCTCTGCTTGTGCTGTGGGTGGGAAAAAAGGCTTCCTTTGCATCACTCTCACATACAGCACCTCCTTGGGTAAAGTGCGCTGAATAGTTGAACGATGCACAGTGACTCCATCTGTAGTAAGATGATGTATAGGTCTTTGGTGCTGGTCTGTGGGTTGACTGACTATTCTCATCATTCTTCTCTTCTGTTTATCCCAGATTTTTCTTGGTCTGCCAAATGAACTGTTCCTTTGGTCTTCTATTTCCTCAATATGTTCCTAACTGTGGAAACAGACAGCTGAAATATCCAAGACAGCTTTCTGTGTCCTTCCCCTAAACCATGATGGTAAACAATCCGTTTTCAGGTCATTTGAAAGTTGTTTTGAGACCCCATGTTGCTACTCTTCAGAGAATATTCAATATCGGAATCAATAAAATGACGACAATACCCAAATATATACACCTGCCTAATTTAGTTTAAACAATTATTGCACATTTTCTGTAAATCCTATCTTTGCGCAAAAGACGGTGGCAACTTCTGGTCCGCGTTAGTTTTCACCGAGACGATGCAATCCCTTCATGCAAATCCTTTGTGGGCTTTCAGAGATGGAAAACATGTGTAAACACCAAAAAAATAAATAAAAAATAAAACAAAAGTAATTGTCTAAATAAATAAATTGCAGCCTACATGTCTGTCTATAGCATGTGATAAAATGTATTTTGTTGTCCATATTTTTATTATTTGTGTTTAAATTTAAATCAGGAACGATTAAAGTTTTGTTACAACACAATACCCAGCTAGGTTTATGTTTCCAGGCTGTCAGTAATATAATCTCTGTTAATCATGGATGAGATTTTTTTCATGGTTGTCATGTCATTTCATAGACAAAGTATGGGGGGATATCATAACACAGGCGGTTATGAGGACAAAAAGCCAGACAAACTCGAGTTTGAAGCAGCCATGTTACCATTAACTCATATGCAGAACATGCATGATCAAAGCCAGGAAGCAACATGTCGGACATTAAAGAAGAGGAGGAGGAAGTGGAAAAGGAGGACATACCTGTATGAGTGAGGCTGTGTCTCTCCAGCTGGTAACGCTGAATAAATCTCATGTCACACATGGTACAAGCATATGGCTTCACTCCTAAATGCAAAACAACACCAGAAGTGTTTCAACTCACAGTAAAATTATAAAATCATAAATTTCATTCAAATCGTTTAGCTTGGCATGCTTCAATAACTACATAATTGTGTTTTGACACATTACACTAAAAACGTTGAAAAGTACTATTCAGGAGCAACAACGAAACGGAGCGCAGACTACTTTTATTAATATTCAGTCAAAAGGCAGAAATTGTTCAAATGTGACAAAACACCAGTTTGAATTTTATGTTAAAACTCGTTTAAAATCCTATAAATTTTGCTTCTGTTAAATTAACATTTTAGATCATTAACGACTGCACTCAAAGCACTTTAGTGTAATGTGTCTTTCACTGAAAACAATATAATAAGCAATACACATGCTAACGTACCATTACAGAGTTCTATAACTCAAGGTAACTGACAGATTCACTTTTTAGTGGACAGTTTTCCAACAAAGCCTAAAATCTTTAATAAATGCTTAAACAATTATTAGGTTATAGTATGTCGATGGGCTTATGAATGCAAAAAAAGAAGAAAAATAAGTTTAAATTTACTATGTGAAAGGTGAGTGATAGGGGAACAATAATTCAGTCGTACCAGTATGAGTGAGGGTGTGTCTTGCCAAATGGTAACGCTGGAAGAACCTCATGTCACACATGGAGCAAGCGTATGGCTTCACCCCTAAACGTATACAGTACCAAACTTTAAAAACAAATATGTTTCTGGTGTGCACAAAATGTTTCATTTTACAAACATAGATCATTGTTTTATCATTACAGGGTCTCATTAACTTTAATAACCAGCTAGTTTCTGTTCAATCGAGGCATCACAAGTAAAATACAGTCACTAAAAAAAGCTACAAGAACTTAAAATAGCTATCATGTCACAACCAAGAAGAAACTTGCTTTGCACAGAGGAGCCCCACAAACAGACGAACATCTAAAAGCCCTAATGTATAGTTTTTAAAGAAACAAGGACAAGTAACTTCTACCAGTGTGGGTGAGTGTGTGTCTTGCCAGGTGGTATCTCTGGAAAAATCTCATGTCACACATGGAGCAAGCATATGGCTTCACCCCTGCACACACAGAGCAAAGGACTTTGTAAAATAAATATAAATTAAAATTACAATACAGTTAATTCATTAAGACACAATCACGTGTGTTGTGCATTAAATTTTGGTTAAAAGAAAGAAGGCAGCAGAATGGAGTGAAAAATAAAAACATTGAACTAACGTTTCCTTAAGTATCTGTCAACATTCATGTAAGGGAGAACTTTATAATTTAGGGCAACTTTTCACAATCAAAAGAGGTTACTAAACTCCAGTCAGGCATGTTTCCCTAGTGCTGATTTAATAATAAAGCTGTCAAAAATACTACTTTTAATGATCGGGGCAAACCCCAAAACGCCTCATTAGTTGCAACAACTTCCTGCTTAGGGATGCTTAGTTTCACAAATAAGAGACCAACAGATGTGGGTATTTGGGCACTAATGAAGTAAAGAACCCGTACCCGTATGAGTGAGGCTGTGTCTGGTCAAGTGGTAGCGTTGGAAAAATCTCATATCACACATGGAGCAAGCGTATGGCTTCACCCCTACACACATAAAAGTATATAAATATGAACTAGAAAACAGAAAAATAAATACGTATCAACATTTAAACATCAACTCTTCCCTTAGAGTTGCTCTCCTTTAGGTTCTACAAATACTAACACCCAGAGGATTGCACACACATCTGTTTGGAATACTTTGATTTGTCCAAAGTTTATTTTATCAGGTTTGAAAACTGGTAGTGCTGAAGTAGTATTTGACAAGAACGAAGTAGAGCATTCAACAGGGGGAAAAGCTGAAGTTGTTTATGTGCAGATGCTCTATTTTGTGCACACGTTTAGGATGAGAACAAACTATTAACATGTGCTGGTCATAAAATTAGAATATTTCAGTAATTCCATTCAAAAGGTGAAACTTGTATATTCTATTCATCCATTACACACAGACTGATATATATAGTGTCTCAGAATATTGTAAAAAGGTTCATTATTGAAGACCCCTGGTGCCACAATCTAATTGGCTAATTAACACCTGGAAAAGCCCTTAAATGGTCTCTCAGTCTACTTCTGTAGGCTGCACAATCATGGGGAAGACTGCTGAGTTGACAATTGTCCAAAAAACGACCACTGACACCTTACACAAGGACAAGACACAAAAGGTTATTGCCAAAGAGGCTGGTGATTCACAGAGCTCTGTGTCCAAGCACATCAATAGAGAAGGGAAGGGCAACATTTGGTAGAAAAAAAGTGTACATGCAATAGGGATAACCGCACCCTGGAGAGGCTTGTGAAACAAAACCCATTCAAAAACGTGAGCGAGATTCACAAAAAGTGGACTGCAGCTGGAGTCAGTGTTTCAGGAACCAGCACACACAGGCATCTGAAAGATCTGGGTTTCAGCTGTCGCATTCCTCATGTCAAGCCACTCTTGAACAAGAGACGGCGTCAGAAGCATCTCGGCTGGGCTAAAGGCAAAAAGGACTGGACTGCTGCTGAGCGGTCCAAAGTTATGTTCTCTGATGAAAGAAAGTAAATTTTGCATTTCCTTGTAAATCAAGGTCCCAAGAGTCTGGAGGAAGAGAGGAGAGGCACAGAATCTAAGTTGCTTGAGGTCCAGTGTAGTTTCCCATCAGTGATGGTCTGGGGTGCCATGTCATCTGCTGATGTTGGTCCATTGTGTTTTCTGAGGTCCAAAGTCAACACAGCCTTCTACCAGGAAGTTTTAGAGCACTTCATGCTTCCTGCTGCCAACTTACTTTATGTAGATGCAGATTTCATTTTCCATAAGGACTTGGCACCTGCACACAGTGCCACAGTACCTGGTTTAAGGACTATAGTATCCCTGTTCTTGATTGGCCAGCAAACTCACAACCCCATATAAAATATGAGGTATTGTGAAGAGGAAGACGCAACACGCCAGACCCAACAATTCAGAAGAGCTGAAGGCCACTATCAGAGCATCATGGGCTCTCATACCACCTGAGTAGTGCTACAGACTGATCGACTCCATGCCACGCCACAACAGCACCAACTAAATATGGAGTGCTGTACATGCTCACGCTTTTCATGCTCAACATTTTTTTTTTCTTTTTTTTATGCTCAACATTTCTAATATTCCCCCTTAATTTTATTGGGATGGGGGAGGGTGTCATAATTTATATTCAAATTTTCTGAGATACTGAATTTGGGATTTTCATTAGTTGTCAATTATAATCATTCAAATTAAAAACACAACCATTTGAAATACATCAGTCTGTGTGTGATGAATCAACACAATATGCAAGTTTCACTTTTTATTAAATTATGGAAATAAAATAACTTTATCATAATGGTTGAATTTTATGACTACCAACTGTATATTTCTTTATTGTAAACCATGTTTGAACACATCAGAAAAGTCGGCATTTTGGCAGCAGTTACACTCGCTAGCAAAGCCATTTTTACTGGTTTGAGTTGGAAAGTTAGGAGACATCTATGAGACACACTAGGGTAAGTGGACGCATACCAGTATGAGTGAGGGTGTGTCTTGCCAGATGGTAACGTTGGAAGAACCTCATGTCACACATGGAGCAAGCGTATGGCTTCACCCCTATATACACAGATTTTTAACATATTAGCCACGGCGTTGTTTTAGTAGAAGACAAATCTAGTAGCAACAGAAGATCATCATGATCTGACTTTTACAATTTACTTCCAGTTGATAAAACATAAGGCTTTGAAGAATTCCCTCAAGTCCAGTGGAATACATCGGAATATCATCAGAGTTTCAGGCAAGAATAAACAGATTTCAGCAGCACATCTGGGACAGTAGCTGCCCAGATGAAGCAGAATCTTTAACTCTTAACTCGCTCAACCACAAAACTCTTTTCACACCAACCTACTCGCTTTCAACTGTAAGCTGGAATGTTTTATATACAACTATTGAAAGATTTGACACCAAATATTTTCTGTTAGGTGTGTTTATCCAAAAAAAAAATTGAACCCGCTTTATTTTGATCTGTACAGCAAGCTGCTAGAGAAACCAAAGTTCAGATGAGTGGACATCAGAAGTCTCTTTCTGTGATAAAACCGATGTGTTCGCTTGTGTTTGCTCGGATTGGAAACTTTTCTGATTTCTTTGACCAGATAATTAAATGAAAATTTTTTTAATTCTGGGTACGGTAAAAGAACCCATACCCGTATGGGTGAGTCTGTGTCTCTCCAGGTGGTAACGCTGGAAAAACCTCATGTCACACATGGTACAAGCGTACGGCTTCACCCCTACACACACAGAGCATACAATTATTAGCTAGTCAGTGCGGTGGGCACGAGATAAGTGGTCAAATTAAATCCACCAAATGTATAAAGTGTAAAATGGAAATTACAGACAAATGCAGTGTTGACAGAAAGAAGTGCTTCATCAAATATACTAAAATCATACTTAGGCACACATAAACCACGTCAACGTAGCCACTTGTCCAGCATCAGTTAAATTTGAATGCTTTTTTCCACTGGGAATAATGTGGCAGCAGTGATTAATTTGGGAGAATTACATAAATGGACTTACCCACAGCACTTCTTCAATAAACAAAAACAAATGTGTGAAAAGATGAACAACAAATACTGAAACTATGAAAGTATTTTATAAAACCCCTAAAGTTTTCATTTTATAGTCATGTTATCTTCATGCAGATTTTTGAAAATCCCAAAGTAAAAATGTTATTTTTATTTATTTTTTAATCAAATTTGGTTTCAATTTGTTGTCCACAACTTTGGTTTTGGGTTAAAGTCCACTATCAAAAAGACTTTAGTGTTTGTAGAGATGTTTTAGATAAAGATTGAACATTAAAATAGAATAACTGGTAAATAAAAGCACAGAATGGTTGTTATTGTTGCGTTATAATAGAAAACTACAGCTAATGTGGCAGAAATGTTTCACTAAAACACGCTGTTTTCAAATATGAGTTCAAATCTGACATATTTCTAACACCCATGAAGAAAATAAGACTAAACACTCATGAATGAACCCTTTTGTTTACGTCTGATACCAGAAAACAACTCATTAACTTCAATGTAAACCCACAGTGACCATATTGCATCAGGACCAGAGAAAACAACAAGTTTACTGGAACAAACTGATATTTCATATTATTTCTATGTCCACATGAACAATAACCAATAAAATCTTGGTTAACTTAGTCTAAAGGAAATGCAACTTCCAGTATTTTACACACAAGTCAGAATAGCCTTAGGGTAAAAAAAAAAAAAAAAAAGCCTTTAAAGTTTTGATTTTTAAAATATAAAATGCTAAAATAATATAGACGATGTATTTCATGCCAATTTATAACTCTAAAACAATATTAAAATTATTTTAAACCCAACCCAGAGTTTTTAATAGTGGACTAAAGACAGTAGGACTACTGATTGAGACGTTGAGGACAAATAAAAAAAAAAATACTGCACTTTATGTTTGAAATGAAGAGATTTAGGGGGTGGCTTTGTTGGAAGTTACTGTCCACAGACAAAAATGACTCCTCAGCATCTGTTCCTTGGTTTATGTGAAAGACTACATGCGTAGTCAGATTTATGTTAAATGGGTACGGTTGAAGGACGCATACCCGTGTGAATGAGGCTGTGTCTCTCCAGGTGGTAACGCTGAATAAACCTCATGTCACATACGGCACAAGCATACGGCTTCTCCCCTAAACCGAAGAGCACCAGTTTTAGTTCAAGTCCCCACAGATACCAGTTAGCTGTGAGGCAAAGTTACAACCACACAAGGCTTGAAGCAGGCCATTGCAAACGCACACAGCTGCTGCACACTCCTAGATTCAGTCCAGCTCAAGCGCTCAAGCCCCCCCCCCCCCCCCCCCCCCCAAAAAAAAACAATTCATTCAGATATTCAGTGAATTAAAAAGCTACTTTTGGCTTTATTGAGAACTCAAGTTGTTCCAGCCGCTAACCATACCTGTGTGAATCAGGATGTGTCTTTTTAGGTGGTATCCACTTTTAAATGCTCCGTAACAATGATCACAAATAAAATTTTTCTGCACTTTGGACGAGGGGCCATTTTCATCTCCATCGGCGCCCTATGGGGGAACGGCAAACACAAACATTTTAAATCAAAACAGCATTAAAGTGTAGCACATTTTAAACAACACGTCTCATTTACTTCTGGTATAAAGACCGTTCTAACTTGTTCTTATGTATCTGTGTAATTGGTATTTGAAGTGAGAAATGCACCACCAGCCCTTCCAGGGGCCTAATGCCCTCATATTACTGCTCCCTGTTATTCTCACAACTGCACTTATTGTGCTCCACTTCACTCCCCTCCCCCCCTTCCTCTCCAGAGAACCTCCACCCCCTCCACATCTTTCCTGTGCTCCTCCCTCCACCCCCACACAGACAAAAATGTGCACCCACGAACAAGCCGAGCTGGTCTCACTTCAGTGAAGTTAAACGCGGTTAGAAGGCCCGTTCGTGGAACCGCTACGGTGAAATCGGCAAAATAAATCCCAGTTTTAACGATTCCAGCTACTGACCTTCCCAACCCTCCCATCCTGTTCTCTCACTTTGCAGGGCGTTACTGATTTCCTGTTCTTTTTTTTCTGCTGCATGTCTTCGTTGGCCCTCATTTCTTTCTCGTCCAGCAACCGGGGGGCCGGGAATTCACCTTCCTTCCGGATGAGCTGGAGAACAGGAGAAAGTCAATTATTTTCTACTTTCTTTACTGTCAAACTAAACAAGAGTCCGACATGACAGAAACGAGTCTTTATGGTTGAGGCTTATGTTACTTGTGGTTTCAGAAGCAAACTAAAAAGGGCATAAACTCACTGCATAAAAAAAACTAAACACAAAGGTTGTTTCAAAGCAAGAAATGTGATCATTTACAATGAAACTCCCTTAAAAATCTACACTGATGCTTAATCAAACCAAAGGATTTGCAGCCTTCCCACTAATAAAGGCCCCATTTCCCATGAGGATGCTAACCAGAGGCGGACAGCTCATTCCAGATGGGAGGATCATGTGGCTCTGGGGAGCACGGTCTGGGCCCTCTCTCTGAGGCGGGACATGGCCGAGTGGAGCCATCATTTTCTTCGGCGGAGCAGCCATTGTACTGGCCTGCATCAGGGCCATACTGGAGAGGACAGCCTCACAGCCAAGCAGCCCCGCCTGGAAGGAAGAAGAGGAAAAAAACAAAAAAGACTTAAGAGTAACACTTTACACACGGTATCTAAACACTAAAGGATCTGCAATTTGTGATTATCTAAGACAACAGTGCCAGTGACATGGCTTTTGCCAAGGTAGTCATCAACGACACCATCCTGAGTGACACAAGACTGCAAGTTATTTGTAACCACTTTGGAGTTGTCAAAACAAACCCATTTCATATGGTCGCGGACTGAGCTGCTGGGCAGATGTGACATTGCTGTGGTGTATGTGAGCGCAGGGACAGGGGTGGGGACAAGGTCATCCAGAGATCCGTCAGTCAGGATGGTCGGGCGGTGGGAAGCCACACCCACCTCACTCATCTAGTATTAAAACTGAGGAAGAGGAGGATGTGGATGAAACAAACATACAATTACAACTGCTTCATTAGCTGCCTTTATGATCAGACAATCCATAAAAAGATGCATGCACAAATATAATGAACACAAAAGTTTGAAAATTTCAGTCTTTTGGGAGCAAGAAAAAGTAATGAGTGAGTTTGGGTTTCCAATTAACAGTTTAAAGCTATTTTAAACATTTTTTTTAGGAAATCATTAAGTTAAAATTACATTAGTTTTCAATTACTTTAAAGTCTGTGTGGTTAGAAACTTTCTGGGCAAAAACAGTGGGCACATGTTTTTATATTATTACTTTTATCAAATCCGACAAGTCACAGACTTTAAAACATCCAACACGGACTTAGAGGTTTTGGAGAATCAGAAAGACTTGAATGGAAATAAATAACTCTTAGTTTTTGACACCCTAAATTAGTTACGACAGATTTTTTTTAAATTTTGTAGTTACACATTTACTATTAGTGAATTGAAAAACTTCACTTTTACAAAGAAATGAGAAATAGATTAGGCAAAAAAATTGTAAATGTATATATTTTTTTGTATTTAAACTTTAACACTGAAGTTCAGTTGTTCCTTAAGTATTTAAATCTGTTTCTCAAGGACATGTGGCAATAAACAATGCTAAATTACTCATCACAAAAAAAATCTGGGTTTACATAATTAAAGCAGGGTTAGTGTAGGCATGGAAATCAACAAATCTGCTCTTATACTTACCTCAAATCTAGAATATTTTTATTTAATTAAAAGCTTTACTTTATTGAATCTATGTAAGAGGTTTAACCCGAAAATGTAATTATAACAATATACCTGCAATATAAAAATAAAATTGGCTCTTGCCAGTTGTTGACTCTTTACCAGGGGGCAGCAGACATGTACAAGACATGATATGGCAGGTTTATGATGAAAGTTCTAATACTCCTGGATGCTTTAAGGCCAGAAGTGATTTGATACTAATGAGCAAAAACGGTCTATAGGGAGTTAAATAATTTTCTAGGAGACGCAATCAAGCCAAATTTCTGAAATCAACCCCAGATTACAGTGTTTGTCAATAACACAAACACGAGTGCTGCAGAAAGTAGAGTACTTGACTGTACTCTAGTGCAAGCACTTCAAACTATCACCAACAAAGTTACCAAAATCATGTGTTTTGTTCAACAAATCTCTGAAACCATTACAAATCTGCCTGACCACAAAAAGGCTATTTAGGTATGTTTAGCAAATTGTATCGTGTTTGTGTTTTTCTTTGCTGATGAGCTGTAAAGCAATGGCTAATTAGCTGATAAATAGATCGAAATACCCGGATACTTTATGTCTCATGTAGTAAAGTAAAGTGAAACCTTTGTTTACTGTTATAAAAGTTAACTGATGCAGTCACACATTAATGCTACAATGGTTTAGAATTAGTAATGTAACGTTGGGACGAAGCTAACACATTCGTGCTGGGAAATTGTACTTTTAAATGAACTTCGTGACAGTCGTATTTATTGGAAAAAGTGAGAAAACCTGATAATTGTTGGAAATTAAAATGTCGTTTTTTTTAACACTGGCTGAAGTGGCCTTCACCCTGCCACCTAACCTAGCGTTAGTTTCGCTGTTTAGCGAGCGTGCTAACATCACCTAGCTGCTAGCTGGCGCCCTCGCCCACTCTTTAACATTGAGGCAGATAATCGACAAAATACATTTACCCCACCTGGTCATCGATTAAATGTAGCTGCATGACAAAACTGTCTCACAAACGGTACTGTTTAATATTTTTTGTCCACCAGACTACATAAAGAGACGATCTCAACTGGTTCCAGACGAGGCTGGGCAATAAAGACGTTCGTGATGGCCGTCGCTACGAGTGCCTCCCCCTCCCTAACGCTAAGCTAACATTTGTTAGCCACCTAGCACTGGCTAACACTAACGGTATAACAATGTGTAAATCAATTCGTTGCCTTTTCCGAGCATAAAATTCCAATGTTAAGGAAGCAGACTGCACATTTACACTTAAGCGACCGTCTAAAAATAAGTGATTTTCCCTACCTATCCGGCTCACTCGCCGACGTTTTCTGTACCGTCTAGTTTACAAACACAGGAAACGCCACAGGATGTAGCCCACTCCCCCACACAGCAGCAAAAGCTCCTCAGGCGAAGAAAAAAATAACCATCTTCTTCATGCTCCCCATGAACAAGGGGGCATCAACTAAACCTGCGACAGCGGAGAAAACTGTGTTGGTCCATTATTATCACAGATACGGAGACATAACTCCCACTAACATGGCGTTAGGGTCTCTGTGGCCTATCTCCGCTGCAGATTCAGTCTGAAGGGGCGCCGAAGAAAAAGATGGAGCGAATGACAGAAAACAGGGACGTGTGAATAAACAGCCGGGGTGGACAGGGGTGGGGGGGGGGGGTGGGGCATTGTGCACTTCCCCCGACTCGGCCAACTACTTATTTGTAATGTACAAGAGTTAGTTAGAATCATAGTAGTTTCATTTTTATTCTTGATAGGATTTGATCAGGGTGCACATAGAGATTAAAATTAACTTTTTATTACATTTCTGTATTTTCAATGTTATTTTGCTTGTAAATCACTAAATATCTAAATTTTGGATTTTCTGGACCCTTTAAAACAAGGATCAGTCCATTCATTCATCCATCCATCTTCCTCCACTTATCCAGAGTCGGGTTGCGGGAGCAGCAGACAGGTGGGCCCATATTCCATGCTTTAGTTCTTTTTTAAAACACAGAACAGTTTTGTTACCTGTTTTCCCGCTACATTTCAGGAAAATGATCAAGTAATAAAAAGCCAGACTCTTCTAAGGCACCGAAATATGGCCTCGCCCACCTTGGCTTGCGACTACGGAAGGCTTTATGATTGTATTGTTGAACATTCTGTTCAGTTTCTGGATTTTGTTCAGATTTTGAACCCAGAAACAGCTGTAGGCAGTAAGGTAGCAGGCAGAAGGTTCTGGAGCCACCAGTGGCTCCACCTATCAGGTTAGCACATAGAATCCACAACGATGCAGGTATTGAAATATTGGGGGAAAATACCAAAACACGCTGTTGGAAAAGGTTGTCAAACCGAACCGCCCATTGGAGTTACCTGGGTGCGGTTGGAAAACCTCATACGACTCCTAGTCCTGTGCTTTTCTGCTGACCCTTCCACTGGTCCTCTGACAAACTCCCGCCCTGAAACAAGAGTGCAAGAGCTCTTTTTCACCATAGAAAACATTTGCAAGGCAATCATTCATACTAGAGACCACAACAAATTTATTTAAAAAACAAGTGAATGTGACTTTTAGTTAAATTTTATGACCTTGTCCTCTGTATATTTTCCCCTGCAATTATTTTTTAAACTTTGTTTTTATCCTAAGTAATACTTACAATTTACTTTGTTCTTAGAGAAAATAATCACATATTAAATAGTTTTAATGGATACATTTTTTGGGTAAATTTTGTTACTGCCATTTTCTTGGGATTTTCACTTACATCAATGAGGAGGTCTTTGCCACTGTGTTTAGATGCCTCTTTAGTGCCACCCATGTAAAAAATTCTAGATCTACATCAACACCTTGCTGGAGAAAGAAAACTCTCCACCATTCTAGAAATACTTGTGGGACCAAACAAAATCACTCCAAGGGTCGCAAATGGCCCCCAGGCCACACTTTGAATATACCTGCCTGATACATCAAATAGCAGTAAGAAACTATTTTTGTGAAAAGATTTATCTATTCATATATTCATATTCATGTCAATAAACATTTACTGAAAACATTTTATCTGGTAAATATGTACGTAAGAGGAAAAAAAAAGAAACAGAAATTAGATTTTTTTTTCTCAGAATTCTGACATTTTTTCTCAGACATCAGACTTTTTTTCCTCAGGATTATTAAAGTTAGAATTCTTAGATTAAAGTCAGAATTCTCCTTTTTTTACTTTTTCTTTTCTTTTCAACGGCCCTAATCTTCTTCTGTAGATATATAGTATTACAACAGTTAACTAAATATAATTGACCCTTATCTCGTGCAGTTCAACCACAAGGGGCAAACGGTTTAAACAGAATAGCAGAAGTTTGAGGAAAATATTACTGGAAGTCCAAGAAATGTAGGAATGTATGTATCAGATATGATACATTTGGCTTTAAATTATTACAATGGTTTTAAATAGGGAAGTATTAATTATCTAAAAACCTATGGTTTTATTTTACTTTTTTTTTTATTTTATTACTGATATAAATATAGTGGTAGTAGGTTCCACTTTCTCCTGCTCACAAATCAATTTATTTAAACAATTTTTTTATTTTTTAAATTAAAAATTGTGATTTCATCATCATCATCATCATTATCATTATCGTCATTTTTATTTATATAGCACTTAAACAGTTCGAGGGAGACCCAATTAAAATGCTACACTGCAAACAAAAACAATTATTTATATCAGATCTGCTCTGATAAGTATGGATGGGTCTGAACTAGTAATGCTATTGTTCAAAAGGTAACAAGCGAAGTGAACGTAGCTTGCTTATTTGTAACAACAACTTGCCTTATAGGGATTGCCTTTGGGGCTGGAAAACGCTCTTTCCCAGAGTTTTTCCATGATTTCTTGAGTAGAGAACATCCATTTAGAAGGCAAATGTCATGCAAACTTCAACAAAGTAGATTTTGGCTTGACTCTAGAAGTTTTACATTGTGTCTCCTTCACATCCCCCCCCCCCCCACACACACACACACATACATATAAATTTATTTTTAATCATTTTTATTTTATTTGTTGTTTTTGTGACGCGCCTCGTGACTTTTATCTTGAAAGGCGTTATATATATAAATCGTTTCTTCTAAGATTGCTGTTCTGTAAAAATGCATCTTTAAAAATGTGAAAAAAATACAAATTTGACGTTTGTTTAGACTCAGTCACTGAAAAGGCGAGGGCTACCTGTTTTCAGGAATTTTTAGCCACACACACAGAGAGAGAGAGAGAGAGAGAGAGAGAGAGAGAGAGAGAGAGAGAGAGAGAGAGAGAGAGAGAGAGAGAGAGAGAGAGAGAGAGAGAGAGAGAGAGAGAGAGAGAGAGAGAGAGAGAGAGAGAGAGAGAGAGAGAGAGAGAGAGAGAGAGAGAGAGAGAGAGAGAGAGAGAGAGAGAGAGAGAGAGAGAGAGAGAGAGAGAGAGAGAGAGAGAGAGAGAGAGAGAGAGATGTCAGGTAAGTGTAATGCTACACTTAAGGTGATTGGCGCAGAAGATCACGTGGTGCGTCTGAACCACTCACCTTTGCGCTCGCGCTCCTCCTGGTGACGCAGCTGCAACAGCATAGTCAGGTGTGTTTCAGGTTTCGCCGTAAGCAGCGAGTCAACGAAAGTTCCCACAGGTAGGAGCCTTTCTCACAGCAAGTCTTGAAAAACTTTCGTAAATAAACTAAATCCACCAGAATTGGCACGTGCGCTTTAAGTGTCGTGCGAGTCATGTGGTTTGTTTTTATGAAATGGGTTTTTATAAACGCACATGCGGACGCTCGGCCATGTTCTCCGCTGTGTTTAACAAGTATCCATGTCAGATCCGTCCAGCTGGAGTCTGAACTTCTAGTTTCTGCTGGAATCAAAACACGCGAGAAAACTCCGTACCTGCTGTGTTCTTAGCGCGTGTTCTGGGGTCTGTTGTCTCCGGGCCTGCTCCTGAGTAAAGTTACACCTGTAATTAGCCTTTTACAGGTGACATGCTGGCTTTACAGCTGGGATGCTCCTCTCCAACTCTTTTTTTATATTAAATTCTTCAGTAATGACTTCAGATGAGACTCGCCTTTGTTCTTCTGAACAATCAACTTGAGCTGCTTCTGTATGGAATTCTCAACAGTCAAATTATGGATTAGGCAAATTGGCCTCCTCCCTTCTTATATTTAATCTGGGATCTAAATCTACTTGTGCTTGCAAAACAAAAATGAAGGTTAAATACCTTTAAATTTGAGTTTAACTTGGAATAATCCGATAGAAATGTTAGAATCTGCAATTAAAATGATAGAAGAGAGAGAGAGAGAGTGTGTGTGTGATAATTTCAGCATTCCTGTTATTGGGAGCTCACATTCATAAATCAATAATGGATAATGTGACAGATGGTAAAAGTTTACGTTAGCTGTTGTTTTACAAAACAAACAGTGATGTAATCGCTTTTGGTCATTCTGGGATTTTTAATACAGTATCATAAAAACTGCATTATGCAGTGATAAGTCTAAAGCTGTGAGGCTGTTTTTGCTGATTTAAACATCGTCCTGTGTCTTCACCCTGCCTGTTTATCGCTGTCTGGTAATGTGCAGATGAAAGGCGATCTTTGTTCAAATCAGAGCTTCTAACAGGAAAGACATGTTTGGGTTACAAACCCTACTCTCTCGATAAACCGTCTTCATCTGTAACCCTTTTAAGACGCTGGCTCACACAGAAGAATCCTAACCTGGTCAAAATGTGTTGTCTTTGTGGTTGACAGGTGTCCTGTGTAGGGCGTGTCCCTTCCTTTGCATGCAGGAAACAGCTCCAGGCCTGGCATCAAGTAAACAGATGTACAGTTTATCAGCTAATATGGGACATTTGTTCAGCACAAGGCTCAGGTTCCTGACTAACTAAACTGGTTGGTTGACAAAGAAAACATCCTGCCATGAGGAATGTGGACTTTAATGTGTGTGAGCAATGTCCTGTTCATATTTAGATCTGATCCTTTATTTAAGGATTATTTAATGGAGGTAACGACATAGAATAGAAACAGACAACATTTTGATGTTTGAGTCAAAACAGCTAAAGTAAAACGAGCAGCAGCTGTTTTCTTTTCTTTCTTTTTTTTAAACGTTCTCAGGGTTATGTTGGAGTTTAGTCCAAAGTCCTGATACTGGTCACAAGTGTTGCTTTTCATCTGATGATGTAATCTAGTAGGAGTGGCAGACTGAGTAGGCAGGCGTCCTGAGATAAGAGATCATTACTGACACAGTTGGCAGTGATTTAGATTTAAGGTATTCGGCATCGTTTCTCTGAGCCCTGGAGATGAGATGCAGGGCCGTTCGGCTGCTCTGAAGCTAAAAGACAAACGGAACGACGGGTTTGTCTGAATATTTTAAACGAAAAGTGTGAATGTGCTTCCTTACATTTACTGTAGTTCGAGAACGTCTTCCACTCAGCTGTGATTGGTTCCGTTTTTCAATCACGCTGCGCTACATGTCAGGGCATGCTGTCATGTCTGTTTGCACACATAACCGTATGAGCAGTCAGGCGGTTTTATGGGTATTTTATGACATCATGTTACAAACTTGTAAATCAACAACCACAGACAGATCCTCCTCATGTTCCAACCCTGACGCTCAAATGTTGAGACAAGTTTCACTCTGATCTAATCGTTTACCTAAGGATGTCTGTGAGATCCCATGATGCAGCATGATGGACGCCAGCTGTGTAATTAGATGAATGACTGAAGCGTTCTTGAGCTTTACTGTTGAGAAGCAACAATTAGAACTCCTATGATTAAAAGCAGTTTTGTCTTTGAGAAGATACCAACTATTTTTGTTTGAAGTATGCATCTTAGGTAATTATGTGGAGCTTATAAAAGAGCTGCAGAAGTTAGGCCAGTAATTTTCTTATCTTTTATTATAAACCTCACCAGATCAGTGCTGCTGATTAAGGACGTGAACTACTGGAGAAGCAGAATTTGTGTTTTTAGTGGTGGATTGTTTCAGCTCATGGCCTAATACACACATGCTTAGTGCTTTTTATTTTTTGTTGTCAGATCAGTGGCAGACATGGAGAGTGGTTCATTTAATCGGAGGTCCTGGATGACGCAGTCCTTGCGTGTCACAGCCAAGGAGGTGTCACTGGTCAGTGGGCGAGGGAAAACCAACGCCATCGCCGAACGCTTCTCCAAGTGAGTTTTCACTAATGGCTGCTGTTGGTTTATTCTGGTAAGGGTCGAAGTGAACCACACAGAAAAATTAATAGTGTATAATAAAAACACCCTTTATTTATTGGCGCTTGAAATCTTTTCAAAATTAACGTAGTTGAAATCATTTCATAACTTGTTTTCAATTTCGGACCCACAAAGTATTGGCAGTGACCCGATCCAATGTTGGGTACACAAGCATTACTCATCACCAGAATACCAGTTGCAGTGTTAATGTCTGGTATTATCACTGGAGTCTGCTTTGCTCACAAAGTTGTTTCATTAGAAGTAAAAAAAATGAAAAACAGGAAAGTAAGGAGTTTGAGATCATTTATGCACTTGTTATGATTAAAGTGCTAATAAAAAGGGTTTCACTTGAAAATTACATCAGACTGATCTTCACATCAGAAAACAAATGAATTAATAATAATATAATAATTATAACAATAATTAGATGATTTAGTCTCATTTTAAAATTTCTCAACTAATCTGTTAAATGTTCTCAAGATCTGTAACTCAAGTCTATTTCACATTTATGTAAACTTAGTTTTTAAAGTAAACCTCCAAAAACAACCTCATTCATAGTGTGTGTGTTTGCTCTGTTGTGTTTTGAGTCAGCAGAGGTCAGTGTTGGTTTTTGTCTTCCAGGTATCAGAAAGCAGCTGAGGAGGGAAGTTCAGAGAAGAAAAAGGGAGTAAGTGTTTGCAGAGAATGAGTGAAACTGTGACTTTAGTGTATGAGCACCTCTAACTTTGTGTAAACATCATTCTGACCACTAATTGTGAAGAAAATAATCACATAAGCAGATTAGTTCATAATCAATCAATCAATCAATCAATCAATCAATCAATCATTCAATCAATATCAATCAGACTTTATTTGTAAAGCGCTTTTGAAGCAAAGTGCTTTACAGAATTAAAATGACCCCAAATTCCCATAAGTGTTTGAAAACACACACACACACACACACACATACACACACACACACACACACACACACTCACATCAGTAAAAATGTATATTCGGCTGAGTCCAGATGAGCCAAGTAATGGAACGCAAGGAAATGCCACCAGGGGAGCCATCTGCCCCGGCAGCATCAGGTCTTCTACAGCAACTAAGTCAGGGCGCTCAGAGGAGGGGGAGTATAGACCCCCACCTCCACTTAAACACCACCTATAGAGCGCCCAGGAGGCACCAGTCGACCACCGCCCCTGGGGCAGAGGGCCCCTACAGAGAAAACACTGGATTAAAATGAATAAAAATGTGAAAATAAAAGAGCTAATATAAATGACAAAAGTAAGAAAATAAATAATAAATTAAATGTATGGACAGTAAAATAATAATAGTAAATAATGAAACTGCGAAAATATAATCATATAAAACATGCAAAGCCAGTAATGTTATCATGTCAAATGAGAAATAAAACTATAGTAAATAATTAGATAAAGGCTAACCTAAAAAGATGGGTCTTGAGCCTGGATTTAAAAACATGAACGGTCTCTGTGGCCCTGAGGTCCTCCGGCAGCTCGTTCCAGAGGCGAGGGCCGTAATACTGGAAGGACGCCTCGCCGTGAGTGTGTGTCCTGACCTTAGGGATGACCAGGAGACGCCTGCCAGAGGAGCGCAGAAGCCGTGAGGGTTCATATGGTAAAAGCAGTTCTGAGAGATAAGAAGGCCCAAGACCATTAAGACACTCATAAACCACTAGAAGAACCTTAAAATTGACCCTGAAACATACAGAGAGCCAATGCAATGATTCTAAAACTGGAGTAATGTGCTCCCGCCTCCTGGTCTTCATCGGGACATGTGCTGCCGAATTTTGTAGATGTTGTAAGCCTGAGATGCTCTTTTTGGGAAGACCAGAAAGCAGGGCATTACAGTAGTCTATTCTACTGGTGATAAAAGCATGCATCAGCGTCTCCGTATTGGCCCGAGAGAGAATGGGGCAGACTCTGGCGATGTTCTTTAGATGACAAAAACCTATTTTTGTGATGTTTTTAATGTGCGAGATAAAATTCAACTCGGAGTCAAAAATCACACCCAGGTTCTTCACTTTTGAAGATGGATTAAAAGACAGAGATTGTAATTTCGGTAAAAGTCTCTCTCTCTCTGGGCCTCAGGACTGATAACTAAAACATCAGTTTTGTCCTGGTTGAGCTGGAGAAAGTTCTCTGCCATTCATGTCTAAAATGCAGTTAAAAAGTGCATCCATTGGCTAAGAGTCATCAGGACACACGGAGATGTACAACTGTGTATCATCAGCATACTTGTGAAAGTTGCCTCCATGTCTCCTGATGACACTGCCAAGAGGGAGCATATAAAGGTTAAAACCACTGGGCCTAAAATTGAACCCTGGGGCACACCACATGTAATCCCATGAACCCTCGAGGAACAGGAATCCAAACTCACCATAAAAGTCCTGTCTGTGAGGTAGGATGTGAACCATTGGTGAACAGCACCAGAGAGGCCGATCCGTTTCAAACAAGTTAAAAGAATAGTGTGGTGTACTGTATCAACGGCAGCACTTAGATCCAGTAGAACCAACACAGTCACCTCCCGTTTATCATGATTTACGCTAAAATCCTTTAAAATTTTCAAAAGGGCTGTCTCTGTGCTGTGGTTCACCCTTAAACCAAACTGAACTTTCTCTAGGACATTATGAGTGTTTATAAAATCATTTAGTTGATTTAAAACCAACTTTTCAAAAATTTTGCTTAAAAATGGTAAGTTGGATACCGGTCGATAATTGTTTAAATAATTAAAATCTATGTTGCTCTTCTTCCACAGGGGCCTAAGACCCCCGTCTGAAGGGAGCAATTCATCAGGGTTAAAATCTCATCACTAAAAGATGAAGAAAGAATTAGTTTAAAAAAATTAGTTTAACAAACGAAGTAGGAACTGGATCTAGAAGACATGTGGTGGGTCTCAGCTTCTACCAGGACAAAGCTGTCCAGTGTTTCCTCAGGTATAGACACACATTCAGATTTATCTAAAACCTTATTGCTTAGGGAGGATGAAATATTCCTTCTGATGGTGTCTACCTTCACTCTGAAGTGGGCTGCAAACTCCTCACAGCGAGCATTTGGGGGGGTTTTCTGAAGTGAATTGGATGTACGGTTTAAAATGTTGTTCATGGTGGAAAAAAGTATTCTGGGATTGTGTTTGTCTAGAATGAGTTAGGAAAGGTATGCCTTTCTTGAATTTCTCAGTTATTATATTATTTAAGTAGCTTCCTACAACTACAACTTCCAGTTTTGATTTGGGTTTCGCAACACTAGCCACACCATTGAATAAAGTGTGTGTGTGTGTGTTTTAGTGAGTGTTTGTTTGTGTGTGTGCATGTGTGCACCTGTGTGTGTGTTTTAGTGAGTGTTTGTTTGTGTGTGTGTGCGTGCGTGCGTGCATGTGTGCACCTGTGTGTGTGTTTTAGTGTTTGTTTGTGTGTGTGCATGTGTGCGCCTGTGTGTGTGTGTTTTAGTGAGTGTTTGTTTGTATGTGCATGCGTGCATGCATGTGTGCACCTGTGTGTGTGTGTGCGTGTGTGTGTATGTGTGCGTGCGTGCGTGCATGCATATGTGTGTGTGTACGTGTGTGTGAATGTGTGTTCCGTCGTGTGTGTGTGAATGTGTGTTCCGTCGTGTGTGTGTGAATGTGTGTTCTGTCGTGTGTGTGTGTGAATGTGTGTGCCGGTGTGTGTGTGTGTGTCTGCATGCATGCACATTTTGTTGCATTTGCTCAGTTTCCTGTCATGGTGGTGAGCTAATTAAAGCTTGTAGAGATGAAATACACACACAGAGTCTTACTGTGCCAACACACCACCATCTGGGCCGAATGTCTTGTCCTTGCTGACCTCTCATTGGCTACTTGTCGCGACAGGCGAGCTATCAAACCCATAATCCTACTCCGGTTTAATCCTCCCTCATAAAAACTCACCTCGGCTCCAACTGCAGGTTAGCTGCTCTGTTGATGTGAGAGGCTGATAATCAAACCTGGACCGAGATCAAATGAGTACGCGATCAGCCCCAAAGCATGAGGAAACACAAGGTAATCCTGCTGCAGGTGTTTGTAACATTTCTGGAAGTTTGTTAAGCAGCTGCTCGGAAAAATGTAACCTCTTCATTATTTATGATGCTGCTAATAATAAAAAGCGCCATTCCTCTGAAAAGGTGACATGAATTTATACAGGATGCTACATGAGTCTGTGTTCTAATTTACTCATCAGTCTGAATGATTTTTCGTTTTCTTTATGGTAAAAACTTTACATTGTGTTTTATAAAGTAGGTGCCAGTAGGACTCTAATGCAGACTTAAGTTATTTTATCAATAAAACATGTTTGAGTTTAAGTCTGAATAAGCAGCGTGGAAGACCATCTGTCTCGTGTGTGTGTGTGTGTGTGTGTGTGTGTGTGTGTGTGTGTGTGTGTGTGTGTGTGTGTGTGTGTGTGTGTGTGTGTGTGTGTGTGTGTGTGTGTGTGTGTGTGTGTGTGTGTGTGTGTGTGTGTGTGTGTGTGTGTGTAGGGGGTGGGGTGATGTTGGGGGATGGGAGGGACTCTTCCACCATGAGACGATAAATCCATTGGTTAATAACATTAAGTAGAAAACGGGCATTAAAGACTCATGTTTTGGTAACTTGTGAGAGTCAGCTGTTTACATTTTCTCAGTTATGCTCAAATGTTTTGAACCACCTCTCATTTTTTGTGTTTTCCTTCCTATAAGCCAGTCTTTCTTGTCTTGATCAAAACTTCTTCTGACTTTTTCCAAGATCTTTCAGTTTTTCTTTGAACTTTGACTTTATTTTTGATCGTGTTTGTCTAGTTCTAGTTCGTGTTCTTGTCCGTCAACACCACAGAGCGTAACTTGTTTAAAATCATATAATGTGAAAGATTCATACAAAAATGTCATCTCTTAAAGAAAGAATAAAAAAGAATAAAACAGGACAGAACACCAAAGACATGAAAGGCAACCTAATACTGTAGATGCTTCATCCTTTAGTTGATTGTTGTATAATAAGCTCTCAGCTCTTGGGTCTAAAATAATGTTTTTGTGCTTAATTGTTTTATCTTCAGCGTTCTTCATAGAAGCCCTGTTTTTGTGACAGACGGCCGTAACGAAGTGTTTAAAATGGGTTTTGGTCATTTTGTCTGTCATGTGTTAACGCAACACTGGCTTGTCTGCTTATCAGAACTGTTTGATGCTTAAATGATTCATAGACCACAGTTATGCAACTAAGTAAACAAAATACATTCCTTGGAAAATAAGGCACTGGACAATGGCTGGGGGGGGGGGGGGGGGGGGGGGGGGGACCCAAAATCTAAAGAAAAACTCTGAAAGATAAATTAAAAGATTAAACATCGATTGATCACATCGTTTGCACAGCGAGCTTATTTTCGTTCATAGATTTTTGTTGGTTTAGGCGACCTTAACTTTGAAAGTGACAGAGACAAGAAATCCAGGTGAACAAAGTACAGCAAACTCAGAGCTGCTGCAAGAACAACTTCCTGTCTCCATAATCAGAACGCCTATCTGACCGGTCGAGTTAGACAGCATTCCTGATTGGATCATTTCTGTCAAATCACATGCAGGTGTTTTTTGTTTTCCATGTCTAGCTACTGAATCTTTAAACAGATTCTCAGGACTTTGTAATATTTAAAAAGATAAACTTTCAATCCTTGCTTTAGTGATTTTTTTTTTCCAACTGTCTCTCTGAGCCGGTTGTCCAGATTCATTCTGTCCAGCTTCCTGAACTGATCAGTATTCACTAAATTGGTCTGCTATGTGTTCCAAAGATCCATAAAATCCAGAGGATAATCCCAAACGTAACAGCTGCTGCTGAATGTTGTACAGTGATTACACACAAGTAAAGAATTTCCATGTACAAAAACACATTTCTGTTCATTTGTGCCTTAGCACAAGTTTGCTGATTTCCCACCTTAAGTAGAATAAAGTTACTGAAATGATTATGAGTGTCTATAGTATGGGGAAACAGGTTATCTGCACAGATTACACAACATAGTCTTGTTATTGCTGGTAATAGCTGTTCTAACTTATAATCCCTGTTTTAAATAGCAGTCATTGCTTGTAAGCGCTGTTTATGGATCTCTGATTGGTTTTTGTTGAACTGCTTAAAACTGTAATTACACACGACCAGGATCCTGGTGACATTAAAAGAGCTGATTTATAAGTGACGTTTGAAACCGTGTTGACAGTACCTTAAAGGCAGCTGTGTACAAGGCGCAGACAGTGGTCAGCCTCAGAGATCGGGAGCTGAGGGTCATCTAACTGACCCGATACAGATCGATGAAGAATGCTTTGATCTGGATCCTGATTGGATGCTTTTATGTTTCACTCTGTGAACTGTTTGACCCCTAACTTGTGTTATAGCCTTTTTCCTTAACCGATTGTTAAATTTTTTCCTTATTTTTTAGATATTTTTCTCTGCTGTTTTTAAAACTTTACTGGAGTCTAAGAAAAAGCAACTTTTTGCTGAAACAGTGAACAAAGAGTTAACTTTTCCCTGAATGCATCATTTCCTGCTCTGGTTTCCTGGCCGTTCTGACTCCGTTTCTGGTGTTGGAGGGTCAGACCCACTCTAGGTTCTGTCTAACAGCTGGACTCAGCTGTTGAGCTCGACCTTCTGTCTCGCTCTCTGATCTGAGGACGGCGAACCCGGGGGACTCACTTTCCATCATCACTCCACTGCTTTTATAAAGGTTTCCTTTTTCTTTTGTTGTTTCTGTTAGGTTTGAGAACAAGTAACGATCTTCTGAATTTCCTTCCATCCACGCCGGACCTGCTTCACAAAGACTGTGATTGTGTCTCTTGTTGCAGTTTTATCCCTTTCATTGAACATTTTTCTCTAAAACATTAATCACGTTCTTTGTTTCTTCCATGTACCGTTCTGCATGTACCACATTTATCTCTTTGTTACAAATTGTGTTTTTTTTTGTCATTTAAATGATTAAATGTAATTTCTAGTGACTTTTCTTAGATGCTGAGGCATTAATAATATATTATTGTTTAAATGGTCTCTACTGACTGAGTTTTGGTCAGAAAACGTGGATTCAAAGCACCATTTAGTTCTCTCTGCCTTCTAAGTTGCTCTGTTCGGATGTCCACATCCTCTTTCTCCCGTGTGCCGTTTCTCTCCTAAGATTAAGGAAGATCCAGCTTGCTGTAGTGAGTTTGTCTTTAAAGCAGCAGACCAGAACCTCGGTGTGTGTGTTAGAGTAGGTGAGACTGTCGGGTGTAAAGAAATGTAGATAATTCATGTTTTCTGATTGTCTTCAGCACACATCTGTGTGCTGGAGCAGCGTCCAACAGCTGTTCACCAAATCTGCTAATGAAGCCAAGTTCAGATTCTGGCATTTCCTCCATTCTGAACCGAGGTTATAAAGCTGTCTTTGTAGAGCGGTGGGTGGGTGCCTCGCTGTCAAAAGTTTTAACTCATGCATGGAATGAAACTTTTGCTCGTGAGTGCCGTGACAGTTTTTGTTTTAAAATGACACTTATTTGTTTTGTTTTTCCTGTAAGTCCTTTGAGAGTACGTCATCGTCCCTACGCTCGGGCAACCTGACTGCTCTGAAAAAGCGCTGGGAGCAAGCAGGAAGTCAGGATAAAACCCCTGCTGCTCCACCTCCAAGAGGCTCCAGCATTCGCCGCAGCCGCTCAACTCTGACCAGGTCCGCCCCCGTCCCCGAGGAGGTCCCCCAGGTGAAGAGTTCCACCCCGCCGAGCGAGCCGAGAGATCAGAAGGCGGCCGACAGAGTCCAGCAGACTCCTGCAGCTCCAGAGGGTGAAGACCACAGAGTGATGGAGAGAGAGGAGCCTATGCACAGGAGGAAATTGGAGAAGGTTGAGGAACAGGTCCTCACTAGTCCATGTGCCACTCATGAGAAACCCAGAGTCCCGCTGACTAACCTGAAGATGAAGTTTGAGCAGGGAGAAGACTCCATGGTCAAGGTAAACCGTGACCATTAATCCTGCATCAGGATCTTTTTCATAGATATGTTTTTTAAATTGTTCTTGAGTAAAATATAATGTTTTATTATATATTGGTAGTTTGCTGGAAAACATTTTTTATTGATTATTTCTGATTGTAATCAGTGACTCTGAGTTTTTCATGCAGGCTGAACATGAAAACAGTCTCCTACACCTATCTCCTGCGTTAGCTTCTGATAGAAAATAGACGATGCAACGCTAGGATTTAAAAGGCCTGACAGATCTGCATCACACTGTCACTTAACATTTGTGGACTCACCCATCTTCACTCACGATGGGGAAGGCTGCTGTTGGTTAGCGTCCAGAAAACAGCAGCGAACGTCTCGACTAGTAGAAGCTAATTGTTAGCATTAGCAACTCCACCACATGGCAGAACTCCTCCAGGCTTGTGTTATTTGTGGAGTTAAAACATCAACGTTGAAAAATAAACAGTCAGTGGTAGAGTCATGTTGCTGTTATCCAATCAGAGGTGAGATGTCCAAAGATCTGGAAATAAGAGTCAATATCCTGTCGTCTGAAGCTACTTTTTCCTCTGGCTGACTTGTACTTCCTGAAACAAGCTCGTTTGAACTTATTTCCCCTCTGAGATCCACTTACAAGGCATTCACTCCTACTGAAACCACAGCTAATGTATTGATTAAACGGGTGAGCGAGTATTTTAGATTATTAACGTGTTTTTTGTCACCCCCCCCATGCTCATTTACTTCTATTATTTGTTCCTTTGCCATTTTCCGTCATTCCTTAATTTTGTTTTCCACCTTGGGTTCATTCATGAACCCACACACCTCACACACTTTGTCTTTTTTCTGTTCCCCTCTTCCTCGCAAAACAACTTCACTCATCTTCTGAAACAGAAGAACGCAGGCAGGGACGTTCCTGATCAAGGCCTGTCTAGTTCTTCACAGTATCACCTCTGAGGAGCTTCTGTCCTTATCTCAGTGTAGTATGGATGGTCCTTCTGTGTGTGTTAGTTTTGTTTTGTCATCACCAATTTATGTTTGTCTTTAACGGGCTGCATGGTGGCGCAGTGGTTAGCACTGTTGCCTTGCAACACGAAGGTCGCAGGTTCGAAACTTGGCTGCTGCCTTTCTGCGTGGAGTTGCGTGTTCTCCCCATGCATGCGTGGGTTTCCTCCGGGTACTCCGGTTTCCCCCACAGATCACAACATGCCCTATAGGTTATAAAATTGTAAGTCGCTTTGGGTAAAAGCGTCGGCTAAGCACATAAACAACATAAGCAACAACAACATCACCATAAAGACACATTTAAACAGTCAGAATGAGCCTTATGAGACCTGAATCTCTTAAAGAAGTCTCTGATAAACGTCATCTATCAGCGTTTTATCTGAACATTGATTGTAACGTACATGAGGTCACAAAGTGGTGATGGATCCAGACTCTCAGCAAAGCTGCCTGCTGTATCGTTCCTGTTTTCATTGGCTCACACTTTTTTAAAATTCATATGCATGCAGGAAGACTGCTGAGAGAATCTGGTTAACTCATCAGTGTTTTTGTCTCTCTCTCTCTCTCTCTCACACACACACACACACACACACACACACACACACACACACACACACACACACACACACACACACACCTCGGGGAGAGGATGTTGTCGTTCGTTATTAGATGCCTGGAAACAAAATCAGCTTCACTTTTTCATCTTTTCTGTTAAAGAGGTCGACTTGACTCATCGTGTTTCACGTCAGAGTTGCTGACATGGAGTCTTTAGTGGAATTTTGGGGAAGTAGGTCTCGGAGATCTGATTGTGACATCAAACCTGACATCTGACATGCTAATGGCTCTGGAGTCTTAAAAAGGGCTCATGTGCAAATGATTATCCTGCAAATCAACTTTAAAGCAGTAGATATTTGGAACCCTGTCCTGTCACACCGAGAAGTGAAAACTGAAATGTTTGTTTTTGTTATCACAACAGATGGAGAACAAATGTTTCTAATTTGTCTTCCATGACTTGACTCTCTGCCCCCCTGCAGGGCGGCAGGTTGACAATACGCAGCACTTCCTCTGAGGACATGGAGGAGAACAGAAGTAAGGAACCGATCAGCTGGCTTCACCAAAAGCACCAATTTATGTTTGTCTTTAACGCAGAACAAATAAAAACAACTTATTTATTTGTTGTCCTGTTTCAGGTCAATTGGACAAATCCCTGGAGTCTTCCTCTCTGAGGGCGAAGATGGCCAAGTACCAGTCTGCTGCTAATCAACGGGACACCCCCCACTCTGTGAGCTCAGTAGAAGAATCCAACTTATCTTCTCAAGCCACCTTAAAACTTAAATATATCAGATGAGCTCATTTTCTGTTGACCTGGAACAAACGGTTTGTGATGTTTGAATCGTGTCGTTTTTCTCCTCGTGCTTTTTTCAGGGTCAGATCCCAGATGTGTCTGCTCCCAAAACATCTGCGCACGAGAAGACCACGACCATCCCTGAGTGCAACGGTGACCTTTAACACATGCCTACTCATGCTGTGGCGTGAAAGCGTAGAAACGTCTGGTTTGTTAGCAGCCGAGCTGATTTTTGTTTTCTGTTTCAGGCGAGGGCGCCGAGCAGCCCAGACCGGTCAGGGTGAGTCACTAAAGCCGTCATTAACACAAACCTGTGGAGTCGAGCTTGTAGAGATTCGTGTGAATGCTGTGATTTTTGTAGAGGTTTGTCCTGCCGGTGAGAGAAAAGTGTGTTTCTTGTGGAACAACCGTTTATCCCCTGGAGAGGCTGGAGGTTAATAAGCAGGTTTACCACAAAAACTGCTTCTGCTGTTCCTACTGCTCCACAAAGCTGAGGTTCGTCTGCTTTTCTGCTTATTTATGAAACGTAAAACCTTTCTCCACTGGTAGAACCTCTGCTTTCTGTCTCCAGCCTGTGGAACTATGCCTCTCTCCATGATAAGATGTACTGCAAGCCCCATTATAATCAGCTGTTCAAAGCCAAAGGGAACTACGACGAAGGCTTCGGCCACCGTCCTCACAAAGAGCTGTGGGAACCGCGAGCAGACGAAGAGGAAAGCCAGGAAGCTGTGAAGCCAAAAGAGCTACCAGAAACAATGAAGAGTCCAGTTGAGAGGCCTCCTGAGACGCAGCCAGCTTCAAATGGAGACACGTCCCCTTCAGTGAAGGTCACTGACCTGACCGCCTTGCTGGAGAACCGTGGGCAGAAACACGCCGACTCTGTAGAGAAACATCCTGCTGATCTTCCCGCCGAGACTCACAGGCTGAGGATTGCATGGCCTCCTCTGGCCGAGGAGGGCCACACCGGGACACCGCTCAGCCCCGTCACAGAGGGCCTGCCTGCAAGCCGGTCCTGGAGGTCCAAGTGGCCCCCAGGAGATGAGGTGCATCTATCTTACCAGAGCTCGGAGCGGGCCGAGTTGAAGAGCCTGAGGAGGAGTAAGTCTCTAAAGGAGCGATGTCGGCCGTTTATGCTCGCAGCAAATCCGACCCCCAAAACTACCCCCATAGATCCCATAGAGCGCCACCGTCCCCTCAGGTCTCTGCAGGAGTGGAAAAAATCCTTTGAGGAAAAACAATCATCTGGAGAAACTTCCAGTGCCACTAACGGAGAGGTTCAGCGGGAAAAGGAAACTCCTCTAGCTCCTGAAGTCGCAACAAATAGAAGTGAGACGAAGCGTCCACCTGAACAGCAGGAGGACAGACACGAACGAGCAGCAGTGAAGGAGGTGAAGAGCACTTATAGAGGCCTTTCTCCTGACAGATCCTCTTCATCTCCTCCTCCTCCTCAGCCAAAAGAGAACCACACCTCACAGGAAGTGGATGAAGGAAATGATGCTGAGGATCAGAGTGCAGAAGATATGATCAAGAAGAACCGCTACTATGATGATGATGATGAAGATGGCTTAATGGTATAGGTGTTTGATTTGTGTGGGCTCAGCTCGTAGTTGTAAAGTAGCTTTCCCTGATTACACACACACACACACACACACACACACACACACACACACACACACGACCGCATTAGGTGTCTTACTATTTTTTTAGACATTAAAAGTTTTTTACAATCTTTTATCAAACCTTAATTTGGACGTCTTTAATGAATCGTTGATGATTTATCTCTTGGAGGACTGATGGTCTTTGTTTTCTTGTAGAAAATCTAATAATCAGTTCTGATGTTTGTGACTTCAGCTCAACTCAAACAGCTCGGCCTGAGTTTTCTCCTCAGGGATGAGCAGACCTGATTTCCGGTCGCGTCCTCTCCTCCTGGAGGAGCTGAAATGACAGAAAACTGGAATGTTTCAAAGGTTTCAGCTCAAACTCCCACTTCTGTTGAATCACTTCTACAATCAGAACTTTTTCACTGTGATGTTTCGTAGGTCTACAATTATTTTTTTCATCTTTTAAAACGCTTTGATCACAACGAATGAGACAAAATAGGTAGCTAAGGTGTCAGTTATCTACGGTCTGTCGATATTCTCTTGGGGTTTCCAAGTCTAAGACAAAAGTTCTCAAATGTAATCCATGTTGTAGGTAAAACACATTTAACCAGTTTCATGTGGAATAAAATTGTTTGCACAAGTATTTGTCTAATAAAATATTCAACTTCAAACCCTGCTGGTATTTATTTACCATTCAGACTGGGGTTCATGGTGTGTTTATAACTTACCTATAAACTCAGTACACCAGGACCACCGAGTCAGTATTAAGCAGGAACATGGTGGTCATGTTAATGACTGATTTTTCCTGATTTTATTCATTGTGGAATTTCCCACTTCAACATTGTGTCCACATCATAAACATACATTCACCCACATTCCTTTACTAAGGATCTAGAAACCAGGAAGACCAGGATTTACTGTAGCTGGGTCAGAGTTCCTCTGCTGCATAAAAAGGATTTGTATAAAAATCATTTCTTGGATTGACAGATCCGTCATCCTCAGATAAAAGTTGTTAGATGTTCAGGAAGCACAACTCAAGCCTTCCATGATCTGGAAACTACAGAAGCACCAGTGTCTGTCCTCTGTGAAGCCAGTAATCAACATGGACCCTAAGGGTGATGTCCAGGAAAGAAGCTCCTCCCTTTCAAGCTGGAGCTTTAGCTGTCCACGTGGACAAGAGAAACATCCTCTACAGAAAACAGACCAAGATGGAGCTATCTGACCACAATGACAAGGTGAGGCTTTCAAATGTAGAAACAAACTAAAGCATGGTGGTGGTAGCATCATGCTGTGGTCCTGGTACACCTCACAAAGTGGACACCGTCGAAGGGGATTAATTAGCTACTAGGCTACACACAGATTGAATCAGCTTGCTTATTACCTCAACTCTTCCCCATCTCTAGTAATTTTAACTCAAAGTTGAATGTTTCTTACGCTGCATCTCCACTTAGCCTTTTTCTGATTCTTAATCAGAAATTAATCTGTGCATTTTATTTGGTCTAAATGTGTGTATTTTAATTGTTCTGTCACATTGATTTGAACGTTCTCGCTACTGGAAACCACATTGAATTCTCTGTGTATGAAATGTGCTGTATAAATAAAACTGCCTTACTTTGTTCTAATTCTCCAACTTCACCTGAAACCATGAGAGATGAAAACGTCAGACATGATTTCAGGACAATGACCCTAAACATGCATCAGAACTGGTTTCTGATTGGATAAAGTAGACTAGCATCAAGCTTCTGGACTGGCCTTCACACAGCCCCGACTAGGCTGAATGAAATCTGGGTTTGTGTCGAGAAACCAGCTGTTGTTTTTTTTAAATCACGAAGTCATTGAGATTGTATGATCAGTCTATCATGTAAAAAAAAAAAAAAAAAAACAACAGCTTCATTAAAATCACTAAAAGCCCCAAATTAAAGTAACGGAGCTGGTGAACACGCTCAGGATCAGTTTATTTAACCCAACGATAAAAATCTTCACTGGAAATCAGAATAAAAACACGTGTAATCAAATGAGTTCAGACTGAAGATTCACCTAAAGTTTAAATAATTTATTAACATTTTTGGTTTGATCATTTTAAATGTGAAAAATACAAGATGTGAACAAAGAATAAAAACAATGCAGATAGTTAACAGAAGACTTCTAAAGGTTCACAATTAACTTCATCACCAAACTGAGAAAGACAAAAAATATTTATCAGAATTTGAAGAAACTAATGAACAAACCCTCTAGAGTCCAGGCCAAACCGACTGTAAACCAAACCAGCTCTCAGCACACAGATAGCAGCAACTCTGTAGGAAACCAACCGGGGGGAGGACATCTTCCATGCAGGGAACATTTAGGGTTAGGAGGGTAAATATTCCTGCCAGGTGTGGAACCCACCAAGGATCTGGGCACCGACCCTCATCATCTGCATGGATAAACGCCTGTTTTTAGCACTATTTGTGTCAAATGTTTCATAAAAGAAGAAGTCTTCATGTTTCACAGATGCATTCTGTTTAAAGGCAGCCCGACTCGTTAAGACTCAGGAGTGAGGAACGCTCTGAAACGCCTGCAGCCTGTGCACAAGGTTTCACAAGTTACAAAGTACAAATGTTTTCAAGTTTGACAAGAAAGAAACACAAAAACAAAAGATTGTCAACAACAGTCCTTGGATTTGTTAAAAAGTGGGAAACAGTGGCAGTAAGAATACAAGACGATTCCATTTAAAACAGTTTTGGCAATAACAACAGCTGAATTCAAACTAAACAAGTGATGGCACATGTTCCAAACGCAAAGAACCCTAAACGTTTACTTATCATTTCCAACGTACCTGAGAGCAACACACATCTTTACAGTATGGCTTTAATTTCAACATACAATCAAATGTTTTCATGTTAAACTAGAGATAAAAGGACAGCTCTGTAGTGATTAGCCCTTAGTTCTTGTCCCGACGAGTCAGAGGTTGTCTGGTATCGTTTTGCTGTTTGGATGAATAAATTATTGCCACAAACACAGAAGAATAAAACATTTTCAGACACTTTAACCGTGTTCAGCTGGAGTGGGTTTGTCAATATCAACTCTGACTTCTAATAGGATCCTTTTGATTTATTCTTATTATGTTTTATTACCAGTTTGGTTTAAATTACACCAACCGAAATAGGGGTTTTATAGCATGAGAACAAACGTTCAGCTGGATTTTTCCAACTGAAATCTGCTCACATGAACATGGTGTTCTCAGGGCGCAGCTTTCGCTTCTTCTAAATGAGTCTGGCTTCGTTCTAGGACTCCGACCCAGACCGGCTGCTGTTTTATGACTCTCTGACCACTGAGTGTCAGTAACACTCCATCAGTCTAAGCTCACAGAGCAGAGACGCTGCAGCCTGTCAGGTCACGTTAGCTGCTTTGCATTATTATTGCTTATAAAAGGATCCTTTTGTTAGCTGAGCTCTGCTCTACTCAGACTTTTACATTCACTATTCAGGTGAGAGGCAAGTTTTGGCATCCTATTAAATCTCCCACCGAGTGACTAAATGATCTATAAGCCACCAGTATAAAATATTTTTAAAATAAAGCACTATTATTGGCACAAGTGTAGTAATGACATTATCTTGATCACTCTTTATAACATCTGCCAGCATGTTTAGTGATTTTTCATTCTCCTCTTTTAATAAAGTGACACTTTGGAGCTTTTTGATGTAACTGTCTTGTTCCCAGAGGCGTTGCTCTGATTTAGCCACTGAGGGGGTGCAGGTCCACCCTGACCTTCTCACCAGTGCTCATCATACCAACAGTGGGGTAGAAGCCTCCCGCTGGTAGGGACACCTGCCGTCTCCCCACCACCTTCCCGTTACGAGTGAAGAACACCTGATGGAGAAATCAAACTGAGTATTTAACTTATGAGACACTCGTTTCACTTTCCTGCACTGTGACAGCATCTCACCATGACCTTCCTTCTCTCTAAATCATCTCCTTCTTCTACCTCCTCCTCCTCCTCCTCGTCATCTTCGTCATTGTTTGCGTACAAATCATTCTGAACCCCCCTGGGCTTTGGAACCACATCCATGTCCCATTCGTCTGGATCGTCTGGAAGAAAACGGCCAGTCGGTTAACATGTTGAGTGGGGCTGGTCAGGAAATAAACAAATATTAGGACGTTCACCCACCGTCGAGGTTAAAGTCACGAGGGAACATGATGCCACAGCCCATGATGTCTCCTTCAAAACAGCGAGGTCCAAAAGGGTCTCCGACCCCACTGCCGTGGAACAACTTCCCATCATCTGTAGGAGGCAGGTTTTAGACCTTCATCATCATCATCATCGTTTAAACACAGAGATGGAACCATCATGTCACAGGAGGACATTTGATCATATGAACCGAGCTAATTGTCATCAACAATGAACATTTTCACTTGGGACTTAAAGAAAATGGAGCTTCCGGCTCAGCTGGTGTGCATGAATTAAAACTTTAGGACAGCTACAGGAAACTCACGCAGGCCTTGAAATAAACACAAGTTAAATATGAACAATCCCAATTATAAGCAGATGTTTATAGTTTTCCGGTAAAAGAGAAAAAAATCAAACAGGACCCAGGAACTTTTAACTGTTTTAACAGTATTTAAATACCAGGATGTCCAAAGAGAAAAAAGGCCTGTGAAGAAAAAGACGCCAAATTTCCATAAAAGAAAATATTCAACACCAGGTTCATGGTCATGAACGCAGAGAGACCCCCAAATTTCATATGATCATCTTTTCCCAGAGCGCTAATGGAGGGTTTTCCTCCACACCCGTCTATTATTATCAATGACCTGAGCAAACATGAATCAATCAGAGTCGGCGGAAACAGACGAGCAAGTGGCTGCCACGCTGGACCAACTGAACTGTTAACCTGTGGGGCCGGTTCTCAGGCGTTCTCTCGGTTCTGTTTACATCCTTCTTGTTGCTAACCAGCCACTCGCATGTGATGTCATCCACCCAGTCTCCAAAACACTCTGGCTTCAGTTTTCAAGAGCTGCAAGCAAGAAGCTTCCCAACTGAAAGGGCTCCACCATCAACAAGTAGGGGTCAAACATTTATTACCTGCGTGATAAGCTATGGATCCTCTGCTCCAACCTGGGTGTCTGTTTTTTGGATAGTCCTGGAAATCAAAAGAGAGGTTAGCTGATAGCATCAAACATACAAAGATTGGTAGTTCAAGAAGGTTTATAAACTCCATAACAAAGCAACAACAGGTACTGTCTGGGTAAAAGGGCCCAACACAGGTAAAGATACCCCTTCGGCCTGGAATAAGCTTGCTTTTTAACCTCGCGTTGGTGCAGACAGCACATACTTGCTGCTTCACTGCACGTAGTACTGCAGCGTTCCACTAGGGGTCACAGTAGAGACCAGCTATAGTCCCAGGTTTGTGGGGTACAACCATAACAAACATGGCGTCAATAGAAGAGATCGGTAATTGGACAATTTTGAGATCACAATAGAAAAAAAATACAGTAGTAGTATGAAAGACCTCTAAATCAGAGACGGGGTTACCACGGAGGTGTGTCTCGCTCCTTTTGTTAACTCCGCCTACTGGTTACTTGTATATTGCAGCTTGCGAACACGTGTTAACACTGAGGGACGCACACAAAAGGCGATTCAAATCAACGCAAGTTAAGTGAGGCAGGCTGCCATTTTAAACACGTGCATCATTAAAAGGCAAGTATAAGGAAGGAACAAAATAAACGGAAGAGAAAGAAATGCACCTAAAACAATCACTGATCGAGTTAGCATAAAGGTGAAAAAGACTGTGCTGTTGTGTGCTTTCATGACGCTTTTGTTAAGATCGTTGTAGTGAGACGTAAAGCTTCCCATCAGCACATTGAAGCATCCTACAGGAGAAAGGGGGGAACTAAACACCGAGAATGACCACCTGATGGATTTATAATCCTCCATCAAACCACAGACACGCCAAGAAAAACAGTTCCTGGAAAACAATCAGCCAAAATGACAAGAGGCCTATTCTCCACAGTCTGACCCGGGGGGCGCGGCGTGCCACACACACCGTCTCCAACAACGCCAGAGAAGGGGACGATCTCAACGTCAAGGGCAATCATTTATCATCTTCCAGGCTGAGCGCGCAACCCCAGCTGGCGCAGCGGCGGTGCGACATCGATGACTGATGCTCGATCAATTAGAGCCCGATAGCTGAGAGCGGCGAGCACCAACATGCAACAGCAGAACAACAATAGCTGGGATTCAGATCAGTCATCCACGTGACACCATAACTGCACCCTCAGCAATTACTGCAGGCTTTTATTTATATTAAACAGGATGTTCATGATGGTTTCATGCGAGGCTGAACGCGGCTGGCCGCAAATATTCAGCAAGGCTCGCTTCCAGAAAAAATATATCACTTGACACCTTTAAGTGTGCATAAACACCGAATACCTGAGACAAATTAATTAGGATGTTAACGTGAAAAAGTGCCTGAAGAGATTTGCTCTCTTTACCATTTAGCTGCACACTGACTTTGTTCTGCGGGAACAGATCAACAGATATTAGCTGAATCTAACAAAAACAATCAGATGTTCTCATCTCATCTCATCCAGAACGTTCCAGCTCTAGTTTACGTGATAGACTAACACCTAAACGGAACAACCTGCTTTGGATGGAAAACCGGACATGGGTGTAAAATGAGACAATATTTATTCAGTTGTTAGCTTTTCCTCTTTCGGTCATCCATCACTTACGCTGGAAACAGTGAGAGCAGCAGAGGGAGATGGCTGACGAGGCGCTCCGGGAGGAAAGAGAGGAGCTAAGCATACTGTAAATTATGCCTGTATGGGTGTCGGTGACATGTGATCATTACTGTGTTGACTAAACGCAGGAGGAGGAGGTGCTCACCCTGCGTGCCAGCCCCAGGGCGATGTAACACTTCTCTCCAGAGCTTGCGATCTCCAGCTCATAGTAGTGGAAGCGCGTGTTGAGAGGTCGGCGAGCCTGAGCCAAGCCCACGTCTACGATGCTCTTCCCTTTCCCTACGTACTCCAGCAGCTGCAAACGGGACACGTGTGAGACACGCATCAACAAGGACAATATCAGTTTAAATAGAAACCCCCAGACCCACAGCAAAATTGTGTCTTTATATTAAAAGTAAAGTCTTTACTTTTTTTTAATTTGACTGATAAATAACATTTTTGACTTAAAAAGTCCTGCTTTATTTCCTTTGTTTTTTACTGATGAATTTAAATTAGAGGCTACTAAATCTTCTATTTATCACCTATTTAACCATTTTTATAGAAAAGCTGTTTATACTTCGGCGTGCCAGCTGAAAGACGCTAAACCAGAAGAGTTTATTCAAATTATCACAATGACTGCTTTGTACTTCAGTGCAGGTGTGAACATGCCTGGATTCGTACCGACATCACCACTGCCTCCACCATAGAAACAAATATAGGACACGATAAGATAACTTGTGTTTTAGTCCGGTTTCCCAAAGGAGAAAAGGAGAAAAAGTACTTTTGAGAGGCGACTGAATCCTACAACTAAAGTAAAACATGTTAATTTTTGACATCCAGCTTGACTCAGTGCGTTTACAAGCACATCTAAGTTGATCTAGCTTGATCTAAGGTCAAAAAAAAAAAAAAACGGAGAGCCTTTAACCCAGATTATATTTTAGTTAAAAAACCAAACTCTCAAATAAAGTTTGTTCCACTCCGGTGCAGTAGGTGGCGATGTGTGCCCTTTCGTGTTGGCCTTCTTCCGGTTAGTTTATACAGGGTATCTGCACTTTTAAAGGAGCCAAATTTAAGACTTTAAGACCTTTTTTAAGGCCACTTTGACCAAATTTAAGCTTTTTTTTTTAATTTAATTTAAGCTATAATTTCCAGCTATTGCCTGGAACCAGCGCTAACCACTTTGCGAACGTGGGATTAGCCATCCATTTACCATTAAACTTGCATTTCCCCATGGCGCAAGCTCCCGCTAGCTTAACCAGCTAATGTGCTCATTTAAAATAGTCCCCTTTCACAACCAACTGAATGTCTATGGTTCCGCTTACGCCAATGTCATACACAAAAAGTGCTGAACACTAACTAGAAATTCACTAAATTTTTATAAAAATAAAATAATCTTGTTTATTGGGTCTTTGGTAATTTATGACCTTCGGAAACTGTATTTAAGGATTATTTGTAATTTTTAAGAATTTTTAAGGCCTCAAATTTGGAAAAGCAAATTTAAGACTTTTTAAGGACTGGCGGATATCCTGTTTATAGCAACACAAATAGTAAACAAATGCTGGCGGGAGTGAAGCAGACGAAATTAAAACAGGAAATGCACAATGGCCGATGGAACGGACAAAAACAACTACGTACTGGCCTGTTTGATGGTGGCAGTGATTCCATCAGAAGACTGATTCCAAAAGTAACTGGTATCAGCTCGACTGAGTCGATTACATGCAGATGAAGTCGGGTTCCGACTGCTTTATCTGGGTGCTTCAGCACGATGAGGAAAATTTCGTCTCAGCAAGACTAACACGTTTACATGCAATTAAAAAAACAACTTTGGTTTATTTAGGGTTTGGTTTTCTGATGCGTATGTAAGCACACGGATCGTGGCTAGCCATAGGCTCATCTGTTTGATCTGAACTAATCTCTCTCTCCAAATAGAGGAAGCTCTGTCCACAACTGGTAAGATACTAATTAATAATAATCCCAAAGACCTGATTTTAAAGAAGTGAAATATCAGTTTAACATTTAAATTATACTATTGGAGTACTTTTACCTCTTTCTAGACCAGAATATTCTACAGCTCTTTCCCTTTCAGCCTCGATGCCTACAACAAGATGTGGGTGTGGTCACTGGTGGAGTCTGAATGATCACATCCACTGATTGATGGGAAATAGGTTAAACTCCCTGCTTTTATTCTGCCACTTCCTTCTAGCTCGACTCTAGCCTTCAGTCTCAGCTGATTTAACCAACTGATCTAATTTAGCTCTGCTCCATCTGGAGGGACAAAGGATGCCCAAGGACTCACCGTGCCTGTCACTTTGATGTCATGGAGACGGGCCCAGTCCTCTTCATGACTATCAACTATCATCTGTCCATCATCATCCTCCGATCCCCACTCGGCGTTCAGCTCCAGGAGCACTTCTTCGCCTAACGAATGCATTCCCACAGCAGGGTAGAGAGCGTCGGGAGAGGCTGGGATTTCAACGCTGCCGATCTGGGCAAACATTCACATACGCTGTTGTTTAGGGAACCAGGAAAGGACGTACGAAAACGTTCTGCTGTTATGAAATACAAAGTCTTTAGGATACTTACTTCATCGCCATTTTTTGTGAAAAACACGCTTATCTGTCCATCATCAGAGTCCAGCGATATTCCACAACCGATTTTGTCACCTCTGCTGCACTTGGCACCAAACAGCTGCCCGACTGTGCTGCCATTATAGAGCCTGCAGCAAGGAAAGGATCTTATTCATCATTCATCCTTCCTTTGACCTCTGTCAGCTCCCAGATGTCTGCTCATCTTCTCAGCCAAACCAACCATATGGCACTACTTTTCAATATAAACTGATTCCACATCTATTGCCTTTTCACAAGCAGCTCAAATTTCAGGTATCAATGACCAGCTGATCTTTAAAGAACACAATGCAAGTTTGTGCCACTTTTCATTGTCTAACATGTGAAAGATCAGGCTGTACTTAACCCAACACACCACCCAGCTCCAGGTGCAGCTTACTGCCGGAATCAAAAGCCACATTGTGGTGGCAAATCACGGTGTGTCTTTTGAAAGAACAGTAGCAGCACAGCTTTTTGTGCCATTCGTGCCACCACGCTTGATAGTAATATTACCGCCAGGCTGGACTTTTGATTAAAGATCACACCTTCGCGCAGCAGAAGGTGATGTCACGATAACGTGTGGAATGTACGCCGAGCCCTGGCCGACTACAATATTGTAAATCCTAGTAAAGTTCCTTTTGAATTCGTAAACAGAATCAGCTGAGATGCCAAACTGGAACGATGCACAGATCCAGGAGCTTCTGGCTGTTAGAGCTGAAGCTCAGATCACTAGGGTACTGTGAGGGACAGAAAACTTGGCTTCAATCTGGATAAAAAACTAGTTACGGCTAAGCTAAAGGATGTCTGTGACAGCGCGGACACCACCCCCATTGCCTAATCTTTTTTGATAGAGTGATCGCGCCATATTACCACCACAGCCTAACCAGTAATGAATGACCAAAGGCTCCCTTATGCCACAGCAGTTCTGTGGCTAAGTGGCACCATTGTTTTTGAAAAAGGGCTTATGATTATTTCCCAACTTTACTGCAATGCCCTTCCAACTGGTCTACCAGTTTGTACAATGAAAACCTATACAACTTGTCCAGAACATGGCGGCATGTCTGGTCTTCAGTCAGCCTAAAAGAGCATGCACCACATCGCATCTCATTGCACGCACTTTTAGGAGCTAGTCTAAAAGAGAGGATCTTTTAGACTAGCTCCTACTTAGCACGCCCTTTACCTTCTACTCTACTGCACTCTCTCTGAACACCCTCACCCCTGTGTCACCTCTTATTGGTTTTCTTCCCTCTAACTAGTTTATCATTAGCTTCAAAGGCAGCCACTGTCTCATTTGTAAGTCACTTTGAATTAAATTGTGCCAGATCCATTAACAAGCCAATGCTCCAAAAAATACATGTAACTAAAACAATAATCTAAAAATGCACGTTTAGTCAGTGATGGCCTCTTCAGGAACTCCCCTGTGCTTGTGAGCCTCACATGATAAACGCTGATTCTCATCAATGGAGCTTTTTAAGAGGTGTCACAAAACTCTGTTTATTTCAGATCACCCCAAGCGAAACAAAAACACAAGACAAGTTTAGAAAACAAATATATGGTGATAAAGTTCTAAATGAATCCTGGCTCAGTGTATAGTTTCTCTGACCCATATTATTTATTTTAGTAGTTTTAGGCTGTGTTCCACGATAAAATAAACTTACGCTGGCATTAAAGAGATTTTTAGGTAAATAAGAAAAAGCTACGCAGGTGTTTAGGATTTTTCCTATGTGATTATGTAAGAATGTTCACGTCATAAAAAACAATAAACCTTTTTACATACTTGCCATCATCTGCATGAAAGGCCACAGAATTGGGTAACCAGCCCGGTTGATGGTCCAGTTTGTAGAGCTGAGGCACCAAACCGACAGCAATCATCCCCCTGACTCCAGTATCGATGATTGTTACCTGGAAAGACCCAACGTCAACATTACCGTTAAAAACACGAGACTAAACATGTCATCAACTATAAATGTTCCCTCTGTTAAGAATACATTTCCTCCCAAATACTTCCCTCAAATTCAAGATTGTAATCTCATCCAACTTTAATTATTGCCTGTTGTTGAAAGGTTAAAGGTGGGCATAGATGAGACAGGAATGCTCAGCTTCACTTTTCAATCCAATCTGAAAGTATGCGACATCCTATTGTGAAAGCCTTCAGACTGAAACCCACAGGTAAAAAAGCGGTTATCATAACTAAATACCAAAGGCATGACCTCAGCTCTTAGGAGCCCAACCTAGACACAATTAAACTAGAGCACTGCTGGAAAGTCTGAGGAGAGGAGAAGAAAAGGAAACAGTCAAACCTTTTCCCATGAGCTCACCACTAGGGTCCTGGGAGTCACAAAAATAAAATCTGTGACTTTCTCCAACATGTGGATAAGCCCGAGAATCTACAATCTGCACTCGTCGCTTACGGTTACAATAGTAACATAATCCCTAGGAAGTTGAGTCACAAGGATGAGCCACTCCAAAGTTTCAAACTTCACCCCATGTTACGCCAGGCAGGATGTGACTGTTAGGCGAGTTTTAACACGGTTTATTCAGAAACGGGCCGGATGTGTGTGGATCACAGTATGTAGACTACAGAGAAATGTAACTTATTAGGATATGTGAAACCATTCAGTCTGGGCAAAGATAACTGAGTCATGAGCTCCAACACGTCACCAGAAACAATGAAACTGATGAAACTGAAACTGGGTCTGCACCCGCTGTACACAAAGTGTGTGCATAGGGAGCATTAGTCTCCTCCCCTTCCCGTTGGCTTACTGGTCTCCTTGGCTCACAGCCATTTTTCTTCTCCTCCTCCTTGTGTGGTTTGATGATGTAGGTAACTTTTATCAGCCCATAGACTCCCATTCATTTTATATTAGGGGGCCCATGGATCAGAAGTAGAAGGGCATGACTTGGGCTCCCTATTGACAAGAATCTGGTGATACAATATAGGTCACAATACAAGGGGAGACAATAGCGAGAAAGGCCAGATGATATTTGCAATTTTTAACTCATTGGCTGACAGCCGTTATCTGAACAGAGAGCCCCTGACTGCCAGGGTTTCTGAGCATTTTTGCTCTTTTTTGAAAAGTCGCAGAATATTGCGTTCAGTGATCATGTAAACACCAAAACTACCAAAAGAAAGAGTAGATTCACTTCTTTCATCAGGAAAAAGCAGCTTGTTTCTAGCCTTTTCTGTTTCTTGCACAATCCATTGTTGAAGTGGGAGCTGCAGAAGCTTTTCCGGTTTGTGCCTCGCCGTAGGCATAGCGGCGTCCCAAAACAATCCCCTAATTCATGGATTGCCTTCTTCATGATCATCAGGGGTTTTCCTGGCTCAAATTGAGGCAGAGGTGGTACCACCCTGACCATGTGCCAGCACATGCATACTCTGTGCATTCAACTGCCTCACTTTTTTAAAAGCAAAATATTCTAAAAGGCTCAATAATATTCATTAGATTGGTGTTTAGTTCCCTTTTTCCCATCTGATATTTATAGTTAAAAATATTTTTAAATTTTTGACCTACATTTCAGTAACATTTTAGGTTTGTATTAATAACACTCATCTTAGTCAAATGACACATAAATATATCCAGTAAAATATAATGAATTTCATTAACATGCATTTGTATTGGAAATGGTAATAACATTTAATTTCTGCTGCTAACAATGTAATGGTGACATGTCTATTATATATGGGTTGGCAATAATCCAGTTTAAATAATGTTCAAAGATAGAAGCGTTTGTGAATTATATACTACAACTGCTTGCCGTAGACTTGTAGCAGTAATGTGACTCGTATCTGCAGTGGTTCTGATCCATAGCGCTGCAGGATGCAGAACAAACAGGATGGTGGGGATTTTCATCCGCTTGTAGAGTTTAGTCTTTTTCATCATATATTTCTCTGTGCGCCACTTGATCGTGAGACTTCTACCTGTTAGCTTTAGCATTAGCCAATCTGCGTGTAGCTGCCCTTTTGATCCCAAACTTTAGACCGGTTCTGCCTTCGTGCCTTCGCTGGTTCCTTTATTTTCCTCCACTGCATCCAGATTACCACACCGTGCGCCAGTAAAAAGCATTATTCTTACATGTAACCTTTTCAATAAAGTTCTGGGGAAAATAGTAATTCAAAGATGTTGCACCAGTGATACGTTCAAAAATAGACAGACACGCAGTTTTTTTTTCGTCATACTGTACAGCCCCGCTCTGATATGGAAGAGCCTGGGGGAAAATCAGGACGTCAATAGCACCAACCATAGATATGTACCAACCAGCGAGAAAAGCTATTTTTGATCTTTTTCTGCAGCGGTTTTAGCGCTTTTCGGTGCACCGCTGCTGATACAGCGCCCCTACAGTGGCGCAATGCTGCAACTGCAGTTAAAATAACATCCATATAGCTGGGGGCTGAGTGAAATCAGGCTGGGGCGGCACTAAATTAGCTGGAGGCGGCCGCCACTCAAATTTGAATGCAGGAATAACCCTGATCATGTGACGTGTCACTGACACACACACACAGGTGAAAATCAACTTTAGAGGCCTGATGTTTACTCTCAAGGTGCGGGAGCTCGTTCCCAAGCCCGCCCTGTTACAAAACGTAATTGATAACTTTAGTCGTCAATGGCAGTGAATGAGTTAAGACTGAATTGAACTGTGCTTCACTTTGAATAAAAGCATCTGCCAAATAAATAAACATAAGTGTAAATCTCAGGCTAGAAGTTCCCAAGACACATGCAGTGTTACTGCGAGACCTCGTTCTGTCAGAATAAAAGTGAAATCCGCTGCCACCTAGCAGATAGAGTTTGAACTGCACCATATTAAACAAATACAGCAAATGTTTGCATGTTAAATTGTCAATAAAATATAGATGTGATGCTTACATCCCTACTGTGCACTCACTCACTCTAAATGCTTATTCCTCACTAAGGTTAATGAGTGCCGGTGTCCATCTCCACCATTCATCAGGCCAGAGCTGGGGACACCCTGGACAGATCTCCAGTCCATCACACAGACACAAAGAGACAACCAGTCTCACACACACACACACACCAAACAATTAACCTAACATGTATGTCTTTGGTCTCTGGCAGGAAGCCGGAGTACCCAGACAAAACCCACACATGCATGGGGGGAACATGCCAAGTCCTTGCAGAAAGGATGCAGCTGGGATTGGAACCTGCAACCTTCTTGCTGCAAGGCAACAGTGTTACCAACTACACCACCATGCAGCACAAAGTTCAAAAAGAGATGTAATAAAATCACAGGACTTTCATTTTTCACTCAAAAGTGTCTAGAAAGTTGTAATGGAGGCCCAGTCGACTGGTTTAGCCGCTCCTGCCTAACCCTTCCAACGCAGGGATACACATTCTGTCACACCCTGTCCTGTCTCCCCATTCTGTTCAGTCCTGTGTCCATATTAATTGCTCCCACCTGCCTCTCATCTCCCAATCACCCAAGGTCCCAGCTTCTCCTGTATTTAAACCCTGTTAGTCCATTTTGTCTGGTTGGCTCATTGTTTCATTGTCCAGCGTGTGTTCACTATTAAAGACTCCAAACTCATTCTGGTTTGTCTGCCTGCCTGCTTCCCTCACTCGCGTGTGGATCCTTGTATCTGCCTCACTCACCGGCACGCGCTGACAGAATGAGCCAACCCACTAAAGGATCCAGCGGGGAGATTCTCCCCTGGGAGTGCCTGCTCCAATTTCTCTCCTCGGACCACCGGCCAGCTTCTCCTCCTCCGGCGTCGCCTCGCCGCCGCCACCGAACTTCAGCCTCGGCGATCCTCTCCACCCTCCCGGAGCCAGATGAGAGGTTGGACTGGGAGACGCTGCCAGACTGCTCCTGCTACGTGGGCACCAGACTGGCTGTGTGCTCCCCCAGAGTTGGCCCACGGCGTGGGGAAGGATGCCGGGCTCCACCGCAACCCTGTGTCCCAGGACGGAGCCACGAGCTTGCCGCTGCCCCGGCTCGGCGCACCAGCTTGGACCCGCCCCCAGTCAGACTAGCAGTCCCGTCTCCGGTCCAATCAGCGCCTCTGTCATCTGCAGGCGGAGGAACCACGCCTACAGCCCAACTGACAGAGCTCGCCGTTCTCCAGGCGGAGCTTGGCCAGATCCGTCAGCTTGTCAGCCTCCAGGAGTCCCACCTGGACACCCTAACCTCCACGAATTACCAGGAGACGGTTCCGGTCCAGTCTGCAGCTCCCTCATCTCTTGGCCAAAGGATCGAATCCACAGTCCACCCAGCACAGCTTGCCGGTCTCCGAGTTGAGCTGGCCCAACTCCATCAGAGCCTCAGTCTCCAGGAGCTCCAGCTGGACAATCTATCCTCCCTGCTCTCCCAGTTTCTGGCACCACTAGTTCAGTCAGCTCCTGTCCCAGCGGTGGTCCCGGAGGTCGCACCGCATCCAGTTCCAGCGGTGGTCCCGGAGGTCGCACCGCATCCTGTTCCAGCTGTGGTCCCGGTGGGTGCACCACATCGAGTTCCCGTGGTGGTCCCGGAGGTCGCACCACATCCTGTTCCAGCAGTGGTCCAGGAGGTCGCACCGCATCCGGTCCAGCCTGTCCAAGCGGTCCCGTCTGTAGCAACTCCTCCTCCACTCCAGAAGCCGGCGGTCCAGAAGCCAACGCCCCCGGACCAGAAGTCGACGGTCCAGAGATCGACGGTCCAGAAGCCGACGCCCCCGGACCAGAAGTCGACGGTCCAGAAGCAGACAGTCCAGAAGCAGACGGTCCAGAAGTCGACGCTCCCGGACCAGAAGTCGACGCCCCCGGACCAGAAGTTGACGCCCCCGGACCAGAAGTCGACGCCTCCGAACCAAAAGTCGATGGAGGTCGACGCCCCCAGTCCACGCCCTCTCCAGTCCTGAGGTTGACGCCCTCTCCAGTCCAGAGGTCGACGCTCTTTCCAGTCCAGAG